AAGATTTATATAATTAATATAGATAATTATTAGGAATTTAGCTTTTTGAAAATAAATCTTTTAATATTTTAATATTTTTATAATAATTATAAATTCCTTCTTATAAATATTATAATTTTGCTTTGTTTTATTTATTTTGTTTAAATAATAAATAATAAAATATAATTTCTTATTATTATTTTTTTATAAATAAACTTCTATTATATAAATATCAAAGATATCTATTTTGATAATATTTTCTTAATCATTATAATAATTATAAAGGATAAATTCCTTTGTAAATCTATTTTTAATTTTCTGAAAAGCTTATTTCATCTTTTTATTTTATATAAAAGTTATTCCTTTTTTGATTATTTTGATAAAAAGTTTTATTATTTTCGAAAAGTTTTTTATAAATATTTAATAGAAATTGATAAATTCTAATATAGATTATATATCCTTAATATTCTTGGATTATTCTTAATTTTTTATTTTTTTTATTTTTTCAAAATTTATATTCATTTATTCTAATTGAATAATATATTTTAGGAATATTATCTTTTATACTTCAAATTTGTATTTCGATAATTTGAATCTTGAATCCATTTTTTTGAATACTTTGAATACTTTCAATATATATTCTTTATATTTTTTTTTTTGAAAGAAGATTAGAATATTATTTAAATAATAGATTACAAATGAATTAAATTCTTTAAATATCTTATTATTTTGCTATTAATATATAATTGATATATTAATTAATCTAAATAATATAATTATATATTTCTATAAATTTAATAATAGAATAAAGATTATCTTTTATTTGTAATCCTCTTTTATTTATATCAAATTGAAAGTATTTCTTTAATCTAATTTTATATAGATTATAACTTTATTTAATTTATTCTTAAATTCTTAAACTTTTGATATTAAATATATATCTCTAATTATTCTATTATTAATTCAATAATAATCTTTATAAAACCAATCATCTGAATCGTTTTTTTTAAATATTAATAATATATTGAATACACAAAAGGATTTAGATTTCCTAATTTATCTTTTTTTTTCAATTTTAATCTTATATTCTTTTTATACTTATATAATACTAGAATTATATAATTTTAAATTTTCAATAGAAAATATAAATCCTTTTTTAAAATTGATTTTATAATTCTAAAGTTTATATTTTGATAAAGCCTTTAAATCTTGAAGATTCTTGAAAAGTTTGATGAATCTTTTATATTATACTGAAATTTCTTTTTCATCAATTTTATTGATTAATAAAGGATCTATTACTATTATAATATAATATTCTATTTTTCAGAAAATCTATTCCTTTAGATTATATAATTATTTGTTATTATAATTATAATAATCGAATATTAAGATATCTTTTATTTAATCAATATTTGAATTATATTTTTTAATTTATAAAGTATTAAAAACAATTATATATTTGTTTAATAATATTAAATCCATTTTGATCTATTTGGTATATCTATTTAATATAATCATTTTGATAATATTAGTTTCTTTATATACCTAATTATTAATCTTAGTTTTCTTTTTTTCTAATAATATTAATTAATAAAGGTTTTGTTTTAATTTTATAAGAATTTCATTTTCTTTAACGAAATTGGGATTTATAAATATATTTATAATTTCAAAATTAATCAAAATATTGATTTATTAATTCTTTAATTTGATTTTTATAATTAGTTGTTTAATTTTTATAATATTATTGAGTTCTAATAATAATGATTCGATAGTTTGTTTTCCAATAAAGAGATTCAATTATTTCTATTGATATTTGTTTATATTTAATAATTGATAAAATATAATAAATAATAATTTTATTAATTTTATTTGAAAGTTTCGATAATAATTTTGATTTGATATTTCTTTGTTATCTTTATTGATTTTTCATTAAATACAACAAATCCTGATTTATAATAGAATTTCTTATACTTTTTTAACTTTTAGATTATATTTGTTATATTTTTATATTTTGTTAAAGAATAAAGATTTTATATTTATAATATATCTTTTAATATTATTTGTTTTAATATTCTTTTGAAATATTATATAATAAATATTATTGTATATTATTATATAGAATATTAACAAAATAGAATAATTATAGGTTTTATATTTCTTGATGAAATCAGATTTCTTTTTTTTATAATAATATTATATTTGTTTTTTATTTAGATAATTAATTAAATATTATAGTTTATTTTTCTGAAATAAATAATAAAATTCAATTATTTATTGATTCTTTTCAAGTTCCTCAATTGATTTTTTGTTTTCTAATTCGAGGTTTTTTGAGGGTTTTTTTTTGTAATCGATATTATTCTTAATATTAATTTTAGAATTTTGATTATTGATATTTAATTTCTTTAATTATTCAAAATTGAATTGAAATAAATCTTTTTTCAATAATCCTATTTTCTTTAAGTTTTCTTTTAAAATTCTTGTTTTTCAAGAATTTTATTTTTTATTCTCAAATTTCATTTATTTCTTGTTTTTTATAATGAATAATTTCTTTTTTTGAAAACAATTTTAAAATATATATTTGTTTTTTTTATAAATATAATATAAGTTATTTTCTTTATATTTCTTCTTTTTATTAATATTTAGATTATTTGGTTTTATATAATATTATTCAATATTATTCAATTTTATTATATTATTAGTATTATAATATTTATTTTGATAATGAAATCTTTAAAACTTTTTGTTTTTTTAGGTAATTCTTTTCTTTTTTATTTATCTTTTATAAAATCGATTATTAATAAGAATAAAAGTTTTGATTAATTCAGAAAGGTTAGATAGTTTTGGAATTTTTATTAATTCGTTTTTAATAATATTTTTCAATTCTTTATAAAACTATGATTTTAGATAGTTATCATTTTATATAATATATTTAATATATTATTGAAATTTAGTAATATAGATTATAATTAATTTGATTTATTTGAATTATTATAATATTCTTTTAGTTATATAATCGAGGTTTATTTTTTTGAATATTTTATCAAATCTTTATTGAAACGATTTATAATTGAAAAAGAGATAATGAATTTTAGATTTCATATTTTTATTCAGTTAATTATTGATAATTTTAATCATTAAATTATTGAAAAATAATTTAATTTAATTGAATATAATTCTTTAAAAAAAGAAAATCAATTACAAAATCCTTTATATAGAAATCAAAAAAAATTATTCATTAAAAATATAATAAAAATTAGTTTATATAATAAAAGTTTGATATTTATTATAATCTTTATAAAATAAATCAAGAATAGATATTTGAATTGTTCATTTATATTCTATAATAATAATAATCTGAATAAAGATTTTGATTAGATTGAATAAAAACGATTTAATAGGTTATTAATTGGAAGTTATTGTATTATATATAGTTTAATTATAATGATATTTAAAATGTAACAATTTGATTGAAATAATAATTATTTTAAGTTTTTGTATAATTAATAATTATTGATTATTTATTCGAAAATAAATATATTATTAAATCAATTGAAATATAAATAAATTAATTGATAATTAAATTGAATATAAAACTTTTAAATTATAAAACTATTTTGATTATATATTAATAAATATAAAAAAGTTTTATAAAATTTTAAAACTTCAAAAAGTTTCTAAAGTTTTAAAAGCTTTCGAAGCTTTTAAAGCTTTTTATTATATAATTAGAATCAAATTATATATCTAAACTTATTAAAAATGAAAAGATTATATAAAACAATTATTATACAAATTTGTATACAAATCGTCTTACTTTTCGATAAGGCCTAAACTTATATAGACATGTTGATTACTGCCCCTTAATATATCCTTATCTTAATCGTAAATCGTGACACATATGAACCTCAGGCAGCCGCTGCCTCGATCAAATTGTTACAGTGCAGTGAGTAACGACCAGAACTTCTACAGTGTCAATGAATGAATACTATATAGATAAATATAAACTATAGAAATGAGTTAATAAATGAACTTAATTATCAGCTTCCACTTGATCCTCTTTTATATAATTAATTCTCTGTATCATTATGGGGTTTACAAGGCATTAAAAACTCTCGAGCGCGGCAAAGCTGTAGACGTTCATATTTTGAAGCTTGCTTTTATATATTGATAGGAATTCAAATCAAGTGAATGGAAATGGAAATGACTGGCTGTCTGGATATTGATGATTTGATGGATAGAGTGAAATGTCGAATAAATGTGACTGGTTTGATATTTGAGTTGGAGAATTGAATTTTGAGTACTGAGGTTCAAGTATTTGGGATATTATAAAGGTTTGAGATATGAATAGATATTTAATAATAGAGAGAAAGATGAATGAGATGAAAAAAAAAAAAAAAGATATAATAAAAATTTATTATAGAGAATTATATATATATGAATAAATAAATAATTATTATTATTAATATTTGTTTATTTTATTATTTAATCAATTATTCATTTTGTTTTTACTATATATATATATATATTCTTCTTCTTTCGTTTTTCAATTATAATCTTTTTTTATTTTATTTCTTAAACTTGTTATAAAATTAATTATTGATTTAATTAATAATATCTTAATTTAAATTAATATAAAATGATAGATTATTATATTAATTTTTCTTTTCTTTGTTTAATAAATCTTTTAAATCTAATGCTCTTTTTCAAATCATCTGTTTACATCAAAAATCATAATTTTTGTCTATTAGTAATTTTACCATTAATCGATAAAATTATAGATGAAAACGAGGAGAGCAGGTGGGGTTGAAAGATTCCGGAGTCGGTTAAACTTTAAAATCTTTTGGAAAGCTCTCAAAAGAAAGTTATATGTATGAATAAACCCTCCTCTACTCAATCCTGAGTGCAGAAAGCCCTTTCAGACATGCAACAAAATAATTCAGTTCTCTGATCCTGTGATTATCACATGAAAAGATGTTGATTGATAAAACTGTGGGGGTGGAGTGTGGATAAATTAACGGCCAAAACATGGGGAAATGGTGAGGTAATTTGTGAGGGATGTGTGAAAGGGTGAAAGTGTGAAGGAAATGTGGGATTATATATGGAAGTGATTAATGGATTATCAGGACAAATAATTTCTGACAGTGTCGATTTTTGTAAACGAGACGAGTCTGTCGACGAGTCTGTCGACGAGTCTGTGGTCTTTTAAAGGAATAACCGGTTGTTCTCTTCATTGACTATGGCCATCGACCGTTGCATCTAGTCTGTCTTACAACAAAAGATGTGATGAGGCTCAAATGCCAGTACCGGGAACCTCGGGATATGTCCTGATTTGTCTTAGCACCACTCCTTTTCCGCTAACACACTCTTGCGTTGTTTGTAATCTATATCACGTGCACAGCTAACTTCTGTACTTGCATCTACTTCCAGTATCGGATTTCTACCATATTGAATTTCTACCCACCAACATCCAAGTCCCTTATTATCACATCAAACTTTCACATCAATCTTTGATCTAACAATTTTTGGCCACATGATCTGTCTTCATTAATGGCATTCATGATTTCACAATCATTCCTACCTCACTTCTTCATACTTAATAGTGTTACTTAATATAAAGCCCTCTCCGTAACGTTGTCTGGTAGGTAAAGCTTCGTCGGATTGTATTACGGAAAATACCAACAAATGCCAGCACAAATGGCTTCTAACATTCTTATCACTAATGACCCCCATGAGATCAAGAAGTCTCTTGGAATGAGCCGTCTCTGGGTGAGATGATTAACATTTCAACATGAGAGACTTCCGCTAATTTGCATGTAACAGAGAGAAGTAAAGAATGGTGCAGCTACAAAAAACAGTATTGCATCTGCAAAACGACACAATCAAAATCAAGGAATTTTCATGTCTCGGCAATTCTTATCAGACTCGAGCTTTGCGGTTTTATCACAACCCTCACAGGATTCTTTTTCACTTTCCAAGGACACGTATCTCCCCGATATCAGCAAATATATTCCCGTAGGGTCCATTCGCATACACAAAAATGACTGTTTATTCTTGAATGGTGAAATCTCTTCGTGCCAGAGTTGGCATGCATTTCACCTTCCTGCCGATATCAACAATTTCCAGCACAATATTCTGTACCTGCCGAACACTCTACAGGGTAAACTACTTCATTCTGCTCCCCTTGATGCCTTTAATGGTATCCATAATGCTGGCTGGATCCGAATGGAGTTCAGGGCTAGGAATCATTGTAGTGGTCAAGTAAGAGTGTACATTCTACCAAATGATATCGGAAATGCCGTGTTAGATCGGTGAGTATTGATCAATCTTTGCCTGGAATTTGATGCCATATTAACTGGTTTCTAGATCAACGAAGAGACTGCGCAAAGGTATGGAGGCTCTGCTAGATAAGTTAGATGTTTCGCATGCTACTTGGCAGGGTACATGGTCAGATGACGAACCTATTCAGCACATCAACTCTACGTTGAATGCTGATCAATCGACCGACAATGTTTCTCTATTCGACATGTTCAATACTTTGTCGTCTCCGAAGCCTGATCCACAGGTCGTTGTTGATGAGTACGTACAAGATGCGATGCGCTCGATTCTTGATGGCAGTATAACAGGACTTCATCCTGATATCCAAATGCATCCGTACCAATGTCAAACGGCTGCTATGATGCTGCAACGTGAATCTCAGCCAGCATATCTACTTGATCCACGTCTTCGAGAGCTCAAAGACCAGGCCGGGAACAATTTTTATTGTGATTTAAGTGCGAACGCTTGCTTGAGAGAGCCACGTTTTTATGAAGCGCCAAGAGGTGGAATATGCGCCGAAAATATGGGCTTGGGAAAAACACTAATCTGCCTAGCTCTGATTCTAGCAACAAAAGATTTGAGATCCCAAATACCAGTGGAAAACTCCCTTGATTCAACTCCAGTGCGACCCACTACAGGATCTCTTCTTGATATGTCCGCTTCGACTATTGGTAGACTCGGAATTCCTTGGGAGATAATTCTTGGAAAAATGGAGTCTGAAGAAGGAATCGGGTTTAGCCGAATGCGTGATGCCCTAAAGAGGGGTATTGGGTACTACTGGTACACGCCTGACCCACCTCGTCGTGACACACGCAATCCAAGAAGCACGACTCCTAGGAAAATATGGCTCAGCAAGGCTACTCTAGTAGTTATTCCCGCTAATTTGGTGCAGCAATGGATACAAGAAATAGAAAAACATACCATCGGGCTAAAGTACTTGATTATGGATGATATGAAAGTCCCACTACCAGCCGCAAATGTATTGACTAGCTACGACATCATTTTATTCAGTAAAAAGAGATTTGAGAGAGAGGCTAAGGAAGAAGTCTTGTCTGCTCGGCAACGCACAACCAGTTGTCAGCACTCTTTTGAAACTCCTGAAGCTGACAATTGCCCATGCACTTCCCAATCAGATTTGGGACAGCCCGGAGAAATATTGTATCGTTCTCCACTTAGAGATCTTCATTTCAAACGTCTTATTAACGATGAAGGTCATAGTTTTGGGAATGTGACGAAAAACTCAAAGTCTGACGCGATAATTATGATTGACTTCCTGCACCTTGATGCGCGTTGGATTATTTCAGGAACGCCTACACATGGCCTTCACGGTGAAGATATCATAATCCCGGAAACTAATGACCCCCCAACTCACTCTATTGAAATCAAAGATCGGGAGATTACCACGAATTCCCCGGAGGAGATCTATCCTAGCCAACAAAAGTTGTTTATCGAGCAAGAAACCAAAGACCTTGAAAATCTTGGAAATATTTTGACCTCATATCTAAAGGCTCGACCATGGGCAAACAAGGTTGCAGAGGGTGATCAGGCAGCCTGGACAGATTTGGTCATCAAGCCGAGAAATAACCGCCAAATCCACGGTGATTCACAGATTCTCAAGTCCACTTTGGAAAGTATGATCATCCGTCATACTGCGAAAGACATCAATGAACAGCTTTCCCTTCCTCCATTACACAAGAAGATCGTTTACCTCGAGGGATGCTTGCAGGATAAGCTGTCGTTAAATATCTTTTCGATGATGATTGTTATAAATGCTCTCACCTCAGAAAGGGAGGGTGTAGACTATTTGTTCCATCCGAAATCAAGAGGAGCACTACAAGCCCTAGTCTCAAATTTGCGACAGGCCTCCTTCACTTGGTCAGGTCATACCGCATTAATGATAGAGAAATCTCTCGATACGGCAAAGGAATTTATAAGAAAGAACAACATCGCGCCTGAAGACAGAACGCTTCTACAGGAAGCAATTTACGTTGGAGAGTGCGCTGTTATAAATGGTATATTTACAGCTACTAGTCACGTACATGAAATGGCCATGTATGTACAAAATAATTTGCAGCAAGAGATCAGGGCTGCATGGGCACTTGACCATCATGATGAGATTCCGACCTTAATGGGCGCCACGATGGTTCTTGGCGCAAAAGACGTCTTCAATTGTGCGTCTCGTACATCCCTTTATGGCGAAGGCGTTTGGCAAAGGGAAATAATTAGTTATGGAGAGCAGATGAGAAGTCAAATTGAGTCGGGAGGTCATGTCGACCCTGCCCAATTTAGAAAATCACGAATGGCCAGTAAGGGGCCTATTCTAGCAAGACCCTTCTGTTTGGCGAATGGGAGAGGCTCTACTATCATATCTACCGCATCGTCCAAGCTTTCATATCTCATGGACCAGATTTTCTTTCACCATATACTCGAAAAGATCATTGTATTTTACGAAGCCGAGAACGTGGGTTATTACATCGCGCAAGCACTCAAATGCATGAACGTCAAACATTTGCTTTATTCTAAAAGAGATTCCACATCTGAGCGCTCAAAATGTGTTGTAAAGTTCAACTCTCTCCCCAATTTTCGTGTTATGCTCATGGATGTTAATCAAGCAGCCTTTGGTTTGGATATGAGTGCAGCATCAAGAGTATACTTCGTAAACCCTGTCTTTTCACCACAAATTGAGGCACAAGCTATCAAGAGGGCTCATCGCATCGGGCAACTTCACCCTGTGCATGTTGAGACTTTAGTTCTCAAAGGAAGCATCGAGGAAGTCATTTTGGCAAGACGAGGAGTAATGAGTGATCAAGAGCACATGAAGTTGAAAGATATCCTAGATGATCAAACATTGTACGACTGGATTAGAAACGCTCGATTTTTTCCTATGCCAAGTGGGCCAGTGCCAGGCCCTCAGCAACTTGCCCCTCTTACTTATCCACAGCCAGCTTTCGTAAAGCCTGCACTTGATTCAGATGCATGGAAATCTGACTTAGCTACGCAAAGAGAATTAAGAGCTAACAGCCTTGCAAGAGCTGGAAGCAGATTTTCGAGGTCCTTATTTCCAGGAACTGCATCTACTATTGCTAATGCGGAATTACGTATCCAGGTACAAGGATTATCAATTGAAGTTCAGCATCGCATTCTTCGTCACTATAGGGAAGGACTTGATGAGCGGATGCATGACCAGGAGGTACGGTTATCAATGTCAGTTAATGGCCCGAGATTACCGCATCGGAATATGTTTCTGGAAGGTAATAGCTTTACCAGTGGTGAATCTTATTGAACTGAGGTGCTTTGCAAGACAAGCGCTAGATTTGCAAAACGGGATCAATTCATGGCCAATTAGGGTATGAAATAGAAATTTCTCAGGGTATTGGACGTGATACTAATTTCCAGTACTAGTGGAGAAAGCGGAGAAGAATAACCGTTTGCATGGCATGGAGATGGAGATTACGTGCTTTGCCATCAAATGGTAAGATTAACTTACAAGCTCAATCGAGAGGAGTTTTCGATACCGAGCAAGGGAAATGAAGCGAGGACCAAAGACGGGAAAGAGAAAGAGTGCTGAGAAGGATATCTATGTATAATTAATGTATCGTGGCATTGATTTGCCGGAGATTTTATAATGTTATGGATGCATATGAGAAATTGTTTATATGTGGACCGTCGAAATTTTATACGATGGAATATAATATTTATGCTGCTGTAGACTGTAGTAGAGATGTTTGAATATGTTATATTACGGGTATAGTATAGCTTGAAACGCATGATCTTAATCATATGATAGATATAGCACTCTGGTATGGAGAGGAAATCGTTGAGAGATTATTTAAGGTGTGTTGGGATCTTTGATACAGGTTTGATGGGATGGGATTGATGGGATTAGATTGAGATGGGGAATTACTGTTCTGATAGGGTGGAGTGTGATGGTGGAGGGTTGGATATGGGATGGGGATAAGGTAATTTTATTTTTTTGGAGGGAGGAAAGATGCAGGAGGAGGCGGAAAAATGATAGGGCACTAGAGTGGAGATGGGTCTACTTGTATTTTGAGGTTTATAGTGCTGAGATTGCCAGGATTAGTTATAAAGAGTATTTAATATCATTTATTTATAAGATTTTTATTTATATTTATTTTTATATTTCTACATTTTCAACGATAAACGTCGTCGATATACCTTAGGTACATCTATCCTATCATACACCTCCTCCCTTTTTCACACCTCCACATTTCCCACCTCCTCCTCTCCACCCATCACATCACCGCCTAGCAACCTCCCTCCCATCAACCAAATTCCCAGCCCAGTTAACCACCACCATAAACCGTCTCCTCCATCCCCTCGTCCAAGCAAGACTCCCACTTCTCCACGCCAACCATGCCGATATACCCGTCCACTCGGGTTTTCTCTGTATGATGCCGTCGCCGCGACCAATGTAGGCTATTAGGTCTTTTTGCTTGTATTGGAAGGGAGGAGTGAGGGGTTTTGTGGTTTTGTATGGGGTTTTGAGGGTTGAGAAGCTGGTTTTGCTCATTTCGCTCGCCGGATGAGAGGTTAGAGCTGAATTCAAAAGATGTCGAGTGAGCCATTTTGCTTTCTGCACCGCAAATTCTGCTGTGGTGGGTAATTCATTATTTAAGATATCTGCCGCGTCGCCTAGCGCATAGACATTATGGATAATATCCTTTCCGTTTCCTTGTCCTGCGGCACCATTAGAATCTGGCGCGAGAACCCCCAACCATTTATCCGTAAGAACTCTCGGTAAGCCCTCGCTTTTCCTACACTTTAACCCCTCGACCAATTTCCCCGCTGTATTACCCGCCGCCCAAACTACTACCCCAAATGGAACCTCCCCTTCTTCTTTAATGAGCATCCTATGCCTTTTTATCTCCTCGATATGTTTTCCCGTCTTAATATTAACACATCCTCTATTCTCGAACTTTTCCATCGCGTATTCACTGAGTTCTTCTCCGAATTGTCCGAGTAATCTATCCGCGACATCGTATATACTAATTGTGCAGAAATCTTTTAATCGGGGATATACGACTCCTAGATGTTCTTGAATTAACTCGTCGATTTCAGCTGCTAACTCAATACCTGTTGGTCCGCCTCCCACAATTGCAAAATGTAATATATCCTTTTTCTCCTGTTCTGAAATCGTAGGTAGTGATGCTCGTTCTAAACAATCTAGTATTCCCTCTCTTAATCTCCGTGCATCGGGTACGGTTTTCATGAATAATGCATGTTCTTTTACTCCTGGTGTTCCAAATGTATTTGTTTCGCATCCAGGAGCTAGAATCAATTTATCGTATTTTACATCGAATTCTGCTTCATCTTCTTTGATGTCTTTGTAGGTGGGTGAATCCATCGGCTCACCACTAACGCCACTTCCTCCAATACAAGCTTTGCTTGAGGATTTGGTTGTCGAAATTGACCGATGTGACGAGAGCTTGATTTTTCGAATTTGGAATCGCGAGGTCGAACGGGTTCTTCGGCGATGCGGAAATCGAAAATGGAACAAGCGGCGGAGGCGAGGAGAGGTGTTAGGGCCATTTTTCGAGAGCGAGAGCGAGAAATAGCGATTATGTTGTAGGGAGAGGTGGAGGAGGTGGTGGCTGATAATTCCTGGGTGAGGGTCCAGCCGGCCCAGCCGATGCCGATGATTGCTATGGTTGGGTTTTCTGGGTGAGATTGTGCGTGGGGTGAGGAGTCTCGTTTGGGAAGGTAGAGGGAGGACGGGATATCGAGGTTTGGGGGAGCTGCGGCTTTGTGTTGTTGGGGGCATGCTGAGATGGGATGTTTGGTTAAACGCGGGGGAATTGAAGACCGGCGGGACTCTATTTGAGATAAAAGGTATAGAATGTCTTCCAATGCTTGAAGTAGTCAAAATGGAAGAACCTCGAGTACTAACTCTTAAAGTTCTACCCAGAAAATGACTTTTGTACATCCCAAATATAAATTATACAATGTAAAGAAAACAAGGAAAAGAAATACTTATCCATAAAATAGACAATTTTGGAACTTGTCCGCATAGTTCCAGACTTAACTTTTGGCATTGGTAATAACCTGGTATGTGATAGTTTGATATACTGACGGCATGGACATTTCTTAGTGTATGTGGAATCATTCTGGTAGAGATCTAGACCAAATGAACATGAAAGATGCCGCGAGGTTCTGATCTTGATTTGAAAATGTATTGGCCATGGCAACATGTATCAATGTTTTCTGACTATGTAGAACTTGTTAGGAGTGATGTTGATGTCAATCTGAAGATTACGAGATATATATTTCAAAATATCGGTATTCGGAATCCTGACGTAGATGAGTGGAGCTCGAAGCTGATTAAGATCATGTGACCTCGCCTCCTTTTCTTGAAAATTTCATTCGGTTATTAATTGATAATACTCCAGAACGCTGACAACATTTACTCCTTGCGTCGACGCCTAACAGCATCATGGCCCTCGGATTTCTCTAAAACTCATCGTGATGAACCTTTGCTAATCAGTCTAAATGTCATCTTTCCTGGTATAACTCCACGGAACACCATCAAAAATCTGCGCCAGTCCTTTGTACTTATCCACCATTGTCCTATCAGCATGAGCAAGGACCCAAGCATCTGTGTCCGCAATACGAAGTTTGGGCATTGATATTTTCCCAGTTCAAAACAACACAATAATTTGGGAACTGGTGTCCTAGTCTTCCAAAACTCCAAGGCATCTTCATCCACCTCACCATTTATATATATACTTTTCGTGTCTACGGGATCGACGAAGCGGATAATACTCCCCAAACCATCCCAAACTCTATTATCATACCCTAAGGGATCTCTTAGTGCAATGTCCTGGTACGGAAACTCGCTATCGACATCAATGATTGTTAATTCAGTCTCAACATCAAACAAGCCAATCTAGTATCTGCTCTCTGCTAAAAAGATTTATATCTTTTCCAGAGCTGGACAAATGTAAAGTTGAAATAAATGTGCTTGAATGCTCGCAACTTTGGTTTCGCTAGCTAAGGGGGTCCCGAGGGTCCTCTCCCACCTACGAGGATCAACGTCGGCGAGAGCAAAGTGTGTTATGTTATTCATAGTGATATAGCCTCCATAGCGGTAAAGGGATATAAGTTGCGGACTTTCCAACACAAGAGTATCTTTTTTGGGTCTCATGCAGACGGAGAAAGAGGTATTCCCCGTCGAAAAATGATGCTTTAGGAAATGGTAAAACACCTTGTACTCTGAATTTTCGACTTCATCAAATAACTTCAACCTCTTTAAAGTGTCGAATACCTCATTTTGAGAAATTGTGCATGCTTGGAGTAATGGCAGCATGGTAGGGTTTGTGGGCAGGTTGCATGTGAGTTCCACATCGATTCTTCCCTCGTTGTGGTTTTGTTCTTCCTCGATCTTGAATTTGAATTGGATTAATTGAGGGTCCGGGAAGTATTGCTTGAATATCATGCATTGGATTTCTGCCGCGAAGAGCTTGAATTTTCCGAATGCTTTATAGCGTGGACCTTGATCTGAGCCTAGATCAATGTCGCCTGAATCTTGATCATGTTTTTATCCTTCCTCCCAATACTGCTTCGGTGGACAAGTACTTACACATTATGAAATGTAAAAATTGGGTAGTATGATCTGGTTGTAAGGTTATTGAGATGCGACAAAATTTCGAAGGAATTTGAAGTTGTGGTTGTAGGGGTTGAATGGTGGATTGCAAAATACTGGAGGACTTAACTGGGAGATAAGATAACAAAGCAAAGCCATATGAGCAAAAAATAAAAGTTACTAGTTTTGTTAGTAGGCTCTGAGACAGGGCTCCGCGGGGCGTATTATTGCTTTGATGGGTAATCTGCGGATAATTTACTTGTGGGGTGGGTTATTGGAAAATCTGAATAGGTAATCTGTGGAGTGTATTCGTGGATAATCTGCAAATAATATTCCACGGATTATTCAAAATCCTAATGGATAATCTATGGGGTGGGTTATAGGTCTAATGGGTAATCCACAAAACAGATAATCTATGGATATCCACAACCCGCGGATTATTTTTGTCCAGTCTATTTGTTAGTACAAGGTTTATTATTCCATTGATCGGAAAGTAATAGGTGAAATGCACTGCGCGGCTTTCGCTTAGCGGAATAGGAGAAAATGAACTCAACATCCTTTTCAGAAATAAAATCAAAATACAGAGAAAGTACCAAGAGGTGCTTGGTGATGCTGTGTTTTTGGATTGTAATTTTTTTTAACATTGAGGTGGTACAAAGGACCCATTTAGTCGGTGGGGTATTGATGAGAAGATTCATTACGCTGTAAGAATTGCCTGACTTACTTTATGGGGCAGCAAACTTCGTGAGTGAATACGGTTTACTCATAAAGTTTATCCGGTAATATAATCCTCTAAAAAGTAAATCTTTACAAGGAATCTCATAGAAAACCTATTTTTGAATAATGATATTTTAAGCATTTCGAAGTTGTGTATGAGTATTATTCGAAAATCTACTAACTCACCCATATTGCTTTGCAGAGTATTGCATGTATGCCGGTCGCGGACTGGGCCGCTACGATAAACGTTCAAGAAGAAGAGCAGAGTATGATTGAGTTGCTGAACTTCATTGAGGCTCAATGTCCAAACCTCAAGAGGTTGAGCCTTTTATCATATCATTGTGAGTATTCCGGACTTGCTACTACCAATAGTCGACTTCTTGACATCAATAACGATCTGTTGAAGCTAGACCTCAAGGATGGACGTGGAGATCAGGCTCCGAATAGTGCGAAGTCTTTTCCGTATGATAGATTAGCGGCTTTGTTGAAAGAGCGAAACAATATTGATCGCAAGACTCAGATACACTACGAAAAGATGGTGAAACAAGAAAACAAGGATTCTATCTCATACTGGAAGGGAGTTGAGGTAGTCAACTGTTTACTTTGTCGGTTGAGACATCTTCATGGTTATCCGGACGTCTTTATTCCAATACTCAAAAGTTCTGTGCCCTACAATGATGATGGAACTCTAGCTACCCTACCAGAGGATACAACCGATAGTGCAGTAGAGCTCGGGAACAAACTCAGTTTGATAAATTCCAGCAATGAGATGCCAGGCAGAATCGAAGACAGGATTCATTAAGTCTTAAGTTGGTATTCAAAAGAACGCATTTGTTGTTCAGGGACTAGATTGCATCTTTTTTGGTGGTTCGGTGGTTTTGGTCGAAGGGATGCAGGCGGTAAACAAGCATAGCAGTACAATAAGCCAAATTTTACTCATTGAACAAAATTAAAATGAACATGCAGTGATCCAATTTGTTTTTTGAAAGGGCATGCATGCAGTTATCTCCCAGGTTAATATAATGAAGCATAGCTAATACCAAGATAATTCGTTATATCCTTTCTCTAATCTCTTCTCACTTAGTAATTTACAAGATCTTTCATTGTCCACCCCTCTCAACTCCCATTTATCATGTGTAGTAATCAGAGTCTATATATAGGTATGTATATATAACATTAAGACTGTTTGAATAGATGTAACCTTTTTTGAGATTCCCATTAAAGATAATTGATGAGTGCAATGTGCTTTGATCCTTTGTCCGCTGCAACAGTGGTCTCGATCAAAAGGATTCCTCATTGAGAGCTCCCGAAAAATGATGATTTGATATGTCACATGTATATTTCTATCAACTTACTTCGGTATTAGTTTGCCTCTTTTTAATCCACGATATAAAAAAAACTTGAAAACGATTTGCGCAACATTGCGCAAAAACACCCCTTCTGTGTGTCGTAGAAAGTTTTTCCTTTGTATCTATGTGGATTACATTATTATTATCTCTAAACTCTCATCTAAAACTTTTGGAAAGGAAACAGTTGTACCTGCAAATATATTATTGGTCTTACTTCCGAGCTCAGCCCTGTGGATAGGTTGCCTTGGGCTTAAATAACATTAAACTTTGAGCTTTCAATAGATCTCTTCTACATCAAGGAACTCATAGAACTTTTACAGGTTTATCTGCATTAATTTCGTTTATCAAAAATTATATCACCGTCTTTCCATCACATCGGTCAATACTAAATGACTTTATGGCTTTAAATTGCAAATAACACCCATGACAATTATGTTGAATGATTTAGGTCAAGAGCCTTTAGATTTGGAAAAGAAGCCTTTCATTGGACATTCAGAGGGTAAGAATCATGGCGCTACATCATGAGTTCTTGCCGTCGTTATACTAACAAAAGATAGAGACAAAAACACTATCATCGAGCTTACCATTGAATGAAGGCTACAGTTGATGGTAGTATGATGGTATCACTGAATAATCCTGCTTTCAGGAGCCTGAGTGGTAATAGCATCGGCCTTAGATAAAAAATGTTTCATGTACTAATACATGATAGTGACAGGAGCACCTCTATCCAATTTACCCACGTCGAGCGACGCACTCAGCTCTAACATCCTCACCGAATTCCATTCGTTCAACCGAATCCCTCGCGAAATACAATGGATGATTCTGCAACAAGCTTTAACAGCTCAGGGCCCAATTATAGTGAGGGTCAGGATTTACATTACGCAATTTTTTGCTATTGTTTATAGAAATCAAACAGGAGAGCTCTACTAGTCTAAATGCGATTTCAACTTCACGACTAATGCGGCTTCTGCTAAGTCTTTACCTCTACTCTACCTACTACTGGCATCCAAGGCTTGCAATGAGGCTATAACTCGCGGCGTATTCGAAAGAATTGAGGTTTTCCTTCCGAAGAACCATAGCCAACCGCAAAGCCATGTTTCGAAAAAAGTACGCAAACATAAATATCGATTACCACACAGAACCACCTCCGCATCGTCGCTATACTTGGATGCACCTTTCTAAGGATATTTTATCCGTATATGCGCTAAGAATGAGTCTTATCATTCAATTCTGTGAAAGCTATCAGTCAATGTCAACCCGAAATGAACAGCATAAGGGACCTCATGAAACAGAGAAAATGGAAGCCACGACAATTCTTGCTGCAATATCCAAGTGATTAATTTTCAATAAAGGCATCGAACCATTGGTAACGTCACCATCATATTCCCGCCAGAGCCAAAGCATGTGTCAAAGTAATTGTTGATTTCCATCCCATTCCACCATTTTCCCATTCTGTATTTCCCTTCTATGAACAACTCCAACCACCAGCTATATACTACTTCCTCAAATATGGCTTCCAGTACCACAATAAACCCCAACACCGCAAACCCCGCGCCCTCCCAACACCCGGCGTGTGCAAAGTTGAATTTTGCCATACTTATTCCACAACTCTCTTCCGAGATAGACATTCATGCGTCCCACAAGTTGTTACTCTATGTCTTGCTTGCTGTCGTAGCCAGCACAACAATGACTTTGTATAGCTTTTGTTCAGTCAAAGGCAATCCAGATGCCTCAAATCTCCATCTTGGGGCGGAGTGTCTTGCGCAGCTGGAATGGACCTTCCGCCTCAGGATTTGCTATAATGCAATTTCATTTTGTGTCGCTCGAAATGATTAGCCAGTTCTCGTGCAAAATCCGTGCAAGTGATGGTGTATAGTGGTCTATTGACGTGAGACACGAGCGCTTTCACCGTGAGAGACTTATCCGTGATTTTCGGTCCGTGGAGCAAAATTGCTAGACTTGCTGTCGTTCATATTAGTAGTTTGTTGCTTTTTGCTTTGCGGGAAACGTACAGCATCTCTGGTCCCTTTCACTAGATGAGAATTTACTATTTGGGTGAGCTCTCACAAAAGCCTTCAATAAACTCTCGTGTCCTTCCGACAGTACAGGATCCTTGAAATCTACTTGGCTCATCATGGCTTCCACCTTTGAATCCTTTATTGCTACCATATTCAGCATGGAAGACTCGATATGTGCGAAACACGGGATGCGTGAAGATTAGATCGCCAGACTGAACAAATGCCAAAGATCTTCGCATGTAATACCTCTAAGACTGCCATCCCTAGAACGATGTCGAAGCTCAAAAACATGTTTGAGGTCAGAATCCATGAACTCGATGTGGCACTTTAGATGTGCCAGCCTAATATCAAGGCACTCGAGAGGAGTCTGATGAGGTGGAGATACGACTTGACACACTCGCAAAGATGGGGGATTTCTGGTAACGACTTGCCCGCATCCAATCTCGTATCGTCATCAACTTGCTCTGCCCTTTCATTATCCGTTCCTGACCAGTTCTTATGGCTTCTTGTCTTTGGATTTCATCATATCCTCCAGCTTTTTCGATCGTTGCATAACTGCTCTTTCATACTCCACAAGAACCTTCCAAAGTCGTGTTAGAACCTTGCTGAATTCACTTATCTCGAGTTCCACACCAGCTCCTATTATTATCTTCAGTTCATCTCTCCATGCCACCAGATTGATCGCGGCTCTAACTGTTCTCCATATTCATGGGAAAACCCAGAGTATGCCCTCCTCTTTGCTCCTTATATCTCAACCTTGCCCAATCTCTGAAATCCATCCTATTAATTTGAAGCTTCAACCCTGCACCGGTGTCTGCTCATCGAACTTCGAATATTCCAGGAGAAGATGCTCTGTCTAATTCAAGTCGTGGAGGATATGGATAGTTAGATCGGAGCTGTGCAGCGTTGCGTCTAGTACGCAGAGCATGAGTTGCCACCCAAAGGAATCTTGCTCATACTCTGAAACCCAGCGCTTGATTAAAAAATAATATGGATCCTATTATAATTTAAGACCAACAAAGAACTAGTTGCACAGTGGAGTATAATATCTATCTGCTCATCCACAATATAATCTATCTTGCGGTCTTTTGGGACGTCGAAGGAGAGGTGATGGAGGTGCAGTTCGAGTCTATGTTTGGCGAGTTTCCGTGATAGGTCTCGTTGAATTCATTAACACGGCCTTTAAATTTCTATAGAATGTTAAAGGTAAGATTTAGAGCTTTGATTTGAGCAATTTGCTTGCCTTTTGCCAATACCACCTTTCAACTCACTTCCATCTTCACACTCATAGTTTTTCCTGTTTTCATACAATTATTCGCTACTCACAACATGATGAACCACCTGCTCACTCATACCATCTGCGGGGCCGTCCTCGATGTCTTTCCAAACCGCGCAACATGCTCAAACTTATCTGAATCCATGACCTCGACGACACTTTCACTAATCCTTTACCCTTCCTATTTCCAATCACTTTCTCGTAAATTTGGTTCGTTGAAAGACTCCTCATGACTTAACTGATTCGACGTTCTAAAAACCAGAGACTTCCCCCGACATCCCCATCTCATCTCTTTCACTGTGTAAGTATTCTAAGACTTTGAGCGGCGGGAATCCTAGGGTTGCGAGGAGTAGTGTTTGCTTGAGAAGAGGCTGGCAATGTTGGGGATGAGATTATACCTGTTAGATGGCCTGTCGCAGACTATCACTTGGCAAGGAAAACATTTTGCGAAGGTAAAATGACAGTTTATTTAATGTGTCGCGATGGTTAGTATTCAAATCATGAAATCTATCTAAATGGAAGGATCATTCATAGTCACCACGCTTCATGTTATCTAAGGGATATTCTTTAAAGTTTTTTGATAAAGCAGCGGCTATGTACAACAATTTAAGGTACTTTAATAAATTCCAACGCAATTATTTTCCTTTTGCTCATCCATATTTTCCGTATTATTTCTCTTTCTATTTTCTCGCTAGATCACCAGAAATGGTAAATCTTTATAACCACAAAACTGTGGATGAAATAACACATAAATCAAAGTTAAATATGCAAAAACTCCGCACATACCCTCGGCTTCCCAATCCAGACTTTTTAACCAAAGGGTCTTCAAATCTTACCTTAAATTTCAAATCCACTCCAAGATAGTAGGCATATTTTTCGTATGCAACTGATATTATCCACCGCGCCAAACGCCCAAACCCAATATGATTTATCAACTTGCTCCGTCGAATGTTTGTGCCAATCCTTTGTATTTATGCACAGGACTCCCATCTTCATGACATGGAATCGTGAATCCCATTGCAGGAAACCACAATCGAGGTTCACTTCCCTCCTGATCTTCAACCCAGCCCAATACAGAAGGTACTACGTTGACTTTCCGCCAATATTCTGCAGCAGCAGGATCCAATGTTTGCTGATGCTTGACATGTTGTTTGAATTCTTTCATTGCCCACTTCGCCTCGTCGATTACTTCATTTATTTCTTGTTTGGGGTCCTCCGAGTGATTAATAAGGGGTTGAAATTTGCTCGGGCTAGCCATGAAATGTAAGTCCTCAAAGTCTTCGTCGATTTCGACAAGTCTCGAAACCGTTGCCGACTCTACAATTTTTGCCCCTTCTATATCATCCCAGTTTCCAACATCGCCAATGACCAGATCGAATTTCTCAAGTGCCTGGCAATTTTTTTTGATCGTTGTAAAGGTCCCGCAAAGAAATTCGTTCAAGTCTTCATCTCGTTGCTCATCGGGAAACCAAGTACCCATACCATGTATGGCTATGTGTGTAAGGCTGAAGATGGAACCTATAGAGCCGCCATATTCATATAAATTGGTCATTTGGAGTGCGCTGCACATGAAGATATCGACCGAAGGTCGCATATAAGAGTAACTGAGATTTTCACGTGAATTCAACCGGTTTGAGAGAACAGCGGAACCCGTTTTTAATGGAAATAGCTCGATCTTCTTAAATTCACGATATACTGTGTCTCTTGAGATTTTGCAGGTCTCCAATAGTGAGAAATTACCGGGAAACTTGGAGATTTTTGGATAGACGCCAGATAACATCTCGTCCTCGTTGGGAGTAATCGCCTCAAAGTTAAAATGCAAGATATATGGATGCGGCAAACTCCACTCAAAGATCACAGCTTGAAGCTCACGGGGAAGTTCGTTAAATTGAGGGAAGATATTTTGATCTCGACTTGAATGGCTCGCAACTAGGCTGGAGTCTAGTGGAAGATTGCTGGCTAGAAACCTTTGATTAGTACAGCCAAACATATATTAGAAGTCTTGACTTCTCACATATTTTATCTTCATGGTCTTCGTTTTTTGGATTCTCCGACGACAAATTTTTTGATTGTGAGCCCATTGTGTAAGTTGCTTAAATATGCAAGTGAAAATTAAGAAATCACCACTGATGCGATATTCTTTGTATTTTTGGCGATGTGGTCTCGATATGAATGATTATGAGTTGAGTGATAATGAGTTGAGTGATAGTTAATTGAGTGATAATGAATTGAATGTTATGAATTGAATGATAATAAGTTGAGTGGTAGTGAGTTGAATAATAATGAGATGAATAATAATGAGATGAACAATAATGAATTGAATGGTAACGAATTTAATGATAATAAGTTGAGTGGCAGTAAGTTGACTGACAGTTATTTGAGTGGTAGTATATGTAACGAGGAAAGAAGAATGAAACCTGGAGGAATCGAGAAGTACAGGTTTTATAGATGTATTGATGTGAAGATGTTGTGAGTGATGAATAAGCGAGCCATCTAGTTTTCTTAGTATAAAGCGCTAGAAGTAGATGGGCTGAACTATTGGTTGGCCATCGGTTCGGGCATACCACCGTAGTCAACTTTGGCGTTGCCCAGAAATCATATTGCCAAACCGTACGTTCTTCTTCTAGCTTCGGAAGTATTTTATAATCTACCAGTTCATCTTCTAATCCGTCTCCCAATCCATCTCCCTTCTTTATAATCCTTCATCACAACCCCAATCTAGATACTCAGCATATCTTCCAATCATTTACAATCAGCTTGGCTCCATTCTTAAGTCTTTCAAGTTGGCAATATGAATACCGCTTCTTCAAGCTCGCTCATACCATCCCATGCTCCCGAGTATAGAGCTACCAAAAAGTCAAAAGACTGCAGAGACTTTCCACTCTTTTCCTTCCTCCCTGCCGAACTCCGAATCTTGATTACCAGCTACGCATTCCCTCCACAACGAGTAATTCATTTTGCATATGTTACCAAATTCGTTAGACTTGATGTTACCTTGAGCCTGCAGATCTTATCTGATCTGCCCCTCACACGACTACCTAAACCTTCTTAGCTCTTGAGCACTGAAGTCCTCCGCTAGTAAAAGAAGGTTGAGATCTAAGGGTATAAAAAAAACTCAAAATGTCAGTTTTGCACCCCCATGCTCTGTCCGGATTTGGTTTTTCCTAGCTAGTTTTGGAGTAGTAACAAACACAACAACTTCGGGGAGAAACGTTCCGGATACCACTCTTTAAGTCACGTCTATCTGCACGGGCATCATACTTTACTCATGGCTTATCGACAGCTTTTCCTCATGTATATCCTAGGCGGCTCTATCGACTTGACTTGTGTCAGACATTTAGGTCTGGTCGTCATAGGACAACGAACATGGCGTCTTGGATTCTTGGCAATCTCAGACATAGGCGTACCACTTTTATGTATGGCATGCTTGGTATTCAATGTCCCAAGCCTGGGAGATTATCTATTGTTCCCCAGAGTGAATAAGCGGTCACTGACTCGAGTAATGACGTTGAAGAGAATTTCTTCGACATCACGGATGAATTTACTTACTTTGAGTTTGAAGATGAAAGTGGTAAACCAAACACTAGAAAAAACAGTGTTTGAGGTATCTGTCGCAGAAGAGATCATTCGCGATTTTCAAAAATTTCCTGAACATCCAAAGCTGGAGTATGAACTTTGGCCAGGGGCAGTAAAATTGTGGAGAGATCGCACGCTAGTTCCAGGATTAATTGGTCGAATTGATCAGGACGAGTCGTGGCGTCCCGAGCCTAGACTCTACCTTCCAGGGTGTCGTAGTTACTTGCTGGTTCATGCAGATAGAACCGTTCTGGACAGATGTAAAGGTTGGCGCAGATTTTTGATGGTGCTCCATGGTAGAACAGTTATGGGCGAAAGAAAAAATAAATTTTACAGGATGTGACAATATAATTATGAGATTCTCTGATAAGTAATTAAATCACTTAACAATATCAGCTGAACCAATGATCGGATGATCACGTGATATATTATTAATATTATTACATATTATTAAATTTTATTATTCTTTAAAAATTGAATAATATATTATATCAAATTGATTTATAAGAGAGTAAAATAAAATGAAATGAAAGTATATAAAATTTGTTTATTTTTTAAGAGAATATTATTGATTTTCTTCAAACTCTTCAAAAAATTCAAGTATAAAAAGCAATAAAAATCTTATTATATGTTGACAAATAATATAAAATAAAGTATAAAAGTAGTAGTATATTGATTATATAAATTAAATTAAAAGATTAAAATCACTCTATTGGTGAATATGAGTTTATTTCTAAATATGGTCATGTGACCATATTAAGCGATATCATGTGACTTCTCCAATCATATATTGACCTCAATTCCAACATTATATATATTATTCTATTTTTAATTTATTAGTATATTTCATCTTATTTTATTTATGAAGTTTAAATACAGTTAAGATTGAATCTTTCATTATCATAATAAAAATTATTTATTATTCAATTAATCTCCTTTAAAAACAACAATAATTAAAATAAGAAATAAGAAACAAGATTAAATAAATAAATAAATAAATATAATTGTAATAAAATTGTTTAAATCTCTATCAAGTCAAGCCACACTTGAAATGTTCGTGATATTAGAAGATTGCTAAATAGAAAGGATAGAATAGGATAGAATGGAATGGAATAGGATGGAATCTGAATCATAAACTTACATTTGTAAGATTACCAAAATATCTATCAACAATCAAGATTACAAAGGGTTATTTACAATTTCACAGACACCAATATACTGCCATATACCCAGCCTACATTAAGATACAACGCTCCAACACTATCATGACAAACACCAACACCAACATCTCACATTCCTACTCCCCAAATGACGCCTGCTAATCAACTCCCCACCAATCACTTCAACCCCTACCTCCTGCCCTTACTCTTCTCCCTAACCCCCTCTTCCAACCTCCTAACGCCCTTCAATAATCCCATCCCTTTCTCACAATTCGCCTCTAACCAAGTCTCCATCTCCTCCCTCATAACCCTCATTCCCCTTATAACCGGCATTCTTCCACCTTCCTCACCATCCACATAACCTTGAGGATTCAACAATAAATCAAAGACGCCTGCCCAAATTTCCGTTTGCCAGTATCTCTTTAATCCCTCTTTAATTTTCCATTTGCGTAAACCACCACCGATTCCTCCACCGATTCCACCAATAGCATCGCTGGATCCACCATTTGGTCTCTCAGCGATGGTGTCTATGTATTTTCCAAAAAGCATTGAATGGATAATACCAGCTAATCCATGATAATCAATTTGATAAGTCCATGGTCTCAATTCTCTCATTTCCGCACAGTCTTGAGGACTTGTTTTCCAATCCGCAATAAATTGTACTTCTGGTTTGAAACATTTCATATCAATTCCTCTCCCAAAATCAATTAGCGAAATCCCCTTTTTATTCCAACATTCGCTACCATCCCTCTTATATTTTGGACTCCAGACGTCATCATCTGAAAGTGTGTCGAAACGTACGAGACAATTGTCTGCTTTAAGATCGCCATGAAGGATTCCTTTAGAATGGAGAGCTTCGATTGTTCGGAAGAGTTCGATGGTAAAGAACATGACGAGGAGTTCGTCCATTACGCCTCCTGGGGATTTGGTATCTGCACGGGAGATGTTAATGATATCTAGAAGAGTACCTTGATCTCTGTATTCCTCTATTAGGTAGCATTCATCTCTGTAAAGATGCATTTCATATGCATCGATGATACTTTCTGCTGGACGAGAGACCCCTAATCTGCGTTTTGCTTGACGCATGATGTAAAATTCCCATGCACTCGGTGGATCTTCCATTTTGAGTGCTTCTAATGACTTGCGGTTGAAATGATCGAACGCCCCTTTACCCATGACTGCCGGGGCCTCGTTCTCATCTTGCTCGCTGTCGTTTGCTGCACTTTCGAGGAGGAATACAGGAGCAAACGCACCAGCACCAAGCTCTCGCTTTAGTGTATAATGTCTTTCTGTACCGGGAAATTCTACCACCGGGGCTGCGGACATACTGGTTCTGTCGCTTGAACCTTTTGCTTTCGAGACAGCTTTAGCATACTTCTTCAACTCCGCTGACTGACCTCTTGCTACGTCATGCTGAAAGAAACCTTCGTAAGAGCTAAGTGGTGGTTGTAATTCTTCGAAGATTAATTGACGGATACTTTCATCTACTGGATTGCACTGTGTGTCGTGAATGATAGGTCCCTTGGGTGTTATTTCTTTAGCGAATGCAGTTGAATTCGACAGCGGCTTTTTCTTGCCTAATTGTGGTTGTGGTATTCTATCGGTAGGTTTTGCTCCATTGATGATTTCCCTTAACGGACTACTGCCATCATCATCCTGGAACACTTGTATTTTCGATCCACTACCTTTGCTCGGGCTAGTAGTAGAATTGAAATAATTTTTTGGATTTCTAATTGTCGGTAAGCCAAGAGAAGATTCAGTCCTCTCAACGATCGGGGTCATAAAGGGGAGTCGATTTTGAGAAACTTGAGCAGGGTCTCGATATGGGTGAGTGGGTGGATCATAATCTTCTGGAGGTATCGGAACAAAACTGGTTGTTGAATTAAAAGGCCCATCTTCAGATATCGGAGTCATGAGCTCATCATTTTCTTCAACATCACGAGGAACCGCGACTTTGATAGCCTCAAATTCTTCATCTTCTGCATCAGAGAAGGTTGAAGCTCGCGTTTCATCTTCATCATCCACATCTGAGGCATGCTTTTGAGCTGTAAACTCGGTCCACTCGCTTTCGCTCTTCACATCAGTAGTTTCATCATCATCACCTGCTTCACTCATAACATTAAGCCGTCCGGTCATAGTGCTTTCACCTTCACTCGTATAATCGCCATCAGTCATATCCTCGTCATCGTCATCACTTTCTTCCTCTTCTTCCTCTTCGTCTTCATCCGCTGCCTTGAGTGGCTGATTAAAGATATCATAAATTTCATCAGTTGCTGCTTTAGTATGAAGAGTCATTGTTTGCTCTTTTGATGATTTTCTCTTGGTCATCTTTTTCCCCGTCGGCGAAGAAAGTTTGGCACTGACTACAAAATATTAACTTTCAATGTAGCTGTGATCCTTTCCACGACTTACTTATTTGTGTCTTGTTGACCTCCTTAACTTTCATTCGCCTATGCTTGGTCTCCTTGTTGTGATCTTTCTTTGCTCCATTCTCATCCAAATATACTGCATCCTTAGGAATAACAAGTTTCTCCGGTCTATTTTCATCTGAGAATACTGGATCACGAGCAATGACAAGTTTCTCCGGAATATCTCGAGTGATAGTTTCAACACTAACGTTAGAATCTTGACTTGGTTCATTTGACACGGGCTCCTCAGATGGTATATCCAATTCTGGTTCCCACAACTTATCCAACCACCCACGATGACTAGCACGTAACTCCTCAAAACTTAATTCCGTCCCAATCTGATCAGGAGTAGGGTATACAGCTTCGAGATTAACAAAAATGCGTTCACTTCTTCCATTTTTTGGATTAATAGTCACTTGTTGCAATTCTGGATTTGTGATTTGAGGTAATGGTATAGACTGAAATACAAAGAGCCATAAGTGCCAAAAATTAGTCCTATGATCATCAACATATGCATAACAAGGGACAGAAGAGAAGGAGAAACATACCTCGTCCTTAAAAATTGGTATCTTGGTACTGCTCTTTTTTCCACCAGCTTTCAACGTTTCTCCAGCCCATGGCTTGGGCTCAATCCTGTTTTCCTTCTTTCTATCTGCCAATGATCCTATACTCTGCCATCCTGATCCTGGGGATGCGGAGACTGCTGGAGCACCATTCTCATCATCCGAGAAAATCTTCAACTTCTGCTTACCACCCTTTGTTGTCGATGAACCACCCACGCCCGCCGATGGTCTCGGTGCTTGAGGATCCTCAGGAGCCAGCGCAACCGCAGCATACGGGTCAATTTTTGCAGCAAGCGCAGGTCGTACTGTAGGCAATGCCGGTGACGAAGGTTCATTACCGCTATCAGGTCTAGCAGAAAATCTTTCCTGGAACTCTTTGAATTTGCGCAACAAACGTGGTGCCGGCCTAGCCTCCTTATCAATACCCATTTGAAAAACTTCCTCCGCCTGGACCCATCTGCCAGCACCTTCTAACCATCCTGCGAATTCTTCGTAGAATAATGCCAATCCTTCACCAATATTATGACGAGCCAAAAAAGCAAATGTTTCGCGTGGAGTATCGGAGAAAAATCGTATATATTGAAGCCAAAGCTTCAGATATCGTGGATCATTTTTATATTGTGGAGAATTGAGGAAGTTTTTCGTTGCGCGCTCCAGGAGAGAGGCGAGCTGTGAATTGGGTGTTGCTTGTGCGGAGGGGTAGGCATCAAGTGTCCATTTGACATATCGATCAAAGATATCCAATGGATCGTCTGATTCTCCAATATTGGCTAATTCTGCTTCATATTCTTCTCTAATTGCATCGTTCAGGTTTCTTGTATCGGATGGTGTAGGTGTTGAGAGGGGTTGTAGAGGAGAGGGGGAGAATAATTTTGCAAGGTTTCGTGCTGATCTTCCTTGTGGTAATGATTGAATATTTTCCTTTTGGTTTTCAATTATATCAAAATCAATCAAATCCTCGGAGGCAGACATGGTGCGATTATTGAGTTGGTGGTTGTTGGCCAATGTGTTTTTGTCGTAGTATTGGAAGTTGTTCTAACTGATAAGAAATTGAAGATCGTAGGTTGGGGTTGTTTACTTTTTTTGGTTACCGTAGCAACAACAAAAATAGAAAACCACCTATGAAGCGACTTGTGTATTAATAACCCGTTGATGTTTATTTAAATAATATCAAGTTTTATTTAACAAATTTATATTATTTTATGAATATTAATATTCTGAGTTCAATATTCAAAGTTTAAATAATATTGATATTTAAAAAATTTAAAATATCTTCTTTCTTTATAAAGATTATTAATATTTAAATAAAATTTTTAAATCTCGTTTACTCTTTAATAGATATAATTTTATATTCTATAATTATAATATCAAGTCTCTGTTACTCTGATTACTATCATCTGAAAATCTAAATTATTATAAAATTATCTCTGAAAAAAGAAAAGAAGAGTTAATTAAAATAAAACAAATATTCAAAAAACTTCCAAGGAAATTTCAATACATCATTCATTTCATCGCCTCTTTATAATATCGCCAACCCAACAGCTACTTCAATTCTTAATCATATGATCCTGGATTCCTTCTCCGGTAACGCTCCTCACGTCTATGACATTCCTCCCAATCCTCCTCATCTAGCACAATTCTCACCCGCGGAGGCTTCCAATTTGAATCAGTCTTCCCAGGCTTGATAAGGTCAAAACGATGTTCGAACGCGGAGATGATCCTCGCCGGTGCCATATCCCATCTTGACGGATGATCCCGCCATCTTCCTTCAATCGCAAAGTCCGGATGATCAACCCATCGAGGCCCCTGTGCACTATAACGATATGTCGTATAATCGACAACCAATGTAAAGGTCTTCAAAAGCGGGAATTGGCATAGCCAGCCCGCCATATGTGACCAGTCCCAAGCTTCACCAATTTTCATACAATCCTCCCATTGCCATCGAATTGATGCGCTCTTAGTTGAGAGTGCAAGATGCTGTATGGCTGTCAGGCGGTCTTGGAAATATAGACTCTCGCGAAGAAGATTCAAGTTTGCACTTTTCGCATCATCGGTACTGATTATGGTCCCTGGAGGTGATGGAGGGTTGTTTGGAAGCCAATATGGAACATAAATGATATCCATCGATGGATCCCACCATCCACTAGCGACTTGACCATGATAATCTAGCCTTCCCCAAGATCCTTGACGATAAAATCGCGATGCCTCTTTTCGTGATTCTTGGCAGACATGTAGGAGTTTTGGCGGAGGGAGATTTTTAAAACAACGTATGAGAGCGAGTCTACTTCTATCCCACGATAATTTCTGGATTCTGAAAGGAAGTATCCTCTCTCCCGGTAAACAATATTTCCAGATCAAACAGCGAACCTCAGCAGGAAGATCTGAGAAATGCTTAGGTGGATCCTTAGCGCTGGTCATTTTTAGAAATGAATTCATGAATCGACTTTGAATTCAGCAGATATGCCTATGCGTTTTATCCTCCGTACGTGAATAAATGAACGGCGAAAGGATTATAGGTGTGAAGAGGTTGTCTTATTATTGAAGCAATGGTTCAATCGTTGTAAGCTGGTGAGGCTAACAACCAATTGTATACGGAGTAAAATAGAAGTGAGGGGTAGGACGAGGTGTGGATACATGATACATTCCCGGAACTTTTTTGTTTTTGTCGGGATATTAATCACGTGGTTTCACTAATCTTGACGCTAGTGCTTCTGCGACGAGGGGACCGAATTATCATATGAATATATAACGGTTGGATTCGTATGGAAATGAAAGAATAGAATTATTTATCGACCGTCTGTTATACAAACAAAGTCTAAGGAGTTTTGTAGATAAATTGAAAATGGAATGCTATTTAATAACTTTTTAATATCTTTACTATACTAAGCATCATCATCAGCAATGCATGCCAAAAAGCCAATCTCATCTAACCCAACCCAACCCAATCATAAATCAAAAATTCCACAAACACCAAAACCCACACAAACAAACACTTCCCCTTGATCCCAGCACCCCTCCCTATCCCCTCAAACTCAAATCCACATCAACACTCACTCAAACTCACGCCCTGAAAGCTCTCCCCCTGACAGAAGAATACCCATAAGAACTATCCACCGCATCCCTCGAGCTAGTCGGCGCCGCAACACCGCTAACATATCCCGCCCCCGTCTCAGTAGGAACAGGAGCCGTAGTAAAATTACCCCCAGTAACATTACCCCCAGTAACATTACTCTCCTTAGCTTTCTCTAAGAAAGCATCGAATTTACCCGCAGGGTTAATACCAAGGACCATGCCACCTTGACAATGAGATTTTGGGACTGTTTGTGCGCAGAAGAACCAAATTGGTTTATCAGTGTTGACGATGAAATCCCGTGTGATGTCGCTTTGATTATTGGGGTTAAATTGAATAAATCCTGTGTCGAAGCCGCCGTTGGGGGTACAAGGGGTATTGAAATCAGACTGGGTGACGGTGTGGTTTTTGGCGAGAAATTGGAAGCGGATTGTATCGCCTATGTTTGCGTTGATTTGGTTTGGGGAGTAGATGTTGAGACCTTTGTCGCCGATTGTTACGTTGTGGATTTTGGCGTTAGGTTTGTCGGTTCCGGTTCCGGTGCTGTAGGGCGCGGTGGTTGTTGATTGCATGGGAGGAGGTGTGGGAGTGTATGTGGCGCTTTCTGTTAAGGTGACTGTCTCTGTGAAGAGGAATCCATCGATGATAATGATTGTAATATCGACGATGTTCACATCAATCACAATGTTATTCTCGTAAGTAGCAACTGTGCAGTGCTTTTTGTTTCCGGTACCAGTGGGGTAAACCCACACTGTTGATTGGCTTTCACCATCATATTTGACAGAGGTTACGGTGCCCTGTGCTGTGGTGATATATTCTGAGCTCATGGGGTATCCTGCTGTAGTGGTGGGATATATTGGATCAGTCTGGTAGCCACTGGACCCTCCTTCAGTTACAGTGATTGTTTCGGTAACAATAGATGGAGATGCGCCTGAGCTCACGACTGGCGTAGTTTCTATGTCAAGCTGTGCGGAACCAAGAGCCAAAAGACTGCTGACAATAGAAATGCTTGAGAACTTCATGATGAATGAAATAGAATCTAGTTGTCGAAGAGACTAAGAGCAGAAGATAGTTCGAAGGCGTAAATAAGAGAAAAAAGTCAAGGACCGTTGCAAGGAAAATAAAAAGAGGAAAAATATGAAAGTAGATAGGAGATTGAATGAGATGTGAAATGAGATGAAAAATGAAAGAAACTTGAAAGGGCTTCATCAATTTATATAAAGATCTTTTCAAGTCGGCGATAATAAAATGATGACAATTCTGTTATTGTAGGGCTTATATCAAAATACATCATCAGCATCCTGTGCAGAAATGTTTCCGAAAGCCGTGTCAACGTAAGACTTACAACGACATTCATTATTTCTCTTTAAGGCCATAAATGCTGCCCATGAGAAACTTGTTCCTGACGGCTAGTATCTAATGGCCAAGTGGAGGTTACATCCCGCTGCGCATCACGTCAGATTTTAAACCGAAAGCATTACTTTGAATTACCGACATATAATCTGCTTATATGAACATCTCAAAATATCACGAATTTTCGATTTCGACCACTCAGTCCCATGATGGTGTAGGATGCTCAAAGTCAACACTGAGAATAAGTAAAGGCTTTCGATGATCGGGCTTGCCTCAGAAAGACTGTATCTCTGACAAAATTGTTTTCGTACGGGCCTTTGATTGGCAAGATTCAGAGATTCCCGAACAAAATACCATGAAAGCTTGCGCCATTGCTGCGACCGAACTTTGTCAGCATTTTTCCATCATGGGATTAGCATAGGCTTTCATGAAGAAAGATTAGCATAGGCTGTTATGAAGCAAGATTTCCAGTAAGAGGTAAAAAATACATTCAAATTATAAAAGGATCTTACCAGAGTTTGTTGATTTGTAAATGTCGAATGTGTAGCTTATTTTGTGAAGATTCGTGATTTATGGTAACAACTTCGAGAATGACATATATGTGTTCATGATGGTTGGGTAAGATCCACGATGCAAGCTATACACTCCAGTACTTGCTGAATGCCATCCGTAGCTGGATATTTGTATCGATTCTTGTTTTCGTTTTATTAAGTCGCCTGAGTTAATACATGTCGATATTAGTGAGAATGATATGATGTCGATGACCAAGCCAGGTTACTCTTCACGTCGCTTGCTTCCCTTCTATACATCCCAAATCTTCATATAACCTTACAACCGTTGTTTTTGCATTGATGGGTCATGGCTGACAGGTCGATTGACCAAGACTAGAACAACAGATTTTAATATATTCCGAGGTAACTAACATAAGCCGTCACACTGACGACGTAATGCTTAGTCGTGTCCTCACCATGAATAGCTTAGCGAGTAACGATTGTTCATCAATATTCTGGAGCTCACAGGTTGCCCAAGAAACACTAGGTAGTGTAGTTTGCTAAATCGAGAAGATGACTTCACCAAAGATGTATATAAGGTTATCGCATGATAGCCGTTTGCTAGGGGTGGTACGCGTACACATGGAACATTCCATCCATCTAAACCAGGCACCCAGGCCTTCCCAAGTTACGACTGTTTGAACCACTCAACTGAATATGCACCGTGTACAATTTCACTTACTGTTGTGATAAGACTCAGAAAAGTTCCTGGATTTGAATCGGATGACTGTTTGGAGGAGAATCAAATAAATGTAAGATTATCTAGGTATGGAAATTGAGAAGAAACGTGATCTTTAGTAACCTTACTCCATTCCTGATTCGGGTAGTCTTACGGATAATAATTTTCCCGGGACACTCGGACCAAAGCTTAAATTAGCAAGGATTCTAAATTAAGCTCGATGCATTCACACCTCACCTCGGGGTAATACATCAATATTTCTTTCTTTTCTTTTTTCTCTGTCTCATCAACTTTTTATGAATTAGTCATATTTTAACATACCTAGGGATATATATATATATATATATTTATTTATATTTACTTCCGCTTTATTGATATTCAACGATAATACTTTTATTTATATCAGGAAGAAAGTAACCTTCAGAAAGCAACCTCTAGAAGGTAACCTTCCACATCCCTGACTAATTTTCCAAGGTTATATCAAATTGAAAAAGAAACATACCTTCGTCTGATGAAACAAGTACGCAATCATCAACATCCCTTCTTTCATACCTTACTTGGAATCCGGGAACACATCGTGGATATTGGTCTGGATTACCCATCCGATAGATCACATCCCGTGCAAAATTTCCCTCCTCTAGTGTCCGCCTCATAACTAGGGTTTTCAAAAGTAACTATGGAATTGGAAGTGCCACAAAGGTATAGATAGGATGAGATAAACTTTATTTTTTATTTTTTATTTTTGGCTTTCATTTGTGCTGCTCTTCTTTTGCTGTCTTCCGCCTTTATTTTCTTGTTTCCTCGCCTTAACTTGGTTTTAAAGGTAAGGAAGGAGTGAAGATAGAGGAAGTGGGATTCTCAAAAGCCTTGGGTCGAAAATGTTGGCTAGAATTACAGGAATGGCATCATGGAGTGCTGGAAGTAGAATGATGACAGCTGGAGTATTTTTAAGTCTTATTCTTGTTTACGGGTATGTTTTCAACCTTCTTTCCATCTGATTGCATCAAACCTCTCGATGATCATTGAAATCTAATCTCATCCCTCTAGATTCGCACACCATCTCAACAATTATGAAGTCTATATGAATGTCGAAACTACAAAAGCCGACCCCATTACGATTGTCCAAACCAAAACGGTAGAACACACCGCAACGCATTTCAGTGTATCGATATCTACAAAAACAGAATCTGCCTCACCAACTTCCACTCTCGATCCTACAAAACTTGCATTTATGGTTGAGACTCGTCCATTGCCACATCTACCTCTTCAACTTACACATATGACAAGTGTTATTCCACAAGAATGGACCTTTAAATTCATGGGAAGCAATACCTCTATCGATTATCTACTTGGTTTCCATCATCTGCAAGATCTAGTAGCCTCAAAGAAACTCACTCTCGTTCCTCTTCCTTCACATTGGAATGTATCCAGTCGAGAGTCCATATCTCAAATGTTCACCGACCCAGAACTTTACACATCTCTCGCACCAGCCGAACATCTCTTAGTATTTCAACCCGATTCAATCTTTTGCACCAAAGCACCAACTACTCTTAACGATTTCATCCAATATGATTATATAGGAGCACCTTGGTCTGCAAAATCTACTCATGGAGGAAATGGAGGTCTTTCACTTCGTCGCGTATCATCCATATTACGAGTGTTAGAAAAGGAAAGACGAAAACCTGGAGATGGAGCACTTGAAGATTTATGGCTTAGTAACGCGCTCAATAGATTGGAAGGGAGTAAGATGGCAAATGCCCAAGTGAGCAAAACTTTTAGTGTGGAAAGTGTTTGGGATGATGCTCCTTTGGGTTATCATATTGGGTGGTTGGGAGTACATCATGAACAGGTTAGTCGTTTGATATTCTATTCATTCTTTGAATTTACCCCTGGATAGGAACATTTCCCTTTCCTATTGTCTCATTACATTCCTCTATCTATCTATCTCTTTCTCCATCCATTCATCCACTCCTTCTCAACCCCAAAGTTAAACAAAATAAACTAACAACCACCCCCCAAAACCAGATATGGGATAAACCCAACTACGTCTCTCACATAATGAACTACTGTCCCGAAGTTAAAATTATCCTCGGTATGAAATTAGATAATGATAAACCTCAAGGTGTTTCTTGATTTTCACTCTCATTCTCATTCCCACCTCTCTTCACGAAGTTCCCTCATTGTATCCACGTAATCTTATATCGTGCTTGTAAATCCAACCTCTGTGTCTAAACCCTTAAAACAAAAAGAAAAAAAGAAAGAAAAAAAGAAAGAAAGAAACGGCAACAAGATCAGAGAAAAGAAATAAGAATAACACAAAAGAGCCATCGGACATAAACAATTTTACCAAAAAAAGCCAGCAATTAATTCCCATCTACCCCCTCGAATCACTACCCCAACAATCTTCCCTCTCAATTCGTATTCCTATCCGCATTTTCATTTCAATTCCATTTCAACTCCTATCACTCCCATTCCCACTCCCATTCCGATCACCACTTCTATTCCCTGCACCCCGCGCAAGCCCAATATTATTATTATTTAATCGATTTGATTTTTGATTTTGATTTTGTTTGTGATTTTGGTTTTGGTTTTGCATGGGTATCGGTGTCCCTATTCCTGCTCCTGTTATATATCCGCCGTTTCCTGCTCCTGCATTCCCATTCCCATTCCCATTCCCATTCATCAATCCATGGTTCTGATTATTATTCTTATTCTTATTTCCCGTCCCCGCACCCGCTCCAGCAAGTAATAATCCTGTGATATTTTGTGGAGAATTTGGGCGGGGGTTGTAGTTCTGGTTTGGAGATGGAGGGGATTGATGATGATGATGCGGATGGGATTGATGATGATGATGCGGATGGGATTGATGGGGATGATTGGGGACAGGAAGAGGATGAGGATGAGGATGAGGAGAAGCATGAAAAGCTCCTACGGAGAGGAATTGGAAGAGGATTTCGAGTTTGGCTTGTTTGGTTTGTTGGGTTTGTTGGGCGGAGTTGAGGGGATGAGTGGGAGGGGAAGAATGGGGATTGCAATGTGCAGGGGTTGAGGGTGTGTTGGTGCTGCTGGTGGTGGGGGTGTGGATATGCTGGTTTGGGTTGGGGTTGGTTAGTAGGTTGATTTTGATAGGAGGTAGGAGGTATTGGGTTGGAGATGGTGATGGGAATAAGGATTGGTGGGTATGAGCATAGAAAATAGAGAATACGAGAGTAGAGATAGAAAGTCATATAAAAGAGAAATAAATAAAAAATAAAACAAAATATACTCTATAATTGAATAGAGGACTGAGATTGAAGAAAGAGCTCGAAAACAATATATGAAAAAACATCTTCCAATAACAATAATAATTTACAAAGTAAAGAAACCACAAAACACAAACCGAAACCAAGAAAAGAAAGGAAAGAGGCAACCAACCAGCGACTCCCCCATAATTCCCATAATTCGCATTCCCATTCAAATTCCCAATCCCCTTCAAAAGCATCACATTCAAATTCCCATACTGCGCACCAGGAACCGTGTTCGGTATCAACAAATCATACGCCTCGAGTATTTTATCCAGTTTCTGCACTATATATAATAAAACACGAACTCGCATCAGCAATCGTTCTCAAATCAACTCTCGAAACTAAAAGTTTTTTATCACCTCCAAAGACAAAAGTCTGGACTCTGGGGAGAAATTCCAAGATTGGTAACGGTGACGAGGTGATGATGATGGGGTGAAAGGAAAAAGAAAAGAAAGGAAAAAGAAATGAAAAGGAAAAGAGAAACGAACAGTCCATGTCAATCAACTCTTTAATTTTCAACGGACGATTGAAACCGGGGGGATATTTTCCGGATATGCTTAGTTTGGGGTGGATTTCGGCGTTTGGGTTTGAGGGGAGGGCGTTTGGAGGTGTGCGGGGAGGTTTTGCTAGATTAGGGGGGGGTTAGATTGGAGTTTTGGGAAGGAGAGGGAGGTTTGTGGGTTTGTTGGGGGTATGAGGAGGGTATGGGGAAGGGGAAGAAAGGAGGGAGGAGATGGTGGGTAGAGATGAAGAAGTGAAGAAGTGAATAAGTGAGTGAGGTAGGATAATGAAAGATTGGATGAAGACCAGGATTATAAAGGGGAACAAATAAAAAATGAAAGACGCGGAATACAAATAAAAATGGAAAATATACCGTCTAATCTCCTTATTTATAGCCCTAACCGTCTTAACCTTTCCATCAGTATCACTCGAATCCGAATCAGAATTCAGATCCGAATCATAATCCGAACTCGAACTCAAAACAGCCTGTTTATTTTTTCCATCTCTTCTCCCATTCCCATTCCCATTTCCACCATTATTCTCTTTTCTCCTCCCCCTCTTCCCATTCTTTTTCCCGTCCCTCAAAGTCCCATCTGAATGCCCATCATCTTTATTTTTACCCCTGTCCATCAATCTCGTATTACTAACAGCAGTTCCTGGTTGTAAATTTATTTGGAGATAGCGTTGGAGGACATCGCGGATGAGGTCTGCGAGGGGAATGCTATTTGGGTTGGGGGGATGGGTGTTTGTGTTTATGTTGTTGTTTGCGTTGTTGTTTGGATTGTGGGGTTGAGGATTTTGGACTTGATGATTGTGGGGTTGATGATTGCTATTGTGGTAGTTTCTGGGGTTGTGGTGGGGAGGTTTTGGGGGAGGAGAGAGGTGTTGGGGAGATGGTGACCGTGAGGTGGACGGAGAGGGAGAGGGAGAGTGAGCGTGATTTTGTTGGTTATGGTTGTGGTTGTGGTTGTGATTGTGATTGTGGCGGCGGCGGTGGTGGTGGTGAGGGTGGAGATGAAAATTCATTCTGTTTTTGGGCTTGGGAATGGGGATTAGAGCGAGTGTTTGAGTGGGAGGTGAAGGGGACCGTGGAGGTGGGGCGAGGGTGCCGGTGCAAGGAGATGGATGTGGGTATGCGGCGGAGAAGGAGTTCTCGGAGCAGGAGGAAGGGGAACAGGAGGAGGCAAGACGCGTATATGGGTATGTGGTGGAGAAGGAGTTCTCGGGGCAGGAGGAGGCAAAACGTGTATATGATGAGTTGCGGGAGATGGCGGAGGAGAAGGAATATATGGTGGTGGAAATTGTTGAACAAAATGTATATACTGGCTTGGTGGAGATCTTGGACGACGAAGGGGTAGATAGATTTCTGGCTCTGGTTCAGCAAGATGAATCCTTTGAACTTCTGGATCTATTTCACGTCTTGAGATTGGCTCGAAAGGTACTCGTTCAAATCTCTGAGAAAACGAAAACTCAGGCTCAGGTTCTGACTCCGGTTCTGGATAATAGACAGGACTGATAAGACGAGGTTGTTGATAAATTTGCTCAGGAGGATGAAATATTGGTGCAGGTAGTGGGTATACGGGAGATGGAACCGGATATCGACGACGGGGTTTGGATATAGCAAGGGAAGTAGGGTTGATATATCGTTCCCTCCTATTCTTTCTTCCAGGGCTCGGACAGAAAAGACGAAGACAGAAATCAAGCATATAGAATCTTAATGAGAAGGATTCTCGGGTGGGAAAGGAAGTACTCTGACTCTTACTTATAGTCAATGTTTGTCATTATCGTACTACGAAAACACAAATGTAGTTGCCACATGCCAGCGCAGTCAATGGTTACAAGCCAATTCTGAAGATATTTCGCAGGTATGTTTTTGTGCATGAATATGAATTATCCAATTAAAATAACTGATATCAGAGAAAGCTGGCACACACGAAGGGAAAATGTTTGCGTAGGACGAAAGCAGATATCGAGGCTGACTGACGAGCTTTTAGCGAGGTCCTATATGTTTGCTCCCCGTTGCTTGATACCAGGAGGTGGCTAAAATGGTCATGGGGCTGGCTTTCTCAACAGATTAAAACTATGAGGATGTAAATGGGATATTCCAGGAGTCCCTCGTCACTAATAATGCACTTTCCACCGCCTCGTTTTTCGCCCCCAACACTTTCTATGGACTCCACCGCTTGATGGTTGTTGTCGGAAACTTTTTGCAATCGCAAGGTATTTAGCATGTACCCACTGTTAGAGGTTCACGTAGTTACATTAGTAGATCCAGGAGATTGAGCTAAAAATCAATCTTGAGGATCTTTAACTTTCAGTGCGTCAAAAAGGTGACTATATGATGTTTCGGACAAAGTGTGAAATTTCTAATTTATTAATAACATCAGCGGATAAATATGCCGGAGTGTGGGAAGTGACCAGTTGATATTGTAGTCAGGTTTCACACGATTGAGATCAACTCACCGAAATCTCTCCGCATCTGTAAGAAATATTCTCGTAGTGTATCTATCTATATCAATATATAATATCATACAAAATGCCCCCTTTCAGCTCATTACCCAAATGTGGATTTTGGCGAGACATGAATCGCTCAATGTGAGCAGCCACCTTCAGAGTCTTCATCATCGCTCTCTTTCTTTCCCTTCTTGCCTTTCTTCGCCGCTGTCTTTTTGAACATAGAATCGAGAGTTTTTTGCCCCTTCTTAAGAACTTCTTGCTTCTTCTTATCAACTTGATCCTGGTACTTCTTTCGTTCATCTGCTCCTAGATCCTGTAAGCGTTGCTCTTCTTCCTTGAACTCCTTGCTTTCAGGATCTCTTTCTAGTAGCCCCTCTAATAACTTGATTTCGGCTGCCCATGTTGAAGGATCTTCAACATTCTTCCCATTAGCACCTTTTTTCTCCATTGGTGTTTCCAGAACCATAGGCATGTTTTGAAAAGCTTTAAAATTGATAACGTTATGGAATGCTCGAAGACCGAGAAATCCTGTACCGATGTTTGCGTGTAGATCCCTATTTGATGCCAACGGTGACTTGCTGTCATTAAGGTGTAAAGCTTTCAGGTATGGTAATCCAACGATTTTGGAAAATCCATCCATAGTTTCCTTGAAAGCTTCGGGTGATCTTAAATCATATCCTGCAGCAAATGTATGACAAGTATCTAGACAAACCCCAACTCGGGATTTATCATCAATAAGAGCGATGATGTCCCGAAGGTCCTCCCATGTAGAACCAATCACATTTCCAGCTCCTGCCATGTTCTCTAATAATGTGACTACCGTCTTCGTTGCCTTGTGGGCTTTGTTCAATTGGGCTGCAATACGTGCAATTGCTTCCGGCCTTGGATGACCACCTGTACTTCCAGGATGAAAGTTGTAAAGCTTAATACCTAAATCTTCACACCGTTTTAAATCATCCAGGAAACAATCATATGCTTGCTTGGCTTTCTGCTCGTCTGGTTGCGCTAGATTAACAAGATATGAACAATGTGGAAGAACGTATTTCGAAGCATCATATTTTTGTTCTTTGCAGAAAGCTTTGAATTGATCCCGAGCTTCGGGAGCAAGAGGAGGATTTACCCATTTTTTCTGGGATTTGAGGAACAGCGCAAACGCATTACCACCAATACGTAATGAGTTGTTGATTGAATTATGTACACCTAAAATATTGTGTTAGACTAAACCTTGAACCGTGGAAGACGGCTACACTCACCACCGGCACCACTAACATGAGCTCCAATATGTATAGCCTGCTTCAAGGTCGAAACCAATGTACGTTGGGCCAATGGCATAATTTCTGCCTCTTTCTCTTCTTTTGTTTTCCTCTTCTTCGTAAGCTTCTTTCCAGCGGTAGGCTCTTCCACCGCTTCGTCTTCGTCCTCGTCCTTCAGTTTGCGTTTCACGGATGACTTCTTTTTCGTAACCACTACAACCTCCTCCTTCAACACAATTGCTTCTCTACCTTCCGTGGCTTGGTTTGGGAGGACAATAGGTTCTTCTTCGTTTTCGTCTTTGCCGCTAGCCGAAATACCATTCAACGTTGTAAGTTCGATAGCAGTACCTTCGTTTTCACCAACACCCTCTTCTTTTACTTTGTCAGTGGGACCGTTGACTTTTAGCTGTACAACGTCTAACGGAGCCTCATATGAAATATCAGTTTCGTCTCCTGAATACTCTTCCCTTTTGGTTTGCTTGGCCGCAACCTTCTTCGGTATCGACTTCTCGACCTTATTGATAACTTCCGTACTTTCAGTCTTTATATTCTTCCCACGCTTTCTCTTTGCAGCATCCGCGGTTTCAACTGTTGGAATATCTGCAACCTTAGCATTAGCATTTCGTCCAGATCTTCGAGGAGGCATCGTTGCTTGCGAGTGATGTGGTTGTGTTGGAGTACAAAAGGTTTAGAGCTGAAGGTGGTAGTGAGAACGCGTGACGAAATTGAAATCACCAAAAAAAGCGCGACGCGAAGGCACGTGATTGAATTGAAGTTTACTTTACTAGGCTTCCCATAAACTGCTGGTATAATTTTCATACGATGTTACAATTGGTGAAGTAGCCAGATAGGTTAAATGAAGAATGTGTTTGTTATTATATGATAACTAGGACCCAGCTTTCCTACTCTCTACGATCTTCATGACATCCGCAGCACTATTCGCATCACCCTTTCTCTTTTTAGAACCTCTCTTCCTCTTAGATTTCCCTTCTCCTTTCTCACCTTCATCATCTTCTCCTTGACCCCACGCAGAAAGCTTAACTTTCGTATCATCAAAATCAGCTTCGTCCTCAAATCGACTGCTTCCAAATCCCATATCCATATCCTCCATGTCACGATCATCTTGTTGTAGCATCTTTTTCCGCCGCGCTTCCTTTGCTGCTTCATCTGCTGTTTCTGGAGTTTTTGATATAGGATTAAGGGTAGATGCTTTCTTCAGAGCGGCGAGAATAGTTGGGTCACTGAATGCTTTTGGTTTGGTCTCGTTTTCTGTCGCTGCAGGCTCAGATTCACCAAAGTAGTTTCTAGGTTTGTCAGGTCGTGGAGGAGGTGCCATACTTCCAGATGTAGGTGTTTCTTGATGTGAACCTTGAGTCTTAGGTTTCTTTCGTTGACTATCTTCCGTAACTTCTCCATCTTCAGCGTCCGTATCTGAACTCGAATCTTCGTCTTCAAGCCCAGCTAATGGATCATAATCATCTCCTGCATCGTCAAATATATTGATATCTTCTTCCTCTGATTCTGGCTCTTTCGGTATTTCTGGAACGTCCATTCCTAACGGTTTTGCATCTTTGTCCGGCATCAATAGACCATTTCCTTTCTCTGATTCCGGTTCCATCTGCACTTTCCTGATCTTCCTTTTCTCATTGCCGTTTTCATCAACGATAATGAGAACTTCTCTTCCTTTTTCATCCCTTTCCATCCTAGTCGTTGATTTTGGAGCTCCAACTTTCTTGAACCTGGCTCCTAAAGATGGTTGCGCTGCCTCCTTCGCCGCCTGCCTCGCTGCTTTCATCTCTGCCAGAATCTGATCTCGAGTTCTCTTCTTTCCCGGAATCAAACTAGGTGGTGCCATCTCCCCTTTCTTTTTGCTCTTCTCCTTCTCAACCGCAACAACATCTCTTTCCTCCAACTTCTCAAACTCGTCATCCAAGTCCTCTCCTGCAGCATTCTCTCCATCGTCATTCTTCCCACTTAAGACGTCCTCGCCCCTCCTTACCCTCTCTAGTAATTTATAATCCAAGCCTTTCACTAAATGCGTGCTTTGAACATCACCACCCAATATCTCGTCCCTCAATTTTGTAAATGTAGCTTCGTCAATTTGTTGTAACTTCATCATCTCTTCCAATGCCTTTACTCTTGCGGCCTTGTCATCTTCATCGTCATCGATGCGCTGCTTTGTGCGATCGGTATATCCAGCTGCAAGTTTCGAGCCTTTAGGTGCGGCGACCGAACGAAATTTCTTGGGTTGTTCGGGATTACTTAGAGCTCGTTGTTCGGCTACCTGACGTGCAAAATCAACGCCACCTACTGAACGACTAGAATATTAGTTAGCTTCCCATTATTAAAATTACACAAGAAGACTGTTTAAAGCTCACGGTGTCATGGGTATTGAACTTCGCATCCGAGAACCAAGTGCAGAAGGTATTGCGCCATCTCGTCTGGGAGTTGCACCAATGCTTGAATTCTTATCTCCAGTGGCGGCCTGTCTTGCGGGCGTATCTAGTACAAGTTTTCGGAATTGTTGATTATTCATGGTGGCAGTGTTGTGAGTTATAAAAGCTTCCAGGAATGATCACTTCTTGAGGGACATTGGAACTCAGATTAGTGATCACGGCAATATCTCACCGCCTTCTAACACTATTCATCTCAGGATATTGACACGATAAGCTGTCTCACGGATTTGAAGCATTTCTTTCTTAGTTTCATTGATTTCCTGATCAAAGTCGAACTCAATTAATCAGTGTATAGAAACTAGCTCAACCATCCAGAAATCCCGCCAATTCTCAGTCCAATTTCGTTCTTCTACCAAGCGTAAGCAACTACACGTCAAAACTCCATGCCATGTCCTTCATTCCTTCCCTCGGTATCATATCTACCATAAACTTCTTCTTTGGTGGAGCTATCTGCGCGGACATGTTACTGAGGTCTTGACCTGGATCAGCCCACTCATCTCCATAAGGTATGATTTCGAATCTCATTGCCAACATTGCTATAAATGCCACCATTAGAGGTGTGACAAAAGCCTGACCTGGGCACTTGTTGACTCCTCCGCCAAATGCACGAAATCCATTTGCAGGAACTCTACTGCAAAATCGATCAGGTCGAAAGGAATCAGCCGTTTCCCCCCATACATTCTTGTCAAAGTGTAGTCTCCTGTTGGCAATAATTACCACGGAATCTTTCTTAAGGAGATATTGATCGCTACCGACAAATGTGTCTTCCATGACTAGACGGGGTCCGGTTCCTGTTGACCGGAATCTCAAGGTTTCCAGGATCATCGACGATAGTATTGGTAGTTGATTTAGTTTTTCTAGGTTGATTCTACGGATAGTTCCCTGAGGTGATACTTCAGATGTTGTTATTTCCTCTACTTGAGTTCGTATTTTCTCAAGGAGACGTGCGTCAGAAAAAGCGTGGAAAATTGCCCAGAACGCCGTAGGAATTGTGTTTGATAGTACAGCGATATCATTGAGCGTCTCATGTTTCGCAAGATCTTTGTGACTGCCGTCCGTCTTATCCACTAGTAATTCGTATCTCTCTTTCGTGAGCTCTGAGCCGGAAAGGTATGCACCCGTTGAGAAATAGCGTCTAAACCCTTTCTCGACTGTATATCGACCGCGCAAAGCTTTGGTAGCTATAATGTTCGAAAGGAAATCTGGTAGTAACAGATTCATTGAACCCTCTGCAAAGGACCTATATATGTCAGTGGTTATCATTCCCATGGCCTGTGGTGTAGTGCCGACTCACCAAAATCCTGCCTCAACGTTCGGATCTCGGTATGGATTTCTGACTCCATACAAACTTTCTGTTGTTACCATGGTCAATTCGTGTCGTACCCATTCGAATAGATCGGTTCTGTTGTTTCTTGCTGGTGTTGCCTGATCATCTAGTCGATCCTTCGTGGCCAGCGCTGCGACTTGAAGCATTTTTTTCATGCCACCTAAAGGAGACAGAGCTACTTGTATTACTTTTATTCCTTTAATCATTAGACTTGAAGTGTCAGAATCAAATAACAAATTTTCCAGGAGCCTGTCTCTCGCCGACTCGCTCAAACCGGCTAATTGTGCTGTGAATCGTCCTTCCAACTGCCAGAGTGAAATTGCTTTGTATTTGCGGTGAAGATATGGCATTAAGTCGGGCGAAGAAACAACATGAATTTCTTGGTTAATCATACGAAGTGAAAAGATTGGAAGGCCACATTTTTGACTATAAAGATGCGAAGAACACTCCATTAGAGTCTACTATCAACCCTGGAGTGTTTATGGAACATATCTTACCTCAAAATGTTATAGTATTCGTTTTTGTACCACAAGACACCGATAATATGGCCGATGACTGGTATCCTTGGTTGAATGCGAACTGGTGCGCTGGAGTCTCGTCTAACCTTGCGGGGAAAGACTACATGAATACATAGTGCTATGACTACCAGAGCAAAGAAGAAACAAAGTCGGGAATTGTCCATCCTATTTTCGATAGCGGTTTATCTGAAGGCTTAATGCTAGCATACGATACGTAAGGATGTGTGCAGATCTCAAGTAGAAGTGGAAGCTGGGTAATAAGGACAATTTCGCTCAAAGAAGAAGCGTTTCAGGAAAGCGGTTTGTGTTCAATGGACATCTAAAGAAGAGCTTCTCTTCGACTTCAAAGAGCAGCTTGTTTGAAGGTGACGCACCATATATTGGAGCTATATCATGCCAATATCACATTCATGTTACGCTGTTGCTTACAAAATTAGTTATGCGGCCCCTAGTGGCAATCAAAAGTTACCCCAGGCTTTTACTCGCACTCCCCTGAGTAGAATTAGCTCAATCTCTTGTTCATATTCTACACGCCTGGTTACATTTTCCCGTGGAAGGAGCCCGTATGAATCAGCTCGGTAAATATAGTTATTAATCGATTCGCTCTGAGACAGCCGAGTCTCCTTGGCATATCGATCCTTCTCAGATATGGTGGTTATGGGAGCTTGTAGCGCTAGTCACAATGCTGAAACGATGATGTTTTATTGTTTCATTAATATAAATTTCACGGCCTTAGCTAGGCAGCGGACGAAGCAACAATTTTCCTTCTTTATCTACTTTACTCAATAGAGTAATTCCAGATGCTATCTCATTGAGCAGGTGATTGAGTCGTAAATCTTCAAAACTTCAAGATAATTCCACATTCACTAAAAACATCTCCAACATTCTCATCATCCCAACATTCTAGTACATTCACCAATTATCCACATTCGCTAAAATCTGCAGACATTGAAATCTTCTCCTCGAGTTATTTCTATTTTCACTCCTCGTAGCAGATTCATGACCACAGCTTTGGTAAACATGGTGTTACTTCAAACTGTAGTATACTGTATCTAGTCAATTTAGGGTTCTTAAAGCAATCACGAAATATCATACAGAGATTCTAGATCGAGAAAGAGTCTTGATGTTCTGAGGTGCCGTGGTGAGCTCGCTATTGAGTGTGATTTGTGTCTTCAAGGTTATAAGGGGAATATATGATGCGGAATTTTATAATCATGTAGTTTGAGGATACCAAGTGAAATGTCAATATTTTAGTTGTATGTGAAATGCAGCCTTCTTAAGTATTGAATTACCAACGTGGTGCATACCAATGTTTTCAACGCTTAGACGTGTCACAAACTTTGATCTTGCGAGCAAATCCTTTTGCAAGATCTCCCTGTTTGTGTATTGTTAAAATGGGATGTGTTTTCTTTTAAATTTTTGTGTATTATTGTCTATCCCAGAGTAATATATGGTTCAGATCTAATGTTCGGGAATGGGAAAAGGGTACAGTACACCTAGGGTTATTCACGGTATTTTCCTCCGAGTAAATACCCTGCTCTATCTTTATAAGGTAAAATAAACACTTTTAAATACCATCTACTACTGTTTGATCTTTTGATTAGGTATATAAATATTTTTAAATATAAGATATCTGATAATAATAAAATTATATATAAAATATCTTTTACTCTAAGAATACCAAATAATTATCTAATATAATTCTGTATTCATCTGGTGATTTAATTAATCTGTATAACTAGAAATAATATTCTTTATCTTTGAATAATTGTATAAAACAGACATGTAATCAAAACCTGATATCTTATTTAGATCTGTAGGTTTTATAACATAAATAACCCGTTGTTTTTTGATAAGGTAGAGTAAACACTATCAATGTCCTTTTGTGATCCAATAGGTTTCAGTCAAAGTGTTTGGAAACAAAGCAATATAACAAAAGAGGAAGAAAGAAGGGTAGTTTAGTTTCGAGGGTCTAAACTGTATGCAGAGCACTCGTTAACATTCGGGTCGACATTTCCCCTCATTTTCCTGTTACTTTAACAAGCTGTGGGAAGGATCAAATGTACGAATAGTTGATCCAGGACCTTCCCAAACTCTGGATGGTAAGCTTCTGATGAATTTATTGATGATTGAGAGGATTCAGTAGGACAACAGTGTGAAATGGCTTAGAGTGACTGATCCGATACTATGATGTGATGATACACAGCTTTCCGTGTATTGATTGGAAGAATTAATTGGAGCAAGGTTCACGGAAATTTGGCTAAAAAGATTACAACGAAAATACATCAACCTTCCCAAATGATCTAAATGTTCCATATGCATTCAACATTTCAACTAGTCTAGTTTTCCAATTAGATTCAGTAATAAAAGGCTTCGATCGTTGAACTGCAGTCTGGATCATTGAAAAATCTCATCAGAGCTGTAGTTACTGTTATTGACAATCCCGAATTCCCATATCCGTCAGGCAATGTCAGGATAGCTCTTTCCGTTTCTGATTAATATGCTGCACACTCCCTTGGATGATGCGCCTTTTCAAATGTAACATTGTTTCATTACATATAAATACAACATCAAAATGAACGATTCTTTTTGTAGCGACAGCTGGTTTGCACGGGAATGGAGGGTTCAAGAACTGGCATTATTTTGGCAACTTCGACAGCAGCACGACAGTGTTAGTGATACCCTGTTTCCATACGGGATTATCTTGGCACAACCTTTTCCACCACCTGCGAATATCTACTGTGTTGGCTGTGATAATGACCGGACAGTTCTATACGTGTCAGCAGCTCTTAGGTACATCCGAAAGAGGTCATTGGAATGTGGTAACGACCTGTGGCTTGAGAATTTGGATATGCACTATCAGCAGGTATCGTGGAGTCATGGTTATACATTTGTGCCTTACAAATACGACCAACAGGCTGCAGAAAAAAGAATCCAAAGACTAGTCACAGACGCTCAAAATGAACAGTTGAAGTTGGACGAACGCAGTGTGCCCATGTCTTATCAACTTTCTGATGACAAAATCATATCTGGTCATTGTCGACCGGTGCTTCGAGGCCATGAGCAGCATACTCAACTGCTCTTAGATCATGGAGTGCTGATTGTTCCACAATCACTCAATGATTCATATCTAAATGTTTTGGCAAGTACACCTTTCGACTTGCCCGTGCCTCAAGTTGACAATCCACCAATGTACTTTTATCCCCGGCCAGAGATACAAGACCAAACTCGTTCAGATGCGTCTCAAATAATCTATCCAAATAGAGACTTAACTCTTTCAACCGAAAACAATGGCCATGCAGCTGATACACCCATGGAATCTGTTGATCTTCAGGAAATTTCAACCAAAAATAGCGATTTTGATGGGGACAACAACTCTGTAGGTGTACTTCCCAGACCCCCTCTCTTTCCAATTGTCGAAGGTCGAATCGGCATCTCAAAATTACCTACTAATTGGGCTCGGCTTTCGCTAATTTATATATAGGACGCAACCTTTGAAGGTATACGACCAGAGCTGTCTCCCCAGACTCCCTCCGAGCCTGGAAGCGCAAAGAATATTTCCGTTGTCCAACACTCTAATCAGTATTCGAATGACTCATTTGGTGGCAGTCATCATATTTACGAATTGCACAGCAGTTTCGTGCCTGAATTCACAGTTTTAAACATAGAAACACACGAACAATGGGAATTTAGCAGCCCAATAGAGGCAGCCGACTTCTTCGGACTTAGTCGTGATAAAGTCAGATTTGCAGTACTAACCGACGCAATTTTGGAAGGCATATATAAATTTCCTAAGGCCAATCCACTGCAACTATCGAGACCTAAAAGAGTCGTAGTTGAAGTTTCAAACTCTGGCTCTGACCAAAGACTACTATTCTGTAGCCAAGGAAAAGCTGCTAAAATATTGAAAGTTAGGAAGGGAAAAATCTCCGAAGCGATTAGCAGCGGAAAACCTATGGAAAAAAACGAAATCATGTACTACATTTCGTATAAGGAGATTGAACAGACAGGTCATGGTGTAGAGCCTTCCAAAACGACAAACAAATAGAGTTTTTCATACAGATGACATTCAAGAGACCTAAAAACAGCCTCAAAAAAAAACGAGAAGACAAATAAATCATTTTTTACTCTGATATAACGTGAAATCCGAACACTATTGACTGTGATATTGGAATTTAATTGCCTGCAGTATGGTTCTACGTGAAGGATTCTTATATCTTTAATTCATTTTGGAAACTTCAAATGATTTGAATATTCGAAGTCTTACAGATGCGCTCTTAATTTGAGATATTCAGAGTATTTGAAATATTCAATTTCCTGGGACAGCACATGGTTTTCAATCATAATATAAACCAATAATCCGATGATAAGCAGTATTTATTTTCTTGAATTAATTTTAAAATTTCAACAAAATTGGAATATTTAAGTTGAAATATTTACACGGTTTCCTGTATACAGGTATGTGGATGAAAGGGTGTCGTGTCCTTGAGTATATAGAAAGCCTATACGGAATACGATGTATAAAACCAGATGCTCCGGTTTATCTACAAGCAGTCTCGATATCATTCTAAAAGTTTGATGTCTAGCTAGTTTTCCAGTAGTGGCGGCATTACAGGAGACGAAAAATGGGCTTCACATTTTAACGATGGATGGTAGGGTAAGGCATTGTCTATACTGCATTGTGGGGGTGTATAGGCTTCAACTATGCATGTAAGGTAGCTTCATCAGGATACAGGCTACTTAGTGGCGCTTTCGTCATGAAACTACTTTCATGCAAGACTTTCTCATTCGGAGAAGGCCAAGTTACTCCACCTATACAATATCGGCATATCCTTGTGAACTCAGTTGGCGAGGATAATTACAATACGGACCAGGAAAATACAGTCTATCGGCCTGACTAATGTGATATGAATGAAGTGTTATGGTGATTTTCAACACAAGGCCTGCGTAACCAATTCGAGCTCTCTCTAGGTAAGGATAGCAGTACTGTTTATTCTACGTACCGCAAATGCAATTGTAGAGTTTGTAGTCCAACCTTGTCGATATAGTCTTCAAAGTATGCTGACTCATCATCATAATCATCCCTAACAACATTCCAACATTAAGCGAGGAGAACGAGAAAAGACCAAGCTGTCATTAATATCCTCTAATTATTTGCAATCTCAACATCAATCTAAAGCTATTCTTACTTGAATTTCTGAAATCATGGAGCTATACACAGATGGAACTCCAGCAGCGATTAAAAATGCCCCTGTAAGGGATAAATAATCAAGCTCACCCCCTCATTCTCACCCTAGAAACTAACTAACAATTGCAACAGGGACTTCATTTAATCACCGAAAACACCCCAAATGGAAAGAAAGTCCAAATAATGCTTGAGGAACTCAAAGATGTTTATAACATTCAATGGACAACTAGTCTTATTGATCTCGAAACGGATGAGCAAAAGAAAGATTGGTTTTTACGTCTTAATCCTAATGGTATGGTGATTACCGATTTCGTCTTTGATTTTGTGATCGTTGGATGTGTTTTGTTGTTAATAGAGATGAGTTGTAGGACGCATTCCGGTACTGATAGATAATACCTGTTCGCCGAGTTTTCCGGTTATGGAATCTTCTGCTGAGCTTTTGTATCTGGTGGATTTGTTTGATGGGGATAATGTTTTTGGTTTTGAGGATAAGTATGAGGTTTGTCACGGGTTCCATTCAGTACCTCTTTCACATTCATTATACTTATTTATACACTTTACCTCCATGTTTCTTATTCGGATTTGTCTTTTGTGACGGCCAATAACTGATTCCTGACCTTAACGTAGCAAAGCGAGGCAATCCAATGGTTATTCTTCTGGCAAGCATCCGGCCAACCCAACCAAGGCCAAAACAACCATTTCAGCAAATCCGCACCAGAAAAGATTCCCTGTTCGTAAACCTCTACCCATTCCCTCTCCCCGCATCCCAGCATCACCAAAAAAATACAACCCCATACCCTCGTTCTTTCTTCAAAAACACCCAACCTAACACCACCAACCCAGACGCCATAACGCGCTTCAAAACCGAAACCCTCCGCGCCTACCAAGTCCTCGAGCAGCATCTCTCTGGAAACTATAAAAACATACCACGTGATTTTCTCGCCGGAAAAGGAAAAGGTAAATATAGTTTTGCAGATATAGGGACTTGGACTTGGGTGAGAGCATGGAGGTATGCAGGATTTATAGAGGTGGAAATGGAGGCGTTTCCTTGTTTGTTGGGGTGGATTGAACGGATTGCAGAACGGGAGGCGGTGAAGAGGGGGATTTCGGGGTTTTATGATAGTGAGGAGAATTTGGGGTTGAGGGTTGCGGCAAATGTGTAGAGTCTGTTGGATTATGTGATGAAGCGAATTAGGGGTATGCTTTATTTTATGATTATTAGAATGTGACGATTTAGTTTTACTTGGTCCAATGGGCATGGGGTGCATGGCTTGTATCTAGGCTGCGCAATGGGGCCCCGCGAAGTGGATTATTGCCTTTGGAGGGTAATCTGCGAATGATTCATTTGTGGGTTAAGTAATTGAAAAATCTAAATGGGTAAATTGTAAATAATTCGTAGATTATTTATAGATTATTTATAGATTATTTGTAAATAATATTTGTTTAAATTTTTAAAATTATTTTTATATTTTTTATATTAATTTTTATAAATTATATTTAATTATAAATTAATAGATTATTTATAGATTATTTATAAATAATCTACATGATATAAATTATTTTAAAATTCCAATAGGTAATCTGTAGAGCGGATTATTTGTGGATATTTATAATCCGCCGGTTATGTTTGTGCAGCCTATTTGTATCACTCGTTCCAGAAATCATAAAGTAAATTCATCATAATATTCATTTGCTTAAATCTATCTCCGGAAACCCTACACAGTAAGGTAACATCATCGATAAAACTACTTCTGTCAAAAGAAAAGTCAATAAATCATTCGTCATCATCGCTATCCTGCAAATTATCGCCAATATCAGCACAATCCATTGTATCACCATGCGTCAAATTTCCCCACTGTAGAATTCATCCACATCACTCCTCAAAAAGTTGAAATACCAACTTTAGATATGCACCACATGATTCAATCCATTCCGTAACAATCAGGAGCTTCTAGAGCATCTCCCATTCTCCAACCTCCTTAAATTCATTAACGCCTTCCTCCTCAGCCATGGTCCATGAGTCTTCGGATTCTGCGTCGTTGTCATACTCATCTTCATTAACTTCATGTGCAAAGTTTGTTTCTGTAATAATAAGCTCTACATTTTGAGCTTGAGGTACTTCCCCAAGTTTGGCGACGTCAAGAGTGAATGTATGTGCATCAAGCTCCCCTGGACTGGTGGGCACAGGCATCTCACTAACGACAGCGACCTCGGTGTTAGCAAGTTCAGTCTTGGCGAAATCATTGTGTACAATTTCAGTTGACTCTCGATTCGTTGCTGATTCTCGTTCTTGTCGTTTGACATCTGCACGCTCACGGTTCTCCAGGTTTCTGATGGCATAATCTTGCAAATGTGAGCCGGCAGACGTAGCATCGAACTTGTTCTGCTCTTCTTTTTTATAAATGGCGTTTCGATGTTCATCCTCATAAGCATCACAACTATTTATTGATCTCTCGGCAATTCGAGAGTCAAAATAATTGATGGGAACATTGAAATCGTTCTGCGGTTTGGGCATTGTCTTTTGGTTTTCCTCCCATTTAGCATAGTAAGAGCTCGATGGTCGCTGTTTAGCATATTGAGAAGCGCTATAGCCATCAAAACCATCTAAATTGCCCACCTGTTCATGGCGTGTTGGTGGTGAAACTTTGCTGGGTATTGTCTTCTGGTGAGCTTTAAGACCAGCACAAGCTTCGGCTACCGGACTTATTTCAGTGTGCTGTATACCAATATTGTTGAAGGTTTTGGCATTTTCCGCTATCTGTTCCTCGTTGAATTTAGGCGAAGCTCCAGAGGCTAGCACTTTTTTACGAGCCTCATACGTCATATCTTGAGTTTCGATACCCAAGGAGGCGGATGGTGCGTGAGTAGACAGACTCGTAAATGTGTCGTAATAAGGGGAATGGGGCAACTCCGATCCATAAGTACGGTGTGAATCTGTCTGCATTGGCACCTTGGGAGGGCTGGAGTGTTGGAGAAGCTTTAGCTCTGTGTAATGGTCACTCACATGATGAGAGAAGCTCGAAAATTTTTGTTCATTTTTAACAGAAGCCTGCTCAGTCCTCGAACTACACTCTGCAAGAGAAAGTGAAAATGACTCGGACTCAGCAAGTATCTTCCATTCTGCATCACTAACGAGGTCTAAATCTCTGTCGGCTAGTACGAGTGGAATGCGCTTTTTAGTCGGCACTGGTAACTGCATTGCATAGCGACGTCTCTCGCAGAGCTGTCCATTGAGAATAAACCTAGGTAATCTCCACTTCTCATCATTGTTTGGAAATAAAGGGATAGTAACAGACTGTTGTTGAAGACTCTTAGTCATCAAAGCTCGCAGCAATTTATCGGAGAATCCGGAATCGTTCAACTGCCGAAAAACAACAGGAGATGTAATGCTCGAGTAGAGTTTTCCATCAAGATTAAAACAACCTGTGAATCCAGCTTGTTTCCAGCAAGGTAAGGTATTTTCGATAGCAAAGACCCATGGGCTGCATTCTCGCATTGGAGTGTTTGCTGTTACCAATTCCTTTTCTTTCATAGCCTCCAAGTCTTGTGTACTGTACTTGTGGTTTAAACTGGTGCCATTCGCTAAACCTACATGCGTCTCTGCAAGATCAGAAATGTTGTTGTTGGTCATACCAAAAGATTGATGTTGAAAAAGATTAGCGTTTGAGTGAGGCAAGTGAGTGGGAGAGGCTTTGACACCTGGAACATTGGTGATGATATCCTGGGCTTGAGAATAGAGGGTCTCCTTGGGATGTGGGGTAGTGTCAGTTGGCTTCATATCGGTGACGGGGGCCTCATGTGTTGTGACAGTATTGCCAGCATTAACAGCACTTCCAGAATTTACCACGGCCTTTTTTCCAGTGGTCTGGATATCGGAAAGTGAATCTTTGGACGGGATATCTTCACCAGACAGCGCACCTGAGCAATGAGCTGAATTCACGGAGGTGTGTCCCACGGTTAGCTCTTGCATGACCTCAATTGCAACCTCCGGAGCCCAGAGTTTTCTTGGTTCTTGCCCAATTTTGACCGTATCATTCCTCCTCCTGGCAATGGCTCTTTCGAGCTTCTCCTTTTGATCGGTGATATCCTTCGACTTGACACATTCCAAGCACCAGTTGGTTTCTTTAGCTCTCTGATCTTTGCTGAATTGATGAAAACCCTTCGACTCACCACAGGGGCCCAGGCACTCAATCTCCAGGAGCTCGACAATATGAAGGCGGCGGTCCATTCTTCTACATTGCTCGAGTGGTAGAACCAACGCCCGATCTGCTTTGCTCAAAATATTATGTAGGTCTGCGCTCTGTGTCGAAATGCCCACTGCTTCCAATTCCTCGATAACAGTAAATATGCGAGCGGCATACTTTTCAATGCAGATCCAATAGCTGTCGGGATGGGGAGTTGTAGAACGAGCTCGAAATCTTATAGCTCTGTCGTAAGCAGACTTCTGCTTCTCATTCATTCCTTTCCAGGCCTTGCCGGTCCTCAACGCTTCAACAGCTTCTAACCAAGCTACTTGAAGTTGGTTCATGTCTGTGCGTTCCCGTTCCAGCTCATCACGCCGTGTTTGCAACCGAGATTTGTTTAGGGAAAAGTTATCGACATCAAGAACTCCTCTATCCACCTCCATGTGTTTGGTAGGACCAGTTGTATTGATTGGATGATAGCCATCGACCTCTCGCTCATGCGTGTTTTTCGAGTTTGCAAAAGTGTTAGATAGCGCATTGGAAACAGATTGGGCGATGTGAGAGTCAGATTCTTTATTGGAGCCCATCTCATCGAAAGGAGCGTGGAAAGCCTTTTCAAAGTCAAGATAGTGCTTCTTAATGTCAAGGGTCATTTTCTTGTAATGTTGGTTCCAAAAGCCGGGTTTCTTCTTAAATTTTTCTTTTGTGGTTTCCTTGAGAAGGGCAGAATGATCAAGAGGGCGGTTGTTGATCTCAAGAGATTCTGAAAAATAGGATATAGGATTGCAGGTGAGGAGTTTGTGTTAAATAACCAAATCCTGAGCTAGTACGGCCCAACATCTGAAATGGCGGGGTGATTGCTGTGCAATTATACAAGTGAATTCGTTGCTACGCCAAACAGCTAAACACATACGACAAACACGGTATCACAGAAAATATTCAATTGCAAGTTAGCTCGGATTCATAGTGACGCTAATTAAGTTAAACTGTAAGACTTCTAGGATTCACTTTTGGTTAGCTTCAACATTCATCATTTACAGCTTCAGTCTTGATCCTCCTGGGAAATCCCACGACAACAAAAAATTTCTGTACAGTAGATTGAATGCAACGCAGTCATGGACGAGACGACAGAGCACATCCACTCGAAGTCTCCTGCGGGAAATAGAGACGCTGCAATCGAGCAGGCACTCGGCAAGATCATGACAGACAAACATTCTGACGCGTTTGTTGTTGACAGACTGCAAACCATGTACAGACATCATAAGCATTTACTTCTCACGTCACCAATTCAGTCTTTGATCTATAGATTTGGTACGAATGTTGGATCACCCACATTTATTGCGCTGAAACGCACTTCTGTTAGCAGATTCGAACGTTTTGGATCTAAAAAGCTTGTCAACATTGATCATTTATGGAGAATTCCTGGTCGATTAATTCTAGTAAAAGATACTATCACTGTTAGTTTCAGTGTGACTAGATGTATAACATTGATTGGTGATCATCAAGATGAGGTTGGGCTTGAACACATGCATTGCATTATGTTCTCTAGAAATGGAAATCTCAGTATGATGGTTCAACCGCCCCCTCTTCGTGATCCCAATGATCGCCATTACTTCTACAACGCAGGCGGAGAGGTTAGCATGAGAGAGGAAAGAGCAATGGAAGCAATTCCTCGGGTCAAAAATGCATCAGCTCCCATGTAACCGGGTAATTTATGAGTTAACTTCCTGTTACCTCTTGGACGGTAGCTAATAGGCATCATTTATCATGAAACTTCTTTTTTTTTGGCTACATCTTATCTCTTTTGGGTCATTGCTTCACTTTATATAAAGTTTTGATCACAGAAACTTGATTGATACTAACAATAAGAAACAGCTCTGATGATGATTCTGAATCCACGGTCAGCCCACTCGTCATAGATAATCCGGCGACTACATCAACTGCTAGACCTAATCATGAAAACGATAATGAAGATGAGGAAGAAAATGTTGTATCTCCATGGTTCGGCAAGGAAGAGCCATACGCAGACCAAGACTCGTACGACAACGAGATCAAAGTTGCGACGGACAGGGAAGCGGTCAGTCGTCGCGAAGAGGCTGTCGAGTGCAAGGAGCAACAGACGAGATAGATAGAGAAGTAATTAGTCGCCGCGAAAAGGCTATTGAGAGCGAGAAGCAAATGATCGAGATGGATAGAGAAGCAATCAGTCGCCGCGAAGTGGCTGTTGAGAGCAAGGCAGAATGGATCGAGATAGACACTAGGCAGTCAATTGCTCTCAGGGCATTCTTGAAGACTCGTGAAATTGGTTTTTCTGCCCGTGAGCAAGATCTTAAAAATCGAGAGATAGCCTTAGCAGTCCGGGCTGTAGCTCTTGAGCGACGCGAGATTGATGTTGGCATTGAGATGGCGGCTCGTGAGCGCGCAATGACGCATCTTGAGAGAGATAATTACGGGGAGAACATGCTGAAACATACGAATGTACGCGTGCCAGCTAGGTAAGTAATTTTTTTATTACTACGGTCGGTAGCATATGGTTATTAATGCTTGTGCTTTTAGTGCTCTTCGTTTCAATACTGACTTACCCTCGGTCAATGGCCAGGAATTGCGGCTAGTATGGACTATCTGTACGAAGATTAGTAGGAGGCTGCTCAAATTTCTGAAATTTACATCATGCTCTTTATCTCTGTTGACCAAGTTTATAGAATGGCATTGGTTTGCCTTGGGAACAGAGCAATATGATATGTCTTCGTACTTTCTGTTCAGATCAATGTGTCAGGAATCTTTAATAAACTCAAGGGATGTCTTATTGTACTAGTCTAAGGATATGATAATGATTTTCATGCTTGGAACACAACTTTAAAAAGTAGACTTGTGAGAGAAGCGCAGTCCGTGATGAATTAAGACAGGTAGACGGAGGGGATTTGATCTCACTGTATAAACTTATGAATCAGTCGAGCAATGACCAGTAGACCTTGATTGATGCCCGACTTCCTCTTCCCCATTACACCACTACCAAACCATCATCCTCAACCCCGATTCGATACCCCAACTTCCTATGGCATGGTTATCCAAAAACTCTGAAATATTAATAAACTTATCGACGCAGCTAAAAAAGTAGCGAAGACAATCAGTGGAAAAGCTCAAAATACCTTTCCGAGAAAGATGGACCTTGATAGATTCTCGCTCACGTGCCATCGCTTCTGTTGACATGGCTACACTAGCGTTCCAGTTATCTTGAGTTTCGACCCGCGAAGTACCTGTAAAGATTTACATGTTGGATAATTTCAAACTCTCCAGGCTTTTGTTCTCCAAAACCGAAAGGATGGCAGACCTTAAGAAGTCAGTCAACGAAGTGTTCTACCGCATCAAAAACTATGTCGACTGCGCTCCATTTGTCATATTACTCAACAATAATCTACAGGATCCTGGATTTGAATGCATGAAGTGTACTTTGCTTATGCAAGGAGATGAAGTGTTGATGGTGAACTCACATAAGAGTTGGAAACCTAATGCTCTTTTTCCATTCAGCAATGGAAGCATGAGTCTTAAATATGTTCCATCGAGAAGTATACAAACACTTCTGATACCAAGAGATCCTTCAAGTGAGTTTATATTTCTCTCGGATGCTAAATAAAAGCTAAAAGTGAGTAGGTATGCATGTTTTAAGGGTTTAATGACGATCAACACTTTCACGAGTGAGCAGAACGATCAGCACACTTCAACTTATGATGGCGAGAAACCTTCCAAATGTTTGGTCAATTACAATGACGCTCCGACTGATAATCAATCGTGGAAAGTCACAAACTATGAAAAATCCGAATTAGAAGTGGCACCTACGGTCACGACTCCAAAGTCTGCAGAATTCATAAAAACGCGGAGATCTGATTTGAAGTCCATCAAAGTCACTACTCAAAAATTCGCAGAGAATTACAATCTTCGCTTTAAAGAACTTTGTAAGAGAATCAATATTAAAAGCCTGGAAGCCGATTACAAATCTCAATATGCACGCTGTCGTGTGCTTCTAGCTGACATGCAACAAAACAAGGATGGTTTTGCTGCTAGGGAGTCTACAATTGTCGAAAGGGAGAAGTATTTAGAAATCATAGCTGCAGATCTTGAGTTACGCATCCAGGCTGCCGAAGAGGAAGACGAACGCATCGCATTTGAAGCTTCGCAACGCAATGAAAAATTGAAAGGCATTCGAGACTGTCTTGACGAACGGGAGGGATTGCTAGTACTTGGCAGAAGCGCATTAAGAACAAGAGAGGCAGATGTCAGTCAGCGTGAAAACCATGCTAAGACTCGGGAGGATACAATCGACGATGTTGAGAATACCTTGCTAGCTAGGGAAGCTACCGTCAAGGCCAGTGAAACTGCACTCATCTCCAGAGAATCAACTATCCGAACTAGGGAAGAAGCTATCAAAAAGTGCGAAGAGGCTATTGAGTCCGAGAAAGATGTCATCAAGAATAAAAAAGACGCACTTCGGCTTTATGAAGCAAATCTAAAATATACTGAGAATCGTCTGCAGACAAAGGAGGAAAGACTCAATTCTGAGATGACCAATCGAAAACTCGCCGTCCTGGAACGTGAGCAAACGGTTGATGTTCCGGATGCTGCTTCTTAGATGGGTTGGAAAATTTCTAGAATTGGGATTGCGGATAATAACTTTATCTCACATGAGACTCTTAGCAAGGCACCTTAGACGGAATACGCAGTTCTTAAAGCTCTGATGATAAATTTACCTGACATGACACTGTTGTCGAGGCACCCAAGACAGACAGACTATGCAATTCCTAAAACAGGTTCTAGGAAGTACAAAATGCCAGAATTCGAGACGCCACTGCAATCACAGTTCAAAAAACATATCCTTGCTCCTAGTCCTAGGAAGAACTAAAAGTAAGTTCACTCCCCTTCTCTGCCCTTTCCATTCCACAATCCTCTTTTCCATCCCTCCCTCCACCCATCCATAAACCCCGCTAACAGCTCTTTCATCCTCAGACCTCATTCCATTCTTGTCCTCATCCTCTTTCTCCAGCCACACCTCATCCACCACACTCCTCATTCATTCCGGCACCCAGCAACAACACCGCAGCACCGCAGCACCGCAGCACCACATCCCAACACCCCGCATCCAAACCTCCCTTCAAAAATTTCCTACACCTAATCAGAATCTCGAATCTCGAATCCAGAATCTCACAAAATAGCTAAACTGCGTAAGACTTATAACAACTGTGGACACTATTCCTCAAATCTCATTTTCGCTGTTGTTATTGCTGTTGCGGTTACTCTTTCTATAAAATGTCACACAGATTAGCTAGTATCCATGTATTTTAGTCTTGTATACTTTGTTTGATTCTAGAGCTTTTGATTTTGGACTTTCAACTTTGATTGTTGTTATTTTTGTCAGATGTTATAGATTAGATTGAATTGAGTTGAGTGTTTAATTATATAGAATATAAAAAGAATGAAAAGAGATATAGATGAGATATAATATATACCTGATATACTCGATTAGATATTAATTTAAAAATAAAAACACATTTAAAGATTTTTATTTATAAGATCTATTTTAAAAAAATGAATTATTAATTTTCAATTTATCAATAATTCAAAATCAAAAAAGAAATATTAAAATTTAAAATAAATTATTATTATTATTATTATTATTATTATTATTATTATTATTATTATTATTATTATTATTATTATTATTATTATTATTATTATTATTATTATTATTATTATTATTATTATTATTATTATTTAATAGATTTCAAATGTTTAGATATTATTTAAATATATAAATTTGTATATTTATTTGTCTAGATAGTATTTTATTAAATATAAAAAATTAAAAATCTTAATAATTATTCAAGTCACACACAGCAAAGAATCAACTAGTCTTAAAACAGCTTCAAAGCTTTTCATTGTCTTTTTTAAACTAGATAAAACCAATCTTTTTATAAACAAAAGCAAAGGTAATTTCGGATCGAATACAATCCGATGTATAAACGCCAATAAAAGATTTATGTAACGTTTTATAAACTAATAGTTCGGCGTTTCGTCAACAGAGTGCCGAGGTTATGTAAATAGGGTTGTGGCCTTTAATAGTCATAGGTTTTCAAGCTGTAATCCGGGAGCGTCTGTGACAATAATATCTTATTAAATATATTTATTTCAACAATAATAAACTATACTTTATAATACTATAAATAAATTTTTTTATAAATAGTTATAAAAACTATTTTTGAAAACTTAAAAAATATAAGAGATATATTTATAAACTTAATTCAGAAACAAAGTTTTTATATTATATTATATTTATCAAATTAATATTATAAATTTAAAAAAGAATTAAAGAAAAGATAAAAAAAAATTAATAAATAAAAAAACTAAATAAAAAAAATCCGAGATCTTAGAAAAAACTAATTCAATTGTATAAATAAAAATGATATAAAGAATATAAATGAAAAATAATAATTTAAACAAGAAGAAATATCCATTATATAAGCTGCGATACCGCAGACTAGTCGAAACGTATAAAAAGTTGCGCGGTGAATGGAGTCCACAATTTCGCACCCGATAATCGCATTTCTAGACATCTCTCACTCAGGAGACTGGAACCATCGCGCAGAGCACTCAGCACTCAGCACTCCCGTATAAAATTCCCAGAAACTAAATCGGCGCATCAATTAGCCCACAATAAACCCTCACTTTACAGGACAACATAAACATACGAATCTCTCCATACTATAGCCCAACCCCTATCTTTTACCCCTATCTCCCCCTTATCTCTCAACCTACTTTCCCTCAACATCAACTTCCTCCAAACCCTCACTTCAAACTCAACCTCCCAATTCCAATTTCCTCCTCAAAAGCAATCTCACAATCCGTACAAACGGTGTCGTGTGTCCATTCCTCCCATACTAATTCTTCTAATCCCCGGGGACATGTTAGATAATTTGAGGTATTGTAGCCTAGAGAGGAGGAGCGCAGTGTTAGGATTGTGTTTTGAGATGTGGGTTAGGAATTAGGAATTTTGTTGATTTTTGCTGCTGATTGTACATGTGAAGATGGGTGTTGATAGAGGTTTGGGATAGAGGAGGGGAGGGATACAGTTATGTGTATATATATATGAGAGGAATAACGAACCAGGACAAAAAGTAATTTCTTTAACAATGACGTGTTTGGGTGGGTGTATTGGTTGGAGAGGGATGAATTGAGATTGGCAGTATCGAGAGGGAAAGGGATGAATGTGGCGGATGCACATATTTTGTGCGGAAGTTGAAGGTTGGGAGAAAGAGGAGGATAAAGGAGGATGCAGACAGGAAGGGAGAAGGCAGGGATAGAAACAATTGATTGAAGATTTCGACGAGATGTGGGTTGTGGAGAAGCAGGCTAAAAAAGATAAGTTCCGAGATTGCCGAATAAATTTCCTTCTGAAAGAAGTGCGTAATTTTGTTGAACTGAAAACAAGTGAGGTGTATGAATGGGGTGATACCAGGTAGGCTCTTACCGTGTGTTGATACTACCTAACTGACTTTTGGGGACATAAACGAATAGTTCCCGGGGCCCTTCTCGTCTCATGCACTAGTTGTGAAGACTTTGAAGAACGAAGTTCAAATTAGTGGCTGGTAGAATCCAAATTAAGTAACGAGTGAAGCTTGATATTGGTAAAAAAGCAGAAAAGCTTTGTATTTCGCCTTATGTATTCGCTCCATTTCGTATGTGGAAAGAATTACCAGTACTCGTCTGAACTTCATGCTTCATATTGTACGATCCTAAATTCATCTTATTGGAAACGAGGAACGAGGAATAGTTTTGTGGGGTTTGATCGATGTAAGCAAGGCTAGTACTAGTACTAGCTAGTCTACCGGTGACAGAAGGTCATGTCGCAATGATAATGAGGTGCAGCTTTTGATCATTTCTCGCGTTGCTTCGGGTGGGGACTTATTGTTCCCCTTGTTGTTCCAGCTGATGCAAGTAAGAAGTTATTGCTCACTGTGTCTCAGGAAGAAGTCGAGGAGGGAAACGAAATATCTTCAAACGCTACTAGGAATGAGATGCAGGTTTTGATTAGTTATCATAGATGTTCATCCTTGCTGGCATATCTTCCGCTAATTTGGAAATGCTTTTTACCCATGCTTCACAGGTAAGGTGGAGAGAGACCTCAACGGTACTTCTAGCTTCTTTCTAGCTCTTCGGTATTCCGCTGGAACTGTTGTCCACCACTCATCAGAAGTAGCTGATCCCCTGCGATGAGAGCTTAACCTTTTTTGGGATCATAGTGCAGCCTTTGGTAATTGGATGTCTTGCTGTTGGTCTTGAATAAACATGTAAAAAGAAAGGTTTTTGGTAGTGTAGAAGAACACTTGCGCCACGTGTCGATTACTAGACCCTCACATCCACTCTTTGGGTCAATTTGTCATATCCACTTCAACAACAGGGTTGAAAATGGGCAGAACAAGGACGCTAGACCCGTGCTTCCACTATCCCAACCGTTCCATGTGCGGCATATCAACGGTGTCGCGTAGATTGTCGGTAATGAGTCGAATGACACTCACTTCCAGTTTTGTCGTTGTTTCATGAGATAATACCTCTTCCAGCAGTAATGGCAAGCTTATTGTGGAAAGTGGATCAATCAACAGGCAATGCGCGGCTGAGTGGTGCCATTTTAGAGATAACGACGTACGACTGTGGATATTTCTGCGCGTAAAAGCGATGCAAGACATTTCATGGAGGTAGATGGAAGCTTAGTTGTTTCGCGGGCATACATCAGATTTCCTCTCTATTTTCGATTTGAAGGCAACCACAACGTGTGCTGCTAGTAATAGTATACTACATCATTACTTTAATGTTTAAAGACATGTTGAACACCTATACTTTTCATCCTGCAGGGTTTTTATATTTGTTTCATGTCACGGAAAACAGGTCAGAGGGCTCGGCCTCATCGCCAATTCTGTGACTGTTTGGACATCTGCCTATATGATAAGATATTTATTCATATCAAAGTTTTAAAATATCCCATAAACCATGAACATATATAAACAAAAATAGACTTCACACCAGCATTCTCAAAGAATATTCAACACTGTCTTCAAAATCATCAACCACCAATTTCTTTTTAGAAAAACACACTAAAATGTACTAGAAACACTGCAATAAAGTGTAGTCCGAGGACATAATCCCAAGAATAGAAGTTCTAGAAAATTGTGCACACAAAAAGCACATGGAGAGAAATTTTCGTGTAACCACCAATAAAAGGGGGGAAGATTTTCATGCTCTACTTGGAGCGAGATAACTCATGAATCGACTATTGGACCTCCACCAACATTTTGGCGTGGATCGATCTTTGCCGCAGCTATTTTAAGATCTTACATCTTTATACAATAAATTCCTAGACCTTGAAAGGGAATCGGTACTGGCAATCTTACTTAGATTTGTGATGAGGCTCACTTGGCTGGTGGTGGAAAATCAGCGTAACACTTGAATTAGTACATGGTTGTATTGATAATCAAAACTGCACTACAGTGGTAAACAAGGGAAGGAATCGCTGCTTTGGAATTCACTACTGCAAATAAATGACTTGCATCAATGTTTGTGGCCATCAATTAACATCATCAATTAACATCATGAATCTTAAGGAACACAGAAAATTCTTCAGCCAAATCTGTCACTTCGCTTACCTAATTTCGATCCCACTTTTCTCAAACGGCAACATCCTCCTAATCTGTACATCACCACTTTTTGCTCAAGAATTCCTAGATACTTTCTAGATATTTTCAAGTGTATACACAAATAAGAAATCGCAAAGATGGGAAGTATGGGATCCGAAGCACGGAGGATAAATGTTTGGTTAGACTGTGATCCAGGTATGTAAAATCAAACAAAATCGAATCAAAAACTAAGGTTACCGCGACATCGAAATTCTCCGCTTGCTAACACTCCTTGCATAGGCCACGATGTAAGTTTCGTATTTTCCTGTCTGTGGGAGATATGCATGTTGAAAAGTGTCTTATATTCGTCATCTTGAAGGCTTAAGCTAGCTGTGCATTATGCAAGATGGAAAGAGATATGGGAATTATGGAGTCACATGATCTATTCTCGCGGCATCGAAGGTTATCCAGAAAGATTGAATCTGTGAAGAACGGGATCAAGAAGAATAGCTAAATAATAAACAGGATGCATTTGCTATTCTTCTCTCCGCCTACCATCCCTCTCTAAATCTCCTCGGTATCTCCACCGTTCACGGAAACTCCTCTATAAACCATACTACCTACAATGCGACCTCTCTTCTTACAGCCATGTCCGCAACCCATATCCCCGTCTACCGGGGCTCTGGAGTCGGATTAGTACGACCCGCTGTTCATGCTCCTGCTATCCATGGAGAATCTGGGTTAGAAGGAACAAATCTTTTACCGATACCTGCGAAAGGACCTGTTGATGAGTTGGCTATCGATGCTATGGCTAAAGCATTATTAGCTACGTCACCTGGCTCCGCTTGGGTTGTTGCTACAGGTGCATTGACAAATATCGCGTTATGCTTTCAGAAATATGAGGGATTAGCTTCACATATCAAGGGATTAAGTATCATGGGTGGCTCCGTTGGGAACGATTTCACAGACGCAGTTTTAGGACGAGTAGACCATAAAGAACGGATAGGGAACTGGAGTACCTGGGCCGAATTTAACATCTTAGTTGATCCGGAAGCTGCGGCATTTATATTCGAACACGAGGTTTTGAAGAGGAAGTCTGTGCTTATTCCACTGGATATTACGCATCAGGTATTAGCGACGAAGGAGGTGCAGGAGATGTTGAGGAGTGGAAAGGATGGGAGAGAAAATACTACACTGAGGACGATGTTGGTGGAGCTGCTTATGTTTTTTGCAGCTACTTATGATAGAGTTTTTGGGATGAGTGATGGACCGCCGTTACATGATCCGTTGGCCGTGGCGGTTATTATGGATGGGATCTTGAGTGCCGAGATCCCTTTTTATGATTTTGAGGAGGGAGGGAAGACGGAGAGATTTGAGGTTAAGGTTGTCACTGAGGGCAGTCATGAAGATGCTCAGAATGGTTCGGAAACGGGTAGAACTATTGTCAAACTGCTTCCTGAAGGGGAGCAGGGTGTCAAGATTCCAAGGGGCTTGGATATTAAGAGGTTTTGGGACGTAGTGGAAGACTGTCTATCTAGAGCTGATGCCGCAAACAAGGTGAACGGGATTGTTTAGAAAGAATTCTATAGAAGTAGAAAAATAGAAATATCTATCTTCAAAATTTGATGTCCTGATCATGAGATCTGTCTACCCATAGTATATAACTCCCAATACGCTTATGCGCCAAAACTGCCACCCATTGTCCATTCCCCATGCAGACATAACGCCGTTCGTAAAACGATGTTGCTCAAACTGAGACCAACACATCAAAATCACTCCTTCGTGTCCTCCAAAGATAAAGTCTCTGCCGCTGCCGCAATATCTTTCACATCATCCTTGGCCTTCGGCTCGCCATCAGCGTCAAATCCAAGCTGATCCAATTCCCTAATCAACTCATTGATCTTGATAACCTTCGCAAATTGCTCTGGTAGTAGCTTAGCACCATCCTGCTGACTTTTCTCCTTCAAATCCTTAGCTTGCTTTAACTTCTTCTTCAAATTTCTTGCTTTCTTTTCCCTCTCCGCCTCCGGATCAACCTCTTCCTTCTTCTCAACCTCAACATCCTTTTTCCCATCCCTCCAATTATCAGTCTGACTTCCTTTGACTTCACAGTTCTCTTCTTTGGAATTCTCAGCAGCTTTCTTTCTCGCTTCTCTCCTCTTTGCATTTTTGTTGCTGGCTGCAGGTCCCACTGTACTGGTATCATCCTTTAGGCCCTCTGCGCCGGGTGGCCCTCTGCTACCACGACTCTTCCATGTTTCTGCGGTGCGGTTTTTGTATACTTCGACATCCTCGGGTGGTTTGTATCCTGGACGAATTTTGATTTCTTTTCGTTTTGTGCCGTCGGCGCGGGTTGATGAGGGGATATGACGATCGCCGGTTTGAGTTTCGACGATGCCGGCTTTGGAGGGGGTGGGTACGGAGGGCATTTTTGAGATTGAGGGACGGTGCCCTTTGTGAATGGTTGGAGAATTTAAATTGTAACAATATCTATAGGTGCATAGATACGCTACTTCAATCTGTCCAATCCAAAAATGGGTGAAGGATTCAAGGAATGTGGTAAATGTAAACTCGAACTTGAACTTTGCTTGAATGGTCAAAATTCATGAGGCTGTCACACGTAAATTGTTAACCAATTGAAAGCGAGTACAGATGAACGACTTCGACCAATCAAAAGTGACTCGATATGACCATCGGGATTTTACGTTGTTTTGTGCCGGGGGAGCCAAAATTCGTCCGATTGCCTACAACCTCAATTCCAGGAATCATCTCACTCGATAAGCTGTCTCTACCGATCTGCGAAAAGAACTGATTAATTCGCCATGGTATGTTTGCACGATGACCTATCCTTGAAGTTGCCAGAGCTTTGCTGATACACACAACCGTAGCCTTCCGCAAGCCGTCCTCTTTACAAGTGAGTTGCTCTCCCTCGATGCGCCCACCACGACATAACTACCATGGGTGGAAAGACATGAGGAATCAGAAGGGCTAATGGTTTCTCGAATTTAGCTTTCTCTTCCGAAAGAACTACGTGTTCCTCGGTGCTGTTTTCGCCTCTGCCTTCGGATTCGAAATGTATGTTTACTTGCATGTTCGGGATATATGGAAAGGAAACTGGGAACTGATGCATGATAGGGCGTATGATTCAATCACAGATAGAGTTTGGGATTCTTTAAACAAGGGCGTAAGTGATTCTACCAGAGGATATAGGGAGGAAATGTGCTGATGGATATGCATAGCGTCAATGGAAAGATATCCGTTCGAGATATGTTGAGGCTGCGGACGATGAATAGATCGTCTATGGGACAGAAAGATGCTAGGGGGGTGAATACGAACTTTATGAGGACAAGAGGATGTTAGAGGAAAGAATCGGGGCGTCAGTATTGGGCAGGGCGCTTTCATTGGAAGTGTATAAAAGACATTCGAGACTGTAGCACCATACAGGCATAAAAGCAAGATTACAAAGACCAGTACTGCGATGACATTGCCTCCCGCTATTCTCCATACTGTTTGTTGGAAGTAAAGGTAGAATATATGTGAGAATCAGAAGTTCTAAAGATTTGCGGCAATTAGAGGTTTTGATACTTGTGAATGCTATGTCAGTGAGTTTGGTAGAAGACGGATTTCAACTTTCATTTTCTAGTTATCCATTTGTACTTCAGACATTTGAAAAGAATCTTTTATTTACATCTAACATTTGACATCAATTCAACTAGTGAGCCTAACTCAGTATTAGAAATTGACACCTTATTCAAGCCCGACAGATCATTCAATTGTGGATTGTCAGTCCAGACATCAGGTGTTGGGTGGTTGGTCCAACAATTAATTGGTCCCTGATCTTTGTGGGAGCTCATGAAACTGGAATCTCCCCCGCCACAGGCCGTTCATCTCATCCTCCACAAGTGAAACAAAACCATTTACATGATTCAATATCTAGGCGCAGAGGAGTTATATTCTGCAGTATAAATCAGAATTTACCAATTTTTCAACACAGTTTGCTCTTCAATATCCAAGCCTGAGGAGTTTCGGTTTTATTTTATTTCCATTTCCAACACTTCGCCTCACCTCCATTGCGGCAACTGCGACACGATAACGATTCTTTATCGATGAACAAGCATAACATACCACAAACGTCATATAGTAAGAACATCCCAATTGATGCAGGAGACAGGAACTTCTTCATCTACTCAGTTCCAAGGCGTCATGGCGGAACAATCTATGCCCTCGAGGCAGCTCTGTGACTTTCTCAAAACGCTGCCCCGCGTTCACCAGAATCGGTACACAGAGCAGGCGGAACGCGATTTACTTCAGAGTCTCTTTTGGTCACTCGCTGGCGGACAAAAAGACTACTTAAACCTTTTCTTTCCAGAGGATTCGAGGCCGTCAATCAACGAGCCATGGAAACTGAGAAAAGCGCAAGGAGGAACAGATGGCGACGAATTTACAGAGGCAGCTAGAGGGAAGGTTTGCGGACATATATTTAAGACTGGAGAAGCTACATATCGATGTAAAACCTGTAGTTCCGATGACACATGCGTACTCTGCAGTCGATGTTACGATTCATCTGATCATACGGGACATATGGTATATGTGAGTGTCTCATTGGGGAACAGTGGATGTTGCGACTGTGGAGATCCAGAGGCCTGGCGTCTACCTGTCCATTGCTCGATACATACAGCATACGGACCTGGCGAAGGTGAAGACAAGGGTAAAGCAGCTGGTCTGCCAGGGGAATTGGTGGAAAGCATACAAATGACCATCGGGAGGGCTTTTGATTATATTTGTGATGTTATATCATGTTCGCCAGAACAGTTACGATTGCCTAAATCGAAGGAGTCTATACAGTTGGATGAGAGGAGGTCGCGATTGACATCTTCATACTATAACGGAGATATCATTGAGGATGAATGCGAATATGCACTTCTTTTGTGGAATGACGAAAAGCATACTGTCAATGAAGTTCGAGATCAGGTGGCAAGAGCCTGCAAATTAACGAATGCGGAGGGGTTGCAGCGGGCACATGAAACTGATGATATTGGCCGGAGTGTGATTAAATATAGTACAGACATTGACCAATTGTTGCGGGTTTCAAAGGTTGTTGAGCAGATTAAGGTCACGGTCACTATTCGTTCTGCCCGGGATAGTTTCAGAGAGCAGATGTGTGGGACTATCATCGAATGGCTCAGCGATATTTCTGGTTGTAGCGTCGGTCCAGATCACAACATCTTACGACAAGTTGTTTGTGAAGAGATGCTTAAAGAGTGGAACCGAGGAAGTGAGGCAAGCAACGCCGACATAGGGCTGAATGGAATCGATGACCATGAAGTGGAGGACAGGTCGTGGTCACGTGCTGAAAGTCGTGTTTTCGGACATATTTTCAGAGACCGGCAGCCTCAAGCTATGGCGGTAATGGCCGCCGCTGCTGCTACCGATTCGGAACCTGACGAAGATGGAAATGATGACGATGACGAGCTCAATGAAGCTAATATAGCGCTTGATGATGACGATGAAGATGGTCCCAGTGATGACGACGTAGAACTAGTTCAATTTGAGTCCGAGGCGTTGAGGATTTTTCAACAGGCGAGACAACAAGCTTTAGCTGCCGCTACTCAACCAGAAGCCGAAGCCGAGACTGATAACGACGGAGATGTTAATATGATCGGAGCAGAAGATGAGGCACTAGAGGTACAAGAAGCTACTATGGCCGGGTATCCACCTCCGCCGCCACCACCACCTCCACCTCAGAGAGTTACTAGAGATCGTGATCTTACACCATCGGATTCTGATACTGCGGAAATGCAACCTCTTATATCAGACAACCTGTATGCGAAAGCCAAGATGGAAATTCCGAAGACTCCATTGAATATAGTAAAGAAAGAAAGAGCAAAGCCAGCTAGGTATTGGCTTGAAAGTCCTCCTGGTTATACCGACAGAGAATCAGTAGTATTGCATGAGGATCTGTGGCATAAGCTACGATTAGATTGGCTAATTTTATTTGATTTGAGGATGTGGAAAAAAGTTCGAGTCGATCTTCGTGAGCTTTACATCTCGACCGTGGTATCGATTCCTGAGTTCAAACGTGTGCTTGGTCTACGTTTTGCAGGTCTTTACACTACTCTCGCGCAACTTTACTTGATTGCCGACAGGGAACCAGATCATTCCATTATCAACATCTCTTTACAAATGTTGACAACGCCATCAATCACCGCTGAAATCGTGGAAAGGGGAAATTTCTTAACCAATTTAATGGCAATTCTGTATACCTTCTTAACCACACGACAGGTTGGACATCCGTATGAAATATTCCCAAATGCCACATTATCTTTCGACTCAGGGTCTGTAACCAACCGTCGAATGTATCATTTCTTCATGGATTTGAAATATCTGTTCGGTTCAGAGCACGTACAAGAAAAGTTACGCACAGAGGAAAGATACATGCTGCAGTTCTTGGACTTGGTCAAACTCCATCAAGGTATTTGTCCTAATGTCAGGGCTGTTGGCGAGCATGTGGAGTATGAAACGGATGCTTGGATTAGTGCGTCTCTAATCACCCGAGAAATCAATCGTCTGTGTAGGCAATTCTCCGAGTCTTTTAAATGGACTCCTGGTGAATCGACGGATCCTGTTTGCAGGGCAATTCGAACTGCAGCAAAGGCGGTTATCCTTAACTCCTTGGGTACTGAGAGGAACCGTTTTACCCAGGCAGAAATTAAGGATGAAGTCAAATTCAAGAAGGTAGGGGATTATGAATTCGACACTACCGAACAGTCCAACAGTGTTATTCAGCATTCAGTAGTCAGGTTTGTGGTAGAGTCTCAACCTATTAGTTTCCACCATGCGCTCCACTATACTCTCTCCTGGCTAATCGAGTGCGGTAAAAGCATGCCCAGACAACAGCTTGTCCGGCTACTCAGCTTTACTACCCAAGAACTTCTTCAAAAACCTAAATTCATGGGGCAACGACTTATGCCTAGTCAAGTATACTCCCCAGAGGATCACTTAGTGGCAGCCTTCGACTACCCCTTGCGAGTATGTGCATGGTTGGCGCAAATGAAAGCTAATATGTGGGTTCGAAATGGCATGAGTCTTCGTCACCAGCAGGGTACATACCGTGGGGTCACATTGCGGGATGTATCCCATCATCGAGATATATTCCTTCTTCAAACTGCTATGGTTGTATGTCCACCTGCTCGTATGCTGGTCTCGATTATCGACCGATTTGGTCTGGAGCAATGGATGAAAGGCTTGTATGAAGTCAAGTCAGATGGAGTCGATGATGGACAGATTCTCGATATCGCAGAGGATTTGATTCATCTTCTGATTGTCCTGATCAGCGATAGGACATCTTTGCTTTCAAGTGATGATGACCCTGGATCTCACATAATGGCTATGCGTCGAGATATTACTCATGTTCTTTGCTTCAAACCACTATCATTCACGGAGATTTGTGGCAAGCTACCCGATAAATTTCAAGACCAGGAGGAGTGTCAGGATATTCTGGACGAGATGACGAATTTCAAGCCGCCTGAGGGTCTATCTGATGTTGGAACGTTTGAGCTGAAAGAACAATATTTGGAAGACATCGATCCCTATATCGCTCATTATAGTAAGAACCAAAGAGAGGAGTCCGAAAACACTTACAAGGCTTGGATGGCAAAGAAGACAGGTAGACCACCTGCCGAAATTGTTTTCGAGCCCAGATTGCGCCCTATTGAGTCAGGCGCGTTTTCGGATCTAGCAGCTTTTACGCGAACGGGTATCTTTGCTCAAATCATTTATTATGCACTGTTATATCCGTTGATGGCGAATAAGCTAACGCCAGCTGTACCTGTAACCCGAGTAGAGACATTCTTGCATGTAGTTCTACATCTAGTCCTCATTGCCGTATCAGAGGATAGGACAGATGAAGATGAGATGTCCGAAGAGTCCCTTGAGTCGTTCATTTATATCGCACTCACAAGCAACGCACGAAGCAACTTCTCGCCAAGCGCTCCAGCATCGAAGACAATAGTTGCTATTCTGGAAATGCTGTCACGAAAGGAGGAGTTTAAGACTTGCCATCCAAAGATTACTTTGGTATTGAAGAGAATGAAGCAAAAGCGACCTAGAAACTTCGAAACTGCATTTTCAAGATTGGGCGTTCCGGTTGATAGAATATCTACCGCTTCGCCTGCAAACAACAATGCTCTTGAAGATAAGGAGAGGAAAAAGCAAGCTGCCTTGGAACGTCAAAAGAAGGTCATGGCCCAATTTCAACAACAGCAGAAGAATTTCCTTGATAATCAGGGAGATATTGATTGGGGTGAGGATGATATAAGTGATTCGGATGTGGAATCTGAAGGCGAGAGCTCGAAGAGTTATTACCAATACCCTTCCGGAACTTGTATCCTTTGCCAAGAAGAAACCAAAGATGGTCGTCTTTACGGAACATTTGCTTTGATGACTTCGAGTTCGGTCTTACGTCAAACAGACATGTCTGATCCCGATTTTGTTCGGGAAGTTACCAATGTTCCTTCCAATTTAGATAAGTCTGCGGAAGATATTCGGCCATTTGGAGTTTCTGGTGAAAATAAGGAACAGGTTCATAAAGTAACTTCTAGTGGGGTCGAGATTGTCACGGAACGTTCCTTTATTGGCAAAGGATTTCCTTCCAGTTTTACAAATCCTGGCCCAGTATCTGTTGGCTGTGGACATATCATGCACTACAAGTGTTTTGAAGTCTACAATGAAGCCTCAAATAGACGGCATCAGCATCAAATTGCTCGACATCATCCAGAGAAGCTTGAACTGAATGAATTTGTCTGTCCGCTATGTAAAGCTCTGGGAAATTCCTTCTTACCGATTATTTGGTCTCCAAAGGAAGAGATTCACGTTGGCCCTCTTAAACCGCCAGATGCTTTTGACAACTGGATCGAAAGGTTTGCTGGCGCCTTTCAACATCCTAGAGCCGAGAAAATCAATCAAATCGGTAGCGCTCACAACTATGATCGCAAGGCCGACTTTCCTGCAAGCCGACGAACTATGCAATTTTTCAAGAAGCACAACGAAGAGACTATGGCCGGTCCTTTGGTATCCAAGATGCCTGAATTATTAATGGATGCTTGGGATCCACCGTCACCGAGTCATTGGTCATCATTCACGCCAAGTAGCATGCGAGCTGCTCTTCCACCAGATATTGCGAACGCTATTTGGGCCGAAACTTCTCCCCTTCCTGGTGATAGAACATCTAACACCGGCTCTTCTGTGCGAGAATTGACTGATATATATCGAAGGCTTCGAGATACTATGACGAAGAATGGATTGACCAGTAGACATAATCAAAAACTTTCACAGCATGAAGAGAGAGATTTCTGTTCCAGTGATGTACTGGCGCAAGCCTTGGGATTTTCCATCTCTGCAGCTGAGATCCAGCAGCGTGGTATAGCAACATTACCTGGACAGACTTTCTTGGAAAGCATTCCGCAGCAAGCTCTCACTCACCTTCGAATACTATCTGATACCGCATTGTCTTACGTTACGGTTGGTGGGCTTAAACTTGCTGGAGATAACAGGGTCGCTAGAGAATTTAGTACGGACTATGAGCTACAATACCAGCGATTGTTCCGGAAACCGGCATATTCTACTTCATCCGAAACCTCATTGGACTCAGATCCCTTACTTTGTCAAGACATCTTTATTTTCTTGGCTGAAGCCTCCTTGTGCCTTGCGCCTGTTGACGACATTGAAATCATTCATCTTGTTCGTCTTTGCTATTTGGCAGAGATGACGAAGGTTGTCCTTCAATTAGGACGACATATGGACAAATCAAAATGGTTCGATATGATTGAGCTCTATAGACAAGAAGGGCTTGACAATTTCGGAGAATTTTGTCTTCACGTTCGACTATCTGATGTCGACGATGTTCAGTGTCCGGATTCTACAAGTCTACATGGTTTCAACACTCTACGGGATTGCCGTACCTTCGTACAGAAGTATGCACTAGTATTCCTCAGAAAGGTTATGATTCTTTTGAATGTTCGTTATGGTATTGTTTTCCAAAACTATGTTTCATCTAATTCGGAAATGGATGAGCTCGAGCGCCTAACTGAGGCACTCTGTTTGCCAGTCTTTAATGAGATGTTCTCCCACTTTGGCAAGGAAGAGGGAACAATCTCGCATTTAGTTAATCATTGGATCAAGCACGCGAATCTAATGAACCTTGCTATGGTCATGACGACCATGGAAAATTCGATGACGACTTATAGCGGCGATATAAAACCTGAACTTCTAGGTCCAACACCAGAGATCATTGATATCATCAGTCAGCTTCGCAACGAAGGATTGGATGTATTGCAGACGACGATCCGTATTATTAACAGTTTCAATAATATGAGGTTAAGACTCAGCCACCCTAGTATTTTTGAGCTCATCGGCCTTCCGAAAAATTACGATACTCTTATGGAGGAAACTATGAAGAGACGCTGTCCCAATAGCAAGAGAGATATACAGGATCCGATGCTGTGTCTTTTCTGTGGTGAAATCTTCTGTGGGCAGAGTATCTGTTGTTCAAGAGATGGTCCGGAGAAACCTAATGGTGGCCCGAGGGATAAAATTGGTGGTGGTCAACAGCATATGCTTAAGTATATCTTCCCTCTCCTTTCTATTTCTCCTTTCCTCACATAACTAACAACTGCAAAACAGATGTCAAAAGAACACTGCCCTCTTTCTCAACATCCGCAAATGCTGTATCTTCTACCTCTATCGCACCTCGGGTTCGTGGATGGTGGCACCGTATATCGATAAATATGGGGAGGTAGATCCGGGTCTGAGACATAGTCGCCAATTGTTCTTGAATCAAAAGAGGTACGATGCGCTTTTGAGGACGGTGTGGTTGAGTCATGGAATTCCGAGTGTTATTAGTAGGAAGTTGGAGATGGATATAAATAATGGGGGATGGGAGACTATCTGATGGAGGAGGGGTATTAGTTGTTAGGGACTGTGGAAAGAGAAACTGAAGGATCGAGATTTAGATGCGTCGATTTTTTTTGATTCTTTTCGCATAGGCGTTCTGTTGTGGGAAGTGTGCTTTTGTACGGAAGTTAGGTTTTGCGAGGTTATCTTCTTTTTTATAAGCTTTGCTAGTATGGTTTGAGAATAGGTGGGATGTAGTGGAGTGGAATGCATTTATGAATATGAATTTAAATATAAAGACGGGAATGATATATTAAATAAAGTATATGGTTCTAGATTATTTGCTTATTGGGAGGCGATGAGTTTAAGTGAAATTTTATTATGTAACCAGCCGAAAGGCCATCCACGTGATCGCGCGGACAGACGCGTTTTCCATTCGCCACATTAGCATGCAATGCGTATAACCACGTACTATGTGACCGCTATCGCAAAACAGCCTGAAAATGGCCAAATTACAAGCTGCTACGGTTTCTAGCAAGATAGTTCGGAAGCGCAAGCGGAAAGATGCTGGAGATGTGGATTCAGACGCGAACTCGAGCACATGCCTCAAATCCACGGTCGAGGTAGATCAAGAAACTCCAGGCACAACTGGCAGTAGAACTGTTCCTACGAAAGAAAATGACGGGGGTAAAAGACCAAGACGTGTTTCGAAAGGGAAAGTTCCTCCTGCGCTTGCTCGAAACGAATCCTCTTCCACAAATCCAGTTACTAGTACCATTCCATGGCCTACATCCTTCCAGACCCTCGAAAAGACCCATCGAGCATTGAACTTAGTCTACACATTCTGTTCCACTCGAAAGCATTTAGCTACTACATTCGATAATCTTAAGTCTGCTGTGGAAGGCCATATAAAGCGAGAGTTGAGGATTGAGGATGTTGCGCAGATAGTGGCGTTGCGCCCGGGAGGAATGAATTTCGTCTATGTTGATGAGGCGATGCTACAATTAGATATCAGGGGCGCAGAGAGAGATGACACTTTTAAAGGTGGAAGAGCTAAGAATTGGCATGCTGCTGGGCCAGCGCCGGATGCTTCTATAGGTGGGCTTACAGGGATTGAGGGGCTGGGGTATGGAGACGGGGTAAATGGAGAGGGCAAGGAAGTCCTGTTGTTTGAGTTCATAGATGGAGACTTGAAGAGACAAGTTCAAAGTAAGGAGACAGGTGAAGCAGTAAAAGCATCAAGGAAATTAAAGGATGAGGAATTAAAGATGCCGGTTTTCAGTCAAAAACAGATGATGAACCTAATCGAGAAGAGGAATACAAAGTTTGTCAGTGCAATCAATGCATTTCTTAATCGTTGCGAGGCAGATGGTATTGATGCGGAAGAAACTTTAGTCAAGGAGGCCGAACCATTAATTCCTATCCCGTCAATTTCGAGAAGTAGCACACCAAAGCCGGATTACAGCACTTTACCAAAGAAAATACCCAAAGAACGAGCAAGTATATCAGATATCATAAAAGAAATTAAAGAAAGCGAATGGTACACTGGTCAAATCGTACCTGATGGTCATCGTGTATTCGATCCTCAAGAAGCTATATATGGAGATTTGAATTTTGTTCTCAGTCAAAATCTGGTCAATGCTTTGTACAATACCAAGAACATTACGCAGTTCTATGCTCACCAAGCTGAAGCTATAAATAATCTTCACTATGGTCATAATGTCATTGTGGCGACTTCAACAAGTTCTGGCAAGTCCCTGATCTATCAGATTCCTGTCCTGTATGAACTCGAGAAAGATCCTCATTCTAGAGCAATGTACATATTTCCTACTAAAGCTCTAGCACAAGATCAAAGAAGAAGCTTGAAAGAGATGATGAGGTTTATGACTGGTCTTGAGGAAGCCATTGTGGAGACTTTTGATGGTGATACAGATATGAAAGATCGGAATCTGATACGCGATGAGGGTAGAATTATATTCACAAATCCCGACATGTTGCACATCACTATTCTTCCGCAAGAAGACAAGTGGCGAACTTTTCTCAAGAATCTTAAGTTTGTAGTGGTTGATGAAATTCATGTCTACAATGGACTATTTGGTTCCCATGTAGCATTCATCATGAGACGTCTAAGAAGAATATGTGCGGCATTAGGCAATCGTCATATTAAGTTTATCTCTTGCTCTGCCACAGTCGCAAACCCAATGGAGCATTTCAAAACAATTTTCGGGATTGATAACGTACGGATGACTGACTTTGATGGTTCTCCTTCTGGTAGAAAAGAGTTTCTGTGTTGGAATACGCCCTTCAAGGATCCTGTAGACCCTGCCAGCGGTCGTGGTGATACACGAGCCGAGGCTGCAAGATTATTTTCCCAGTTGATACTACGAGGTGTCCGGGTTATAGCTTTCTGTCGCGTTCGAAGACAATGTGAGGCTTTGGTTGGTGCAGTGAAAGAGGAGCTGGTAACCCTGGGACGCCCTGAATGTATGGCTCGCGTAATGGGCTATCGTGGTGGATACACACCACAAGATAGAAGAAGAATCGAAAGTGAAATGTTTGAGGGGAAGTTAATGGGTATTATTGCGACGACTGCTCTGGAACTTGGTGTAGATATTGGATCTCTGGATGCTGTTCTGACCGTTGGCTTCCCGTATACGATTGCGAATCTGCGACAACAAAGCGGACGAGCTGGACGGAGAAATAAGGACTCTTTGTCAGTATTGATTGGTGATTGTTTTCCTAGTGATCAGTATTACATGAATAATCCGGATGAAATCTTCACCAAACCAAATTGCGAGCTACAAGTCGATCTGCAAAATATGCTGGTACTCGAGGGCCATGTTCAATGTGCAGCCTACGAGATGCCAATCCGCCCGGATGAGGATGCGATTTATTTTCCGAAGAATCTGGCAGAGGTTGCAGAAGAGCGCCTGGTGAAGGATGGACTTGGCTTTTACCACTGCAGCGAACGATATAGACCTACCCCATCGAAATTGGTTGCGATTCGCGATACCGAAGAAGATCATTTTGCTATTATCGATATCAGCCATGGTAAAAATATTGTCTTGGAAGAACTAGAAGCTTCTCGGGCATTCTTCACACTTTACGATGGCGGTATCTTCCTTCATCAGGGAAATACATATCTTGTCAAAGAGTTCTTGCCCGAGCAAAAGATCGCCAAAGTTGAACTCGTCAAGGTCGATTGGACAACCCAGCAGCGCGATTACACCGATATAGATCCCATTGAAACCGAAGCTATCCGGCGCATTCCCAACTCCCTCTCTCGTGCATTCTTTGGCGCAATCAAGATCCAACAAACCGTCTTCGGATTCTTCAAACTCGACAAGAAAAGACGTATTCTAGACGCAATTCAAGTCGATAATCCGCCAATTATCCGCTACAGTAAAGGAATGTGGCTCGATGTTCCTAAAATAGCTCTTGAGATTCTTGCTCAAAAACGTCTTAATATCGCAGGTGCTATTCATGCAGCTGAACATGCAGTCTTATCACTCATGCCAAATTTCGTAATAAGTATGCCCGGAGATGTGCGCACAGAATGTAAAGTCGGCGCTAAAGAATTCGCTCAAAAAGAAACAACTCGGAAACGACCCGCTCGTCTCACATTCTATGATGCGAAAGGCGGAGCTTCAGGATCGGGTATTAGTACCAAAGCTTTCGAGTTCATCGATCTCTTATTAAAACAAGCATTGAGAAGAATAGAAGGTTGTCATTGTTATGAGGGATGTGTAGAGTGTGTTGCGAGCGAAACTTGTAAACATGCTAATGAGGTTATGAGTAAAGCTGGTAGTGAAGTTATCTTGAAGAGTCTACTAGGTTTGGATATTGATGTTGATGCGTTGCCGATGGGGCCGGTGGATGAGAGGGATACGGGGATTGAGACGGTCGTTTTGGCGGAGGTGGTTAGGGGTAAGGGAAGGTTAGAAGGTTTTGGGGAGGGGGGGATGGGGATGGGGAGATGAGAGTTAAAGATGAGCCGGTGGATTGAGGGTTTTGAGGTAGAGAGAGGGGTGGAGAGGATTATGATTTCATGATTTTCATTGGTGGTTGGGGTGTATGATACGGTGTATTGTATTATGGACTACTTTAATGGGTGTATACAAGAATGGTATGCAATCAATCAAAAATCCCATGCCATACACCCGGAAGTTCCTACTACGGTTGTGAAAGGTCATAGTAGACGAGGATGTTATGGCGTTATATCGAGATTGTTCCCTGGAGAATCCTGATTTGTAAGGCCACCGCGAGATTAGAAATAATATCTTATAGTACTAGCCAACTTATATTACCCCAAGGTCTACTTTTACACCAAAAAATGTTACAATGTCCGAAGGCAAAACCTCGGCTAGTCGAAAGAGGGGCCGGTGGTTCTGAAGGTTTTATATTAAATAGAAGAGTTTTCATTTATATAAAGAAGCTCTTAAATGATATTGAAAAGATAATGAAAAGTTTTGATATCTTTTTTGATATTTCTTTTGGATCTCCTTGAGTTTTTATTGATCTATTTTGAATATAATCGATTCTTTACAATGTTACTCTAACAAAAAAAGTCTAAAATATATATATTTCACTTAATATTTTTTAATTAAAATAATAAAAATTATTAAGAAAAATTTTATAATATTAAAAAGATTTATACAATTATTATATTGTTTAAAATTTCAAATATTTTAAAAATTCATTTATAGAGTTATAAATTTCAAAACAAAAAATTTTATCTTTTATCAAATTCTTTATAAAAACTAGGGGCCTGCGCCCCCTGGACCTTTTGCTTTTCAAGATAGTTTAATGAAAATTTAAGGTTTAAAAAGTTTATAATAAATTAAATATTAAATATATATCAGGGTGTAGGTAGAATATTGATTTGTTTTTAATAACTGAAAATTAAATTATTTTATTTAAAAATAATAATTATAATATGATTTAATACTATTATTTATAATAATAATAATATTTTATTTTATTTATAATATTTATAATAATACTATTTAATATTATTATTATTATTATTATTATTATTATTATTATTATTATTATTATTATTTTGAATTGAATGAGTTGAATGATTTCAGAGTTGAATGAATAGAATTAAATTGAAAAAAGCTCTAAGTCAGATTTGTCTAAGGTTGTAAGGCTTATGCCAAGCTTTTTGTTAGATTTTTTACAGGGTACTTTAGACCAATCAGATTGTCAGAAACGCGACTCATTTCTCGACCAATCATATCGCAACCTTAAGCGAACCTCATTTTCTACGACTACACCGGGTAAACCTCGCGTACAGCAAGGTTATGGAAGCCGACAATTAAACAAAAAATATTTATATATTTTCAATTTTAATCAAATAAATAAAAAGAAATTCAGAATATTATCTTGCAAATTATTTATGAATCTTGAACTTCGAAATATTAAATGATCGAAATTTGAATTTATTTTTAATATATATTATTAATAATATAAATTATTGAAGAGTTCAGTTTTGGTGTAAAATGATCATTAGGGTAATATAAGTGCACGGTTACTGAGTTTCTAAAATTTCCAACCTGTTTATTAGGTTATTAAAAATTTGAGTTTCCTTAAGCTTGACGGAAACCGGCGAGAAGGTATGAACACAACACTTTCGCCATGGACCATCTTCGATTGATCTACTTCTTCAAACACCTTTTCAAGACTTTTATAGCTGCTATACGAAAAGCAGCATTCTTTTTATTTCACGGTGGACGACCACATACCAGCGTCTTTCCTGGAAATGTTGCAGCTTCATTGGCTTTCAAAGATCTTCTCCAACTAGCAGCATTATTTTAATTGACCTTTGGGCCATGGAGTTCTCACAAATTCAATGTCGTATCCGGAACTTGGACATTTCAAAATTGTCTACTCGCCAATAGGGACAATTGACTATAAACTTCGTCTCGAGGAGAAATTCGACGCTAAAGCTACTATGCCAAACATCATTAGCTTTTAGCGTCCTCTTTCTTCATGGTTTTATGTGCTGCCAAATGTGCCAACCGAAGCGGGTGAAGAAAGGTAAATCATAGAAAATGATGAATGTAAGGCCGTCAATACCGACAATAACCTCATAGGCAACTTTGAATTTAGCAGCACCTTATCGACTATCACGCGTCCAGAAAGCTCAGATGCTCCCAAGAAACTACTTTACATCCCACCACACAGAAGAAGCAATTTTGAGACTGCACTTACGAACACCATCCGATCCAGCATCCCTCCTTCCCAAACATGCTAAGTCAGCGAAATATAAGGAGAGATATAGGTCCTTAGATTTAACACCTAAGCAGAGAAATGCAGCAGTGGCAAAGAAACATTCACTACTGGTCTGGCTTACATACCACATCCAGGTTCCCAATCACCATTCCCGCATTCCAATACTGAAGGATTTGTCAACTTCAAGGAGAAAGTCATGCGAAATCTTCAGGGCGACAAGCCTGTCGGGCCTTTGAGGTACAGGGGAATTCAAAACTTTGCTGGTAATCTCAATTTTTCAGTATTTCTCAGATCATCTTCCCGAAAAGGCTTATTGCTATGAGATCCTCTCGGTAATAACCGTCGGATCCGTGTTTTCTGCTTACATTGAAGATCGTATCTACGTATTTTCCTTTTCGACTGCGAAACCTATTTTCAAATAGGCCGAAGGCGCTGCGCGATTTATCGAACTAGAAAACTCCACAGAGGGTATCAAAATTCACGAACATTGTTTGAGTGTAGTTTAAATTCACATCCTATTGTCCAAATATCGTATAGATCATCAAAGTCGGAGAATACTTCAGCTAGTTGTATATCATCCCATGAAAGGAGCTTGAATAGGTCATGATTGAATTCGTCAATTCTTATCCCTTTGCTATTCCTATGCTTTATTCAAGACATCAATTGCTTTATCTCTACCAATACCACTCGTTCAAATAGACCTGCAATATAATCATGATTTCACAGTCGCATTCTAGTATTATGCATAAGTCCCCTACCCCACATTCCGACCACCTCAAAAAAATCAATACACCATTTTTAAACTTTAATAATTCAATAACTATTCAACTTCAATAAAATCGTTAGTATCATTATTTTCTAAAATAGTATTAGAATCATCTTCTTCAATTTTATAATCTCCAGTTTCAATTTGAATATCCTTAATAGCTTTAATCTTTACAAATCTCGAATTCAGTTTTGTTATATTTTTAAATCAAAGATTATTAGTTTTTTAATTTATTTTAATATTTCTAATTATTAATGTTTTTATTCTATTTATATAATAACAAAAAAGGAATATATATTTTCTAATTGATATAGAATCTAATAAAAGATGTAATTGATTAAATGTATATTGATATATATTTTTGAAAAACAAAAAGATTGATAAATTAAATAATTATAATATATATAATATATATAATAACAAAAATAAAAGATATATATTATTATTGAAGTAAAGATTTATAAAGATAATAATTTTATAATTTTCATATTTATTCAAAATAAAGAATTTCGTTTTGTTAAAGAAAAAAAAGATTATTAAAAGTATAAAGATTTTTTTAGTTATTCTAAAATATTTATATTTATTATTTTTTTTTGCAATAATAAAATTCTATTTTTAATATAAAGTAAAATCTATAAAGAACTATTGTTGTTAGATACTTTTATTTTTGAAAATAACAATGGATTCAAGATATTTTTGATAATTAAAATACATTCAATAAAAGATATTCAAATTTTTAAATTAAATTCTTTTTTTTGAATAAATTTATATTATATATTTTTTATTATTAATTTATTAAAATCTTGATTTTTTATAATATTAACTTTATTTATATTTTATTAATTTTCGGTTTTAATATCTTTAATTTCAGAAATATTAAGAAAATAAAATTATTTTTTAATAATATCTATATTAATATTTGAAATTTATATAGAATTGATCCTTTGTTACTTTTTTATTTTAATAAAATGATTTCTTTTTAAAAATTATATATTTATTGTTTTTCAAACAAAGGATTCTCTCCTTTTATATAAAGAAGATATTTCTTTATTTTTTATATTTGATAATAAATTAAATTATATTCAAAAGTCTTTTATATTAATATCTATTTAATTTATTGATTTTGAGTATTTTTTTGATATAATAAATGATCTTCAATTCAATTATAAAATATAATCTTTGAAATATTATATTCTAAAGAAGCTTTTTGTATTATAATCTTATTTACAATTATATATAATATTATTGTAATTTCATTTTCGATATATGATTTCATTATAAAGTAATTAAAATAATTTCAAAATTTCGATCAATTGATTGAATAATTATTGAGTTATTGAAGTTTAAAAATTAAATATTATTGAAGTAGTGTAATTTATGATATAATCGAAATAAAAGAGTGGTCGGAATGTAAGGTAGAGGACTTAACTGTAATGTGTGATATAATAAAAGCATCTAATTTTAAATTTCCCGAGGCCTAGCTACCTTATTATATCATCATACTTTTATTTGTAAGAAAATTCAGGAATTCAGACCTAGCATCTAGAGTCATTCTATTTGAGTGAATAAGTCATGAGATTTGTGACCTAATTCCTCGCTTAAATCTTGTTTGAGCTCCAATAGTAGATTTACAAGTTCACAATCAATACTATTGTGTAAATTTGTGAGACATAAGAAACTTTTGGACACTTTATTTTGTGTCTTGAAGTGTCAAAATTGAATATACATATCCAATAGCCAAGAATTCTAGGATGTATGTATTTAGGCAACTAAAGTGATGATATCCTTTCTGCTAAATATAGCTGTTTTGAATTCCGAATATTTCTTGGTGAAAGAGTAGACAGAATGAGGGTCTTTAGCAATCAATTAACTATCATAGTCTAATAATATCCAAGAACTAGCAGAAGCTTTAGTGTCCAGTAAATGGACAGGAGAACTACCTCCGTAACAGCGGTCAGAATTCCACTTATGAGTAGCTTCCCAGCTAAACTGTTGAAAATTTTCTGGAGCTGAACATCATGCATTCTATTCAAGAATTATCTTTAGGATTATCTAATATAATTCAGATGAGAGTAGGATTAGTAAGATATGCTCTAACTTTTCATTTATGCCGCCTTCATCCGAGGCCTATTGGTAGTATTTGATATCGTTAATAGTCCATACAAAAACAATCAGGAGATTCTGTAACCCATTTGGATTTGGCTCATTCTTATCTTGCTTCAAGTTTACTTGCTCAATATCAGTACTCTTTTTCAAGTTTGAATTAGTCTATTTGTTTAATAATCCAATAATACCTGAGTGTATTTATGATTCGCTTATCACTTCTGTTTCATCAGACATACAAATTTATGTTGAATAAACCATATAGGTGCTCTGGAACTCGTCTTTCCCAATGGATGATGTAAATAAATTCACTATTTGTATATCTGCTGCGGTTAATATTGTTTAATTTTCAAAACGAAGGCTGCATCTAGTACTGCAAAGGCTGTGAGCTAGCGTCGCGCCACATCTTGCTCAAAGACTTATACCCTTTTTTTTTTTCTATATCTGTTTTGCTCCCTCTTTCCTCCATCTAACATTCATTTATTCTCAAAACCTTCTTTCAAAGTTCCTGTGTACATTCATTTAATTTAAACAATTTTTCTCGGTCTCTCTTCTATTCAAAAAGTCGAAAAATTTTTGACCTCCTTCTTTTCTGGTTAGAAATTCTACAGCACTGTGTCTAACAGTTTAAAGGAAGAATTTTTTGCTTGTAATCTTTCATTCATGCAAGCACCTTTTCTCAAAATTACTTTTTCTATTTTTCAAACAACGTCACAACACCAACCAGAAATAGTGAACCTTATTTGAAAATGGATATCACCGTTGGAAAGTCCTGGTACAATGTGTCCAAGGATTCCACTTCTTCCTTCGAAATTGGAAAAGAAAAGGGAAGAAGAGTGCTGGGTACTCGGTCAAATATTCCTGTAACCCATGGTATGTCTCCCTTCTTTACAGACGCTATCTTTGATAAATGTATCTAACTCCGATTAAGATGCTTTTGGTGTTGAGGCATACAATCCTAGACCTTCTAGGCTAGGAAAAATTCATGTCCAACGTCTTGAAGGCCTTGTAAGTAAAGTAGAGCATGACGAGGACAAAAAAGGCCAGGATAAAGAGGACCAGAATGAAAAAAATGATGGGATCGAACAAGTTCATTCCAAGATCACCAAAGATGGCCATAACTGGGGTCGTCAATTCCCAATGGAAGTGACAATCGATGAATCAATGAAGACACAATGTACTCCAAAGCGCTCTCGATGGATGGATATGTTCGAGTCTCGTCATCGAACGGCAACCCAGCCCAATGTCACTACCCCAACCCAAAAGAACCCGCCAGCCCGCTTCTTCGAAAATGCGGCGCAAAAGTTGTCACCGTTGAAGACATTTTCTAGTCCCACGGCGGGTACTAACAGTGCTTCGAGTTCAAAGTCCCCACCGAGGAAGAAGACACCCAGTTCCGATGACTCCAAGTTGTTTCGAGCATTTTTGAGTCGTGGTGATGAAGCGGTTCCTTTGTTCATATCTCCTACCGGCACACATCAACAATTTTTCCAGTCTAGCTTGAATCTTCCACGTCCACACCGTTCACATCCAAACATTAGGTTATCCATGGGGGACACCGCAAATCTTCATCGTACTTTCACGAACCCTATGATTTCTGGCACTCACCATTCACAGCACCCCAGCAAGACCTCTTCAATTGCTGGAAGACCCATGAGTACTTCTCGAACCTCAAGATCGGTGATTGGAAGAACAAGTAGCAGTCACTCATCAAACATGTCCGATGGCATGCGAACCTCTATGGACAGAAGTTTCGATTCCTGCTCCCAGCTAACTGATCACACTCGAATGACTTCTATTAGCGGTAGCTTTAGCTTTCAACCAGTCATTCCAGAGGATCAGCAGATTATTCTTGGTAGCACCATGAGCCCACTTCATTCGTCAAAGAGTTTTGACCAGGCATGCCCCGAAAAGCTTCCGCAGCACAAGACCTTCTTGAACCAAGGTATTGCTTTTGCACCGACTACTTCATTTGCTCCAGTTCCTGCACCAGTAATCATGAGCAACATGGTCACTTCTGTTCCAGATCTTTCGCACTTGGTGAAGAAGTTCCGTCCAACCAACATGCTTCTTCGAGAACAAGGCATGATCCCGGATAACTCTCGTCATGACACAAACTACGAGGGAGATGAAAACCATCCTGACTTGCTAGATCTTCCTGACAGCATCAATTGTTGCATGTGGATCATCAATATTCCAAGAGAAGTCCAGCATGGTGAGTTCATGCGCCTTCTTAACTGTGGCGCCGTCGCTGCACTCTCAATGGTCCCACCTCAGAATGGACACCTCACGCAAGCTGCAAAGGCCACATTCAAGAAGGTCTCTGGTGGTGCTGAGCTATATCGTCGTGCTCGTCACAGAGGAGGTCTTCGTATTCGTAGCCATAAAATCAAAGTCTGGTACAATGACTACGGTGCGTACGAATGGAAGGGCCCGGAGACACGTTTCCTGGAGATTGAGGCACCGGCAGTCCTTGATGAGAACTTTTGGCAAGGTTACTTTAACACCTGGTGCAAATACACCATTATCTCTGTCACTCCACTTCCTTGCATGAAGTATGGCTTTGCTTCTACTAGGTTTGAATTTGTGCGAATCGCGGGTCAAGCACAGACTTGCTTTCAAGCAATCCAAAAAGACGAGGCGTTTTTGGGACAGGTAAAGGTTCAATATGGAATTGACCCTGATGATCTTATTTAGTACACTACGCTGCATATAGCTGGGCAGACGGACGGACACATGGGCTTATGCGTTTTTTGAGGAGAAATTTATGGCGTTATGGGCGAGGTTAATGGTCGTGGGTATTACGTCACTGAGAACTATTGGATATCTCTGGCAAAAATTTCTAATGCCGTTAGCTTGTAGAAATTGGGGCTTCAAGCTATTCGTGACATATGACAAGATAGGAGCTAGTTCTCCATCTCAACAATAAAAAACAGCGTTCTTTGCAACAATGACGTTCGGAAGGAAAACTCTAGAATAGCTATGCTTAGAACGATAAATTCACTGTGATGCCAAAGTTTACATCTGCAAGATACACCATATAAAAATTCTACTAGCTGCATTTGTAGCAACATATACGACCCGGCTATACTCCAGCGGTGTCATCTTCCAGTGTGATAATCTCGAATCTCAGCATGCGAAAAACAATGAGACGATCGTAAGAATCCACCGCATCTATGGAGTGCTTATGATCCGATGTTTTCCCTCTTTTTACTCGGGATGGGAGTGTTGCAGAGTTTTCAGTTGAATTGATGAGCCCCCTCCCTCAAAACAGAAAAGAGAAAAAACGGAAATTTAATTGAGGTATTCCTCGTAGTAAATAGCCATAATTGTAGAACTGGACGAGTAAATCAAAGGAAAATAACTTCTAAAGTCCTGTTTTGTTGTGGTTTTATTGAAACTTGAACTAATTCATTGATTTTTGTTATTTTTGGTTTGAAAATCACTCCACACTTGATTTATCTCAATGCACATATATAATATCTGTCTTTATAGTATAAACTTAATACTATCGTCTGTGAGATTGACAATTGTTAGTGATATTCTCGTATGACGAAGACTGTAGAGGATACCATACAGATCTAATCTGGTAAATGATTACAAATAGATTTCTTTAGTGAAGGGAAAAAAGACAAAATATTAAAAATTTGATAAACAAACCATTGAGACTAATCTATCATTTAATACACCTCATCTATATTTAGACAAATTCTGGCGTTATTAGCATCAATTTAGTTCAGAAGAAACTAGTTTTAGACATAATCAACCACAAGCCCTTTACAAGACTCAAATCGTAGAAGATCTCTTACCATCTATTTCTGTTAATCAATACCAAATAGATTAAAGAATAATTTAATCTCAATACTTCGATATCCTTCTCTAACTGCACCAAAAAACTCTTAGAGATTATCTATACAAATAACCTTCAACACCAAGTAACTTATCTGTCTTTCATTTTAATAATAAACATAGAAGGAACCTCTAGTTATAATCTAATTTTCAATATCTATCTTCCTAGGCTGCACAAAAATAACCCGCGGATTGTAGATATTTGCAAATCCATCTCACAGACTATCCAATAAGCCTACAATCTGCTCTACAAGTTATCTATTAGGATTTTAAAATAATTTGTATTATATAAATTATTTATTGATTATTTATAAATAATCAATTGATTTACAATTAAATATAATTTGTATAAAATAGATATAAAAACTAGTATAAAAAATACAAGAATAACTTCAAAAATTTAAACGAATATCATTTGCAAATAATTTGCAAATAATTTATTTATTTATAAATTAATAGATTATTTATAAATTTATTCAGATTCTTCAATTATTTGCCCTATAAATAGATCATCCGCAGTTTATCCTTCAAGGACAATAATCTGCTCCGCGGGGCCCCGTTGCGCAGCCTATATCTTCCTACCAAGAACTTATAGATATTAAGTCACATCATTGACTAACTCCAACAATTAATCAATGAGCAAGCCCAAATACCATTTCTAACCCAGCGACAGAGCAGGTCCTGCAAGGTCTTGCCAGACATATGACTTCCCTCACATATAATGCCAACATGAATCCGCGGGAGCTTTTCCTCTACTTCTAAGTCTTTTCGCTTTAATAGAGTTTGCTCCTTGTATTTATATTATGCATCCGCTACCTAGGTCCCTATCTCTTTTTTTTTTCCATACTCAGGGGTAGTGTTAGCTCAATAACCTGCTCATTTCCTTGCTACACATTTAACGCCGATATTTCTGCATTAAGCTGTTTTCTATAAGACCTTACCTCATACTTTATCCATTTCTATATTCTGCTCTCCACTCCCACAATTCATATTTAACCTGCGCGATACACAATACCTCATCGCATTTGGCAGCCAACTCATAAGACATTCTATGCCCTAGCGCATATATCTAAAGAATTGCCTAACATAGCTAACTCAAACTTGCCCTTTAGACATAACGCTAGCATCAATAAAAGAGAGATTAGATGAAGTGACGACAGACACGGAACGATGTAAGAAGACAGAGTAAACTGAAGAGATCTACTAAATTCATGCTATGTATACTGATATTGGATAGTAGACGTGTCAACCAAGGAAACGAAGTCATCCCCAACTGCAAGTCCCTCACGCCGTAATCCAGATGAATGCAGAACTAAAAATATCCAAGAAACCGATCTCTACACAGTCATATCCCAAATTGCACCATCAAAAAGATTTCGAAATTGAGAATGTCCATTCGTTCCACCGAACATAAACCACAAACATCCTCAGGAATTACAAAGGTAATCCACGAGCCGGCACCCGATGCCTTCCCAACCATCTAAATTGCGCTCTCTGGTTAAAAATCTCCATGCTGATATCCAACCTCATGAAGTATTCGAAAAAATACATACTAGCGCCGTTTTCGCATTTGGAATAAGCCGTCCGCAGGGTATCTACATCACGTCATGTCCGCGCCAAAACTATTATTTAAGCACCCTGAAGCTGCCGCACAATTTAGGCGCTTATGTGAAAGTGAAAGAGGAATTTGTATCCGGAGCAGTAGGATTAAAATATGCTATCACATGTTTGGATGTCGTCGATGTCTACATGGGGATTGACAGAAAACGCGGATGTTGTGTATTGAAGGACCGTCTGAATATTTAATTTACGATGATTTGAAGCTGTACTTGAAGAGTTTCTGCGATCATGAATCGTCGAAGTGGGATTTTGCTCCTTCGCGGGTACGTTGTTGTCGGAAATTGGGTTTGGTTTTTGTGAGGATTAATAGGCAGCTGCAAGCTGTGCGGTGTTGTGATGGTTTGAGGGATCATCCGATTTATGAGGAGTATTTGACTGTTGGGTATGCTCCAGGTTCTTGCGATGCGTTACATTCATAAGTTTCAAATCCTTGGGAGTATTAGATGAAGTGAAAACACGGTGGTCAGGGTATGGAATTCGGGATGTATGTAGCCAGCTCTGAGGTAGGCCAGTGATGGTAATCTTAGCATGAAATTGGACAACGGTGACCAAAGATTCTCCACGAAAAACTGCAATATCTTCTTCTTAGAGGCTGAAGTCATTAATTTGAACCAACGCATTGTATTCACCAATAGCAGCTAAAAACATGCATTCCAAACCCCTTGATAATAACTTACCGCATATGACACCCCAGTTGCAAGTAAAGAAAAGCACCTACATAATCATCCTCAAAGATAACAACTAATTAACTCAACAAAAACCACATACCAATCCAGAAATCCCACCTCCCAAGCTTTAAAATCCCCAGATTCTCTCTGTCATAGACCGAAATCCAAAAAATGCCCTTGTAAACCCACCCTACTCAGGGGTTACCATCCCCGTAGCGAAGATTATCTTGGCATATTTAGATATTTATCTAAATATCTAAGAATCCAAACCTACAACCCAGAAAGGCAAAAACACAATAAACAAACGTTTTTAATAGCCCTATCATAAAACATCTATCATTTCTAATACTATACAAATATATCTCATCCCTATATCTCCCCCCTCATATCCACCCACCAGTGATCCAATTTCTCCCCGCAAAAAATCCAACGACATCTATCTCATATCTACCACGATCTCCAAATGCACAACTCCCATTAATTACCACCGAGAAGAAAAAGTCGAAAAATATCCTAATATTTGCCCGTTTGTTTTACTAACATCCATAACCATCTTCTGAAAAATTGCGCAGTCCTCCAGCATTATTCATCCATAAGGTTAACGCTCATCCATTACTCTCCCTCTGATAAGAACTTTTACCATGCGCACTACCTGCCCATCCTTGAAATGCGCCCGCCCAGAAAAAATAACCTCTTACATTTTACCATCCCGCGATCTATCTATCTATCTAACTAACATCAACCCTCAATCCCTCAGTTTTTCACATATCATTAACTCATTATTTTTAGTTCCAAAAATCATCCATCTATCTACCATCTTTACAAACTCTCCCTCTATCCTTTTTCAAACCACGATCACGAAGTCTCCGCTTCATCATCAACCCATTCAAATCATCCAATACCAAAGGAAACACGCAATCCATATCCTCAATCTGCTGAGCTTGATCTTTAATAACCTGCTCTAGCGTCAACAAACGCTCTAGAGTCTGTTCTTCAAGTAATCCCATCTCTGCTCGATGAATCCCAATTAGTTCTTCAATATCTGCCTCGTGCTCCTTCAAAAGGGCTGATTCTCTTTCTTCTGTGACATCGAGGACTAGGGACTTGAGCTCTTCTTCGGATTTGACGCTTGGATTTTTATTTTCCTTATCTGCTGATAATATTTCGTCCTTGAAAACACCCAGTAACTGTTCAATGCGTGCCTCGTACTCATCTCTGAGTACCTTTTGCTGATCTATCAAAAAACTGGCAATCAAAGGTTTGAATCTTTCCTCATACTTAATTTCGAGCTCCTTCTCCCGAGAGAGCATGCGTGCCTGAAAAGCATTTTCAATGTTCTCATCATACTCCTTCCTCAATGCTTGGTCCTTTTCAGTCAAAAACTTCATCAACATAGGCTTAAATGTCTCCTCATATTTAGCTTGTAGCTCGCGATCTCTCTTGGAAACAAAGTTCCGAATCAAAGACTCAGCTGTGGCTTTGTGACTTTGAAATTCGCTTTTGAGTCGCTCTTGCATCTTTTGATCCATGATAAATGTGCTATGTTTTTGAATTTCTTTCGTTTTCTGAGACAAATCCACACACATTCTCTCCAAATTGTGCACCTTTTCATCCATCCTATTCATTAGCGTATCGGATTGCTTATGCTGGAGTTCAAGAGCGAATTGGCGATATTTTACCTGCGTTTCTTGTAAAGCACAAATCTTTTCTGTCAATGCTCCTTCAGATGATTTTAAGTTCTCTAGAAGTTCGTTAATGGAAGCTTGGCTCTGCTCTTCCAGACGCCTCTCCACTTGTTGAATAGTTTTTGGAGTAGTCTCCAAGAATACTGTATGTTCAATCTGCAACTCCTCCATGGCAGAAGAATTTTTCATGACCTCAATATCCAAATTGCGGAATTCTTCTTCGCGTTCTTCTTGCCATGCCTTCCAATTAGAGGCCAAACTTTCTGTATGGCATTTATGTACTCTAAAATTTGACACGAATTCTGAGAGGGTCTGCTCCGTAGCTGCGAGTTGGTTCTGGGAGGTCAAAAGTTGATTATGCACGGTTCCAATCATTTTCTCTGCCGCCGCTAGCCTTCTTTCAATTCTTGCATCTACTGCACCATCTTTTCCTGTCTGCTGCTTCTTCAGATCATCAATATGGCCCATTAGGCCGGCTCTGACAGTAAGAAGTCTTTCGCTTATCGCGCTTTCCAACTCTGCAAGCTTAGAATCATGCTTCCTATCAGTAGTACCAATCCACTCGGCAGTCCTATGATCCAAAGCAGTAAACTGCATAGAGTCTTGAATAACCTTCTTCTCAATAGCCTTTATTCTGATGGAGAATTGTCTAAGATGTGCATCTGATTCCGAGGCAAGCTGCGACCTCAGAGCATCAGACTTGCTTTGATCATGCTGGGGACCATGTGAAACTTTATTGTTCAATTCTTCAAGGTCACCATGACGTGAAGCCACTGCAGTCTGCAAAAGATTGACACGTTCATTAAGTTTTTGATGTTCGCCTTCCATCTGAGATATCATCTTGTTGCGAAGATCCTCTTCCAGTTGACAGTGACGTGACAAATCTTGTGCCGTGCCTTCATATCGTTTACCGAGAGTCATTAGTCGATTAGCATGATCTGTTATTGCAGATTCAATACTTGGAATAGGTGCCTGGGAAAAATATTAGTTTTACATTCGATATTTTCCCTCTTGCTGAATTTCTCTCCCACGGATTGTCTTTTGAGAACATGCCTACCTGCTTAAGCGCTTTTATACTGCCCTGTGCATCTTTGAGTTGTGCTGCGTGACTACTTCTTGAGGCTTGCAACGACTCGTTAGTCTGCTCTAATAACCTTACACGGTTAGAAAGCTCCTTTTGTTCTCTGGATTCAGCTTCGGTAGCAAGAAGTCTAGCGCTCAGTTCTTCTGTTGATAATTTACACTCTTCCAACCGTGAAAAAAGTTCACGGTTACGATTCTCCGATTCATCAAGTTGCCTAGTCATCTTTTCAAACTTTTGCTTATGTGTATTTTCTGATGCTAACAGTCGATTTTCCAGATTGCGAATATGTGCAGTCAAAGGTCCCGTGCTTTGTTGTACAACATTTGCTATCATACTTTCTAAAAGTCCACCATCCGCATTCGAATTATCTGGCAGTGCTACTACAGGCGGAACAGCTGGAATATGGAAAGGCAATGGCGGTGGCGGCATAGCTGAGTATGTTGATAGCGCAGATGGAGGTCTGGACGAAGTAAAATTGTCAAGTCTAAATTTGACATTTTCGAGGTGGCTTTTGGATTTCAAATGATTCTCGAAATTGTTTGTTTTTTTGTACTTTGCAACTTTGTGTTCGGTATCACAATCGGTGCATGTAATATCGTAGCCATCTGTTGCTTCGAACCGGGAATCTGGATATTTTTGATGAAGCTCACTTAGCCCTCTTTGGAGCCAAATTGGTAGGGACAACTAAATTAGTCAGTTCAGGATACCATTAATGATCTCAAACCTGCTTACCATCTTTTCATCCTTTGGCTCTTGATTCGGAAAAAATTCCATCTGCGGGTAATGCTCAGACGGAACGGATGGGCTGTAAAATTGCTCCGGAGCAGAGATTCTTCGATTTCCATCTAGAGACGCAAGTGCAGGTCGTTCTGATCTCTGAGGACTAGGGTTTCTGCTGCCCAAGTTTGAATAGCTTATAGAATGAGTGTCATTCCCAGAAGTATCACTCTCTTCCACCTCTGTTATTCTTCTTTTTCTAAATTTCGGGGCTAATCCTTTTGGGTCAATGCCTTCCATCAAGTTTCGATTGATCTTCTTATGTGATTTATCGGGGTGTACATTTGGTACTGGAACTTGTTCAGCGTGTTCGTTGGAGTTTTCCTTGTTGGAAGACGAATAGATATCTCGAGGTCCGACAAAATCGTAAAGTCGCAAAACATTCTTTCCGTCACTGTTTTCAAATAAATCCACCGTCGTGCCCTATGGAAGATGTTAGAACATTAGTGGATATAGTTAGAATATGGTGTTTTCATTACCTCTTCTATCATAAGGTTCACAACAGTCTTGAATATCCTCTTCTGGTTCTTGATGAAGGTGGAACTTTCTGCCGCAACGCGATCAACTTGATCGATATAGGATTGTTGAATTACAGTACCAGGAACACCTTCTCCCTTTGCAAGATTGTAATCATAGAGAAATCGGACTACGAAGTCTCTAATACGAATATTGTCTGCATCAGAAACATCTTCATCTGCCATGATTGTGCTCAATTGAGGTCACTGGTGGGTTTAAGTCGTTCAATGAGGGGATGTCAGGTGCATTCGTGATTTCTCGCGATTTTGGCGTTTGTGTACCTGAATCTACTGAGTAAATACCGATGCACGGTCCTTTACTAACGTTGACCCCGGGGACCCACACAAGCTTCATGATTCCAACGCGGGGGAACTTTTGACCTCATTGTGGATTGACGAAAATTATATCTTCAACTCATTCAACTCATATCATTATTGTTCAATTGATCTATCAATTCAACTAGACCTCATTGATACTCTTATCATGGCTTCTTGCCCGGACATCCAACCAAGGCAAGGTTTACGCCGCAGCGAAAAGCCACAAGGAGAAAAAGCAATAAAATGAGGGATACAATCATATTGTGAAGAAAAGAAAAGGGAGCTGATTGAGCCTTGCTGTATATCGGCTTGGCTTTCGTTCAAAATACTGTTGTGTCCCGTAGAAAGAGTTGCCTCTATTCTCGTCCTCTGGTTTACAATAACACAAGGCAGTCAATCAGCCAAAAGTCGAAATGGCCTCTCTAAAGAGAAGACGGCAAAGTCTCGCTGAAGCACCCTATCGACCTTCTCATAACTCTACCAAACTACAAACTAGTGCGACGCCCTTCCTCACTTTATGCTTTTAATACGGCTATGCTAATCTCACGCAGCAACACGTCGCAGCTCACTACGTAGCACAGTGTCCACAAAATCTGCGAACACTGTTAGTGACGATGGGGACATCAACGAGCCATCTCAAAACTTCCACAAAACCATTGCAAGTCTCAAATCAGCAGCAGAATCTCTTACGGTCCGGGTTTTAGAGGAGACGGCAGATGAGCAAGCACGAGTGATCCAAGCCATGAGATTAACAATCTCTACCAAAGATTTACGTATTCAAAAGCTGAATCGAAAGATTGGAAGACGTGACAAGAGTTTGGAGAAATTGAGAAAACGAATGGAGCGCTCAGAGACCGCATTTTCGAAGCTAAATTGGTCGAATGTCGAAGCAATGGATGTTGGTACCAGTCAGGACGAAATGATGAAGATTTTGAGGGACAAACGTCCAACTTCAACTGATGGGCTCTGTACAAAATGTGGAGAGAATTGCTCTCGTTTAGTTAGGGACAATAAACAATTGAGGGACAGGTTACATGAGGTCGATGGTTTATGCATGAGACTCAGAACTGAGTGCAGCAAGATGGAGAATAAAATTAGAGGACTCGAAAAGGATTTAGATAGGATTAGAGGGAAGCATTAATTTACATCTGGCTACCAGGAGGATATGAAGATATTTTGGATATTAGAGCTTTATAAATCAATTCAACCAATTCATATGCTTGTCAGAACGTGGACAGATGAAAGTATACATGTGGTTGTTCAAGCAACATTCCAGTATAATATAGGAGACAAATTGTAGGCAAGCTTCCTTTACTTCTCCCATCACTCCCTTCACTCCCTTCACTCCCTTCACTCCTCTTTTGACTCCTCCCTTCAATTCACCTCCAATTACTTCTGCTATTATTCTTATCCGCCACCACTAAGAGATTGCATAGCTGCACGCCTCATTTGCTTTTTTCTCCCACTTTCTTTTTCTAGGCACGATCTAACAAATTCATGCATCTCCCCGCCGCTGCCCACATACAACTTTCTGTCAATCCACAAACTCTTCATTTATCTTCGAGTTTAAAAATCTTCATCCATTGAACTAATAAAACCATAAAAAGTACTCACTCCATAGTTCAATTCTTCATATTTAATTTCATCACCAAAAGTCTTCAATAGACAGACCCTCACAGCGATATTTCTATTCAACAACTAGAACTTTGTCGTTTGCAATACCAGGGTCAGCCAATTCTGTATAGCTAACCATGACGTCGAATAAACATAAGAAATCAACTCCTCATAAATCTCCTCAAAAGCCAACACCGCATAAACCTCACAAACCTCATGAAGCCAACACAAGCTCTCAAGAGAAAATCAAACCGTTGACACCAACCTCTTCAAACTCTCCGATTCTTCCCACAAAGTATGCTAGAGCTACTCGACCAATTTTGCCTCCTACTCGAAGAATTTTGTTTCCTCAAAATTCGAAACAGGGTAATAGTACGTATTTAAATTTATATCTCACAGTTAGCATAGTTAACGGGTCTAGATCAAGAACCTTTCTCTTCTCCACCTTCAGTCAAAAATGATCACTCGAAGACGGGTAAGTAGTTTTCTTCTGCTTGCATAAACTATTGGCTAACAGGAGTGTAAGGAAAACATACTCTATCTTCACCAGCTACAAAATCTTCGGATGATCGACCATTCAAGAAACAATGTCTTTCATCCCCTTCTCCTGCGAAAAATGCCAAGCTTATACCCAGAGAGTCAGACGTGGTTGATTGGAGAGTGAGGATGAGCACATCAAGTGATGAAGAAGATGAAGAAGGAACACCAAGTCCACCAAGTCGGAAGAGAAAGGCAGACGCCAATTCGGGTGCAGCAGGAAGACCCAAAAATCCACCGTTTTCTGTTGCCGCACCATCAAAGGCAGCTGTATCTAATGTCACTCCATCGAAACAACATCCTTCCTCAATCTCTACTTTCCAACGCAATCCAACAGCTATCAACAAGATCGACATAACTGTTCTTCGACTTGAAAAAGAGGAGCTACAAAAACACCTCGATACTTCTATCCAACAAGCCCAACAAGCAAAAAACGACGTGAAGAAATGGGAAACCAAATACAAAGCAGCAATTGACACACAAGAAACACTCAACAGACTTCTCAGTGCCGAAATGAATGAGAAAGAGAACCTTCAAAATCGGGTCGATACTTTTACGCAACAAGCACACGAACTAAAACTCGCAGCAGAAACCTGGGAGGAAAAAAGGAAAATAACAAGCGAAGAAAACAATTCCCTACGCAAACAACTCGCTAGCAAGACCAAAGAACGCAACACAGCCGAATCCAACACAGAACAATGGCAACATCAACACCGTACTCAAATCGACAAGAATGCTAAACTCCAACATGAGCTAAAACTCAAACGAGGCAAAAACCGCTATGAAAAAGAACCTCATCAATTCGCGACTAAAATCGCTCAACTAGAGCAAGAACTCTCACATCTAAAATCTCAAAACGCAAAGATGAGCTATAAAAAAGAACGGGAAGAATACCTCGAAGCAATGAATAAACTCTTAGCAAAACAAGTTGCACAGCTCAAGGAGGAAATACAACATAATTCCGAGTTAGAGAAACAGATAACAAAACCACAGGAAGAAGTAATCTTGCAAAAATCCCCAGAAAATCCATCGAAAGAAATTATCTGGCAAACCCACCTCCATCAAAACCTCACTCACCTAAAATCCCAACTAAAAACCTCCCAACAAGAAATCCATACCCTGCACCAAGAACTACGCACCCAAAATTCAGAAATAGATATCCTAATCTCAGAGCATGAGCATGAAATTAAGGAATTGAAAGGGGAGATTCAGAGACTAGAGGTTTTGAATAGGTATAAGGATACTGGGTTGGAGAAGATGGGGGTGCTGGTTGCGGGGTGGGCTTTGAAGTGGAGGGGTATGGGGGTGGGCGGGGAGGGGGATGGATGTGGAATGGAGGGAAAGATACCTGGGGTGGAGGGTTTGGGAGTATGTGTTAATGGGGTTAGGATGTGATTTCTTTGTAAACGTATGAATGGATTGTATGAGGAATTGTTTATTTATCTACCTCTACCTCTCTCTACCTACAAATTCCCTTGTAGGCCTACCTAGTTAGTACCTACCTACTTGGAATTTTGTACTTATGGTATGTTATCTCATGCTATGTTATATCGAACGAACGAATGAACAAATGAGGATCCCGATATTACTCTTACAATCCCTCAAACTCCATTCGTAGACAAATTGCATACTCAATTCTCAATAGCTTCAATACTTATAAAATCCAAAAAAAATCACGGCTAACCTAACCCTTAGAATACATTTATTTAAAAAATTCAAAGCCCTACTTCACCTAGAATACCTTAGCCTAGCCTAGCCGCCTAGCCAAGCCTAGCTACCCTATGCTACCATAAACCATTAATCAATGAATCAATTCAAGTAACTCCGCTTCGTACTCCTACCACCAAACAACTATCTATCCCTAGAATTAACCACCTCCATTTCTTCATCATCTGCAATGATAAGATGACTGCTTTTATTTAATCAACCTTTCCTCCACCATTAACCCCACCTAACAATCCATCTTTTCCATCATCTACCCTAAAGAATCCCCCCCTTTTCGCTCCTATCTTTCCTCTACCATACAATGTAGCTCCTAAGATCATTCCTAAAGCTACTCCGAAACTGAGGAATGGATGTCCACTAATTGCTCCTCTAATACTGAAGAACATCTTTTCAAATGAACCAACAGTACTCTTTGGTTTGATGACTGGAGGGTTGGATACAACTTTTGGAATTGTTTCCAAAATTGATGTACGAGAAGGAATGATGTAGTTTCCAGTGATGGTTGTGTCCCAGTAGCGACGATTCTATTTAAAGTGTTAATATCTTCAAGGAAAGTGTTGGAATAATCGAGAGAAAAGCGAAAATACTTACATCTTCATCATTAATAATAACCTTTTCACCATCAGTCTTAACATCAATACCATAAGTACTTCTAATCCATCTTTCCCAAAATACACCATCAACCCAAGCAAATCCAACCTCCTTTTGATCAGATTTATCCATATTGATTCTGATACTTTTGGCAGCTCTCAAAGCTCTTTGATCATTACGATCCTCGGCTTCTTCCAATCTAAGTTGTTTAGCATCTCTCAATTCTTGACGCTCACGTTGGAAATTGATGATTTGTTTATCCATCCATTCCAATGCAGCTTGCTTCAATTCCTTCTTAGCCATTGCGAAATCGGCTTCACGTTCTCGAGAAAGAATTGCTAGAACGACAATCTTACCGTCCATGATTTCGCGTGAATTCGAAGCTGTAAGTTCAGGTACAACAGGTAACCAAACTGATTGCATCCAGTGTAGAACTTGCCTGAAATCACGCATATCTTGTGGTGCGAGTGCTGTATAATAGGTTGGTCTACCATCTCGAGATACCAATAGACGAGGCCAGGTTGTAATCTTGAATCGATCGGCAAGAGCAGCACTGTTCGTCTTGACAAGTTTGGCATGTCCAATTAAACTCAAGGTTAATCTTTCCAGTGCTGCAAAATCCTCGCTGGTAGTTGCATGGTCATAGAAGTAAACGAAGATAACATCTTCTTTCTCTTCCAATTCCTTGAATCCAGCAGCATCAATATCCTTAACACCATCACCAATATCAACAGCTTTGTTAGCAAAGGTAACAAAGTCACCTAATCCTCTAAGTCCTTCATATTCAACACGTTCTCCACCACGGAAGAAATGAATGGTTGGATATCCTCGAACATGAACATCCTTACATAACCTAGCCTCTGCTTCACAATTAACCTCTCCAACATTAAGTTTTCCTTTCATCTCTTTTGCCAATTGAGCCCAGTTAGGAGCCATAGCTTGACAATGATGACACCATGGAGCATAAAATTTGATAAACCAAGGATCTTGAGACATTGTGACCAGATTTTGAAAGCTCTCTGCTGTGAGGGATACGGATGTACCAAGTGGGTTCGCAGTTTGGGTTGGTTTTGAAGGTTTCTTTTCAACTGATGTAGCTTTGAGGGTAGGCTTGGTAGTAATTTTGGCGGTGTCGGCTTTTGTGTCCTTGACAGCATCTTTGACGGAATCCTTAACACTATCCTTAACATCCTTTACAGTATCCTTAACGGTATCCTTTGCTGGCACAACAATATCTGCGGCTTTCTCCGAGACTTTCTCTGCTGCTTTTTCTGGTTTCCGCGCTGATCCTTGGGATGACTTTTCTGTGGATTTCTCTGATGACTTTTCGGATGACTTATCGGATACCTTCTCCGTGGACTTCTCGGTTGTCTTTTCGGTCTCCTTTGTTGCTGCTGCAGGTTTATAATCTGGACTTTGTGTGTCGCGTTCTTGTGGGAACTTTGGTCCACCAATTGGCCTAGACCCTGGTCTAATTGATTCTAGATTTTCCTCAATGAAAGCACCCAATTTCTCCATATCCTTAGGTCCGACAAATCTCTTTGATTCCTCACCATCTTTATATAATATGAAGGTTGGGAAAGAAGTTACTCCATGATCTGAACAGGCAGTTCCGAAAGCAATACAATCGAGAGAACCGAAATGATAATTGTAATAAGCCGTGAAAGAGTTCATCGATGTAGAAGTAGTATCGTCAGTCCCGGACTTGACTGGTTTCGAAGTATAATAGAACTCGTAAAGTGTTTGCCATGTTGGCGCGATGTGTATGCAATGCGGGCAGTACGGTCTGAAGTTGTTATGAGCATGATAATCTCTTGAAAGAAATGAAGCAATGAGTTCTCACGAGTGATGTTTAACAAACCAATATCCATCCGCGATTGTCTTGTTAAAAGATTCTCCATCTATTTCAGGAAGAGGGGGAACTTCGACTCCATTAAATATTGTTGGTTGTGGTACATCTGAGACTTCATCCGCAGAGAGTTCTCCAGGTAATTCAGGAGAGGCATTTTCCAACTTCTGTTCCCCAGATTGTGCCAATACAACAGAGGTAAAGACGGTTGATATTAAGGAAATTGAAAGAAGACGCATATTGAAGAGAGGTTAGGGGCTATCAGCACCCTGAGAATCGAAAGATTAATGCGGGTCGCGGCGAATCCGCCAACGAAGGTAAGAAGAAAGAGCTTATCGTCCTCAATGAATCCAAAAGATAAGGGTCAGTATAGTATATCGCATAAATATCGTAAAGCCCAAGAATCCTCTTGAGAAATCGTAGTTATCGTGGTTGAAAAGAGTGAAGTTTGGAAATGGAAGAAAAGGATCTCGACTCTCTTTCAATTACCGTCGACTCCATATGAACGAACGAACTGATGGAACACAGTTGCACCATTAGCGTTATTCGCTAAGAAATTGAATCCTTGTAATTTCTTTTTTGGGATGAATTAAGGCTACACGTGATTATGGATCCTTCCTCCTATGACTTTTACATTACAAGGTAATATTTTAGTAATTCTCTGCATCTGCCTACCTACCTAGGTATGGAATCAAGTTCATTCAATACGGTGTATTCGAGTTGTTTGCTTGATCTACCACGATAGATGACTTTTCATCATCAGCAACAATAGTCTTGACACAATTATGACATAAATTATCATGGAACAAAGAAGATCAAACGCAGACCAATCATCCACAGCCATGGATCAAAATCATAGCCAAGACTCAGATGAGCCAGCTCAAAAGAGGCGTAGAGTTGACGATAATGCTAATGGCAACACTAATGGAAAAGGTGTACGAAGGGGTATGAATAGATCAGTATCTCCACCTCCATTGCGACGGTATAGGAAGGAAATGCCTATTCAGGAGGAAGGGAGTCTGGATCAGGAGGTGGAAAGTTATAAGCAGACGTCTTCAAAAAATACAAAGCAAAAAGTGGTAAAGTCACCATTTCAGCTTACAAGTATCCGAGATCTACCTGCTTCATCCAATGTGGATACTGTATCACTAAGAGACATTCTGGGTGATCCTCTGATATCAGAATGCTGGGAGTTCAATTATTTACATAATCTTGACTTTTTGATGGAGCAATTCGATGAGGATGTACGAAATTTGGTCAAGGTCAATGTGGTTCATGGATTCTGGAAGAGAGAAGATCAATCTAGGCTCAATCTCATGGTATGTTGACTATACTCGTCTCCGTCCACCTTGATATGGAGTCTCTGCAGTCTTAATCCATGTTTTTGCTGCCTTACTTGTTTCTCTAGATCTAGGAATTTAAAAGACGAAATTGATTGTCTATGAATACGATGTTATCCTGTGCTTCACCAGGCTTGAAGTCAGGATCTTACTGATATATTCTAGGAGCAAGTTTTGAAGTATTCCAATGTCAAACTCCTCACGGCTTACATGCCTGAAATGTTTGGGACTCACCATTCAAAGGTAATTCACCTCAGATTTCACAAGTTCGAAATTTGTTTACTAACTCCCTCAGATGCTCATTCTATTCCGACATGACTCTACAGCTCAAGTAATCATTCATACAGCCAATATGATCCCATTCGATTGGACAAATATGACACAAGCTATGTGGAAATCACCTCTTCTCCCTCTTCTCGACCCAGAAAAACCAAATCCTATAGAGTCGCAACAAATAGGCTCGGGATCAAAATTCAAAATTGATTTACTCAATTACCTACGAGCTTACGATACCAAGAGGGCCATATGCAAGCCATTGATTGAACAGCTCTCAAAACATGATTTCTCCGAAATTCGTGCAGCTCTCGTTGCAAGCACCCCAGGAAAACAAGACATTGAACTCGACTCGACAGAAACAGCATGGGGATGGGCGGGTCTAACGAACGTCCTTAAATCCATACCTTGCAGTAAAACACAACCAGAAATCGTGGTTCAAATATCTTCAATAGCATCTTTAGGTTCAACAGATAAATGGTTAAACCAAACATTTTTCAAAGCCTTCAGTACATCCAACCATCCCAGTCCGAAACCAAAATTCAAAATCATCTTTCCAACAGCCGATGAAATTAGAAGAAGTATAAATGGATATTCATCAGGCAGCGCAATTCATACCAAGATCCTCACACCAGCTCAGGGAAAACAAGTAGCTTATCTAAAACCATTGTTATGTCATTGGGCGGGAGACGGTGAACAACATTCTTCATCACAAACATCATCTACCTCAGTATCGGCTACTTCTTCCAACACCTCCAATACTGCCTCATCATCACATATGGTCTCCCCATCCACGCTCCCACAAAACGCTCATCGTAAACGTGCAGCTCCCCACATAAAAACATACATCCGTTTCAGCTCCTCCTCTCACAAAACTATAGATTGGATGTTAGTAACTTCCGCGAATCTATCCAAGCAAGCATGGGGTGAAAATACCAATACGGCGGGTGAAGTACGGATTTGCAGTTATGAGATTGGAGTGATGGTTTGGCCTGAATTGTGGGATGAAGGGAAGGGGGCAAAGATGGTGCCATGTTTTGGGAGAGATACACCTTCTAGACCTGATGTAACGTCTGAGCTAGAATATACAGTAGCAGGTGAAGCAACGAGTGTAGCGGCTGGTGATAACGATGTAAGAGAGAAAGGAAAAGGAAGGGAAGAAATCGAAAAGAAGAGCGACGATGATACAATACTAATAGGTGCACGCATGCCCTACGATCTTCCTTTAATCCCATACACCAAATCCGATATCCCATGGTGTGCATCGGCTTCATATAGCGAACCTGATTGGATGGGAAATACATGGAAGACTTAAGATGGAGTTTTCTACTCCGGTCTTCGATCTCCGATATTCACCCTTTAGCTACCTATCGTTCTAGGAGTAGGGAACATACGGATGAAAGTAATTGGAAGTTATGTAAGGAATGTCTCGAGGAAAATACAATGACAATTATAAACGAGGTTGAGCTTTGGAGATTTCCTCGAGCAGAGATCGCAGCTGGATGATTAAATATATATAATGAAGATCTAGCTTTAATATTTCCTTGCTCTAATAATTAACAGTTTATTATCTTGCTTTAGTACTATATTAATTTATTTCATTAGTAAATTGAAAATAAGAAAATATATATATAATATATCAAAATTAAGAAGTTGATATAAAATAAAATAAAATAAAATAAAATAAAATAAAATAAAATAAAATAAAATAAAATAAAATAAAATAAAATAAAATAAAATAAAATAAAATAAAATAAAATAAAATAAAATAAAATAAAATAAAATAAAATAAAATAAAATAAAATAAAATAAAATAAAATAAAATAAAATAAAACAACAATTCGAGTAGTTATTTATAATAAGATTAGTTATTATATATTAATATATAATTTATATATTTATAATTGAAGAAGTTGAGGTATTTGATAAGATTATAGATTATAATATAGGTGGATGGGGAGTTAGATAGATAGATAAATAGATAATTTAATTCATTCATAAGATGTTAAAATAGATAGGTAGGTATTGGGCGTAGAAACTCTACAACTTTATAATGTAAGATTATAATCAATCATCCGTCCTGTCTTTATTGAAACTAAACGACACCGACAACACAAACGTAAAGATAAACATAAACGCAAAACTCCACTTATAATCTGTCATCCGTTTTTCTATTTCATTTTCTTCATTCCGAGCTACGCTATGTATGCATTTCTGATCTTTGTATCTTCTCGTTCACGCCTTCCACTCAAAATCTACGAAAATCTATTTTCCACCAACAGACTCAGGAACCTTGTCGGCATCATAACCACATGATTGCTTTAATTCCTCGACCTTAGCGACGTATTTTTCTTTGGCTTCGTCGGATGTAATTCCCGAGTCGACTTTTTCTTGCCAGGCCTTCTTTTTGGCTTTGCCCTATGGATTGAGGGGTGGTGTGTTAGTTTTGAAGTGCGAGAATAAGGATGAGGATGGGAGTAATGGGATGGAACGTGAGAGAGAGGGAGGAGGGGAAAGACAGTAATAGATAAACGAACCTTAATATCAAACATTCCTGGAGCCTCAGCCTTGGAGATATCATCACCAATAGCTACCTTGTACAAACCTATTTATCACACCAAGTGTTAGCCTTTACCTACTCATCTATTCACCAGTCATTCATCATCAGCTTCCACACCCGATCGTCAATCCTATTCATCATCCCTAAGTAACCCGATTTCTATATAGTTCCATTCCTCATTTCTATCCTCAATCCGCTGTACATAAAAATATCCAAGAAAACCAACGAAAGAGTAAGAAAAAGCACATACTGTAAAGCTCGAGCAAATCATCAGATGCAGGCTTACTCGTAAGCTTTCCTGAATCAACAACTGCGGTATCAAATGCGGACATCTTGGCGTTTGTTATTTAATTGCTATTTTCTCTGTTCGTGTGGGAGATTGGGTTTGAGTTTGTGTAGCTAGAGTAAATAAGGGATGTTAGTCTTATATCCTCAATCGAGTATGAGTCGCAGAGTGCGAAGGAAATATCCTTATGATTTTTTAATTCTTGCTTCTGCTCTTGCCTGAGATGTTGAAGAAATGTAAATAAAAGAGACTTGGAAACTTACAGGTATGGGTGTATGTATGTATGTATGTAATAAGGTGAGAAGTGGGAAGGTGGGAAAGAAAGAAAGAAAGGGAGATAGATATGGCGGGGTGAGGGGAGCTTTGCTTAGTGGGGCATGATCAAGGCTAAGGTTAGGCAAGGCTCGTATGGTTACGGATTGTGGCGTTTACCGCGGTTATTTCCACGTCACAAGGGAAGATTATTCTGAAATTGTATGAATCAGAGTTGGCGAATTAGACGCGTGATGTTTTGTTGTACTTTTGAGGTTTATTATTGGTTGTGTTTTAGAAGGATGTATGTACGAGGTGTGTCTTAAGGATCAGGCGGGGTCTACTTTGACGGTTCAGCCTTGTTGAGTGGGATTTGAGTGGGATGCTAGAGAGTCTTAGTTCTGCTTTAATTTCAACTATGTACGTGGGCTCGTGGTTAGAAAGGGGTAATTCGACTACATGTGGTTGTTAATGGGGGGGAAGCGAACAACCCCCTTAGCTCGTTACGCTCGAAGTCTTAGAAAGATACAAAGTATTACTGTCCACCCAGTCTGCCTCCACGGCAATGGCTCCCGGAGGGCCAGCGGAGCGTCATTCAATCAATTGAATATTAATAAGAGCAAACCCTTTAATGATCCCAGATGCAGGATAGTGAAGATCTTAGGAATCCATCAGATAGGTCCGCAACATCTACCCCTCAATGACATGCCGCGAATCTATCGGCAATTATGTTCACTGGCTGTGTTACTCATGTATAAGTGCGGTCTTCTTATAGGTCTACTTATGTACATCCCGCATGACACTTAATAGGGGCTTGAAGAATGGATAGCCGGAGATGGTGTTTGCATAAACGGCTGTTAGGGGAAACAGTGCGAGCATTGAGGGGCATTTAGATGTATCTGGACTGTGAGCTTGGCTCTTGGGTGAGATTATCCAAGCCATGACTGATTGTAAATGAATAGCTTGAGGATTGCAGTACCAGTTCTCGGAATATCAAAGACCAAACCTCACTGCGAATGAAGAGCTCGAATCCCAGTGAACGCCTAAGGCACATTTTTGTCCTAGCAATTTGGACACGAAATCTGGTGACTGTGTAACTGAAACCAAAGTATATTTGGCCATTCATTAGAAGAAGGGATGATGAGGTCTTGGACGATTCAGTCATTGGATGTATGTCTTGCACTTTAATCCTCCATATCAACTGATTATTCGATATAAATGATAATATTGTAAGATTACTTGCAACCGAACTTGTAACTGGACGGGAAGAGAAGAAAGTTTGAAAGCTGTCCAATTTACTTGGATTGATATTAATGAGTTGAATAGTATTGAGTACCTAGTAGGTAGTCTTCGACACATTTGAGAATAACGGTACAACCATCGTTTTGCTACGGTTCGCTGGTAATAATTACAACATCAATCTCAAAATTCACCGCCTTGGTAGGTACCGAGCCGCATTTGTTGGCAGGAGGGGCAGACCGAGTTCTTCTCCCCAGTAAAAGCCTTTCATATCAAATTTCTTAACTGAACTCAGAGAAAGATTTACATAAAAATCAATTCAATTTCAAAAAATGTCTACATCTTCAAATGCTGGAATTGATCCAGCTTCGGCATCTTTTGAAATTCAAGATCATACGAAATCCATCAATCAAAAATCCGATAGCGTCAAAGGGAATCATGATGAGGCAGCTCCCACAGCTCCTAGATCAATCACGGATGATGAGAATAATGATATTTTACCAAAGGATGATCCGGCTACAATGGCTGCCAGTGAAGAATTAAAGCATACCACCATCTCAGACAGGATTCCTTTGCCTACAGAAGGCGCCGAAGCAGAAACTCATACAGAAGATAAGAATATGTCAGGTACAAACAAAGACACCACGCCCGAGGCTGAATCGATCGATGCGCAAGATGAGGAAATGAGAGATCGAATTTCTTCACCTAAGAAGAAACGTGGTAGAGATCAAGATGATGATTCAAATCAGTTGGAAGACAATAAAACGAGAAATAATGGCAGTGTCAGTGAAGGAAGTTTAAATGGCAGTCGAACGATGAGATCAGGTCCAGAAAAGAAGAGACCCAGAGACACTTCACAAGAACCATCCAGAATATCCGATGGATCTTTAGCAAAGGTATATTTATTTTTACTTGACATCGCACTTCGACTTCATTTACATTTACTAATATGACTGACTCTCAGGAGATAAACCCCGCTGAAACATCAAAGACTACCCAAACATCAACATCATCCACCGAGAATCCTATCAAGTCAACATTTGGAAGTACATCTGGTGATAAATTTGCAAATTCAGGATTTGGTGCTTTAGCATCTTCCAGTACTTCCCCTTTTGGGACAATCGGCGCATCTAAACCTAGCGTTTTCGGAGGAAATGCAAAATCGCCGCTTTCAGGGTTTGGAGCTCTTGCTTCCAAACCAACAAGCTCAACACCTACATCATCTATTTCAGGTTCCTCTGGGGAAAAAACTACATCTGGATTTGGAAGCGCATTTGGTGGTGGTAGTACATCAGGATTTGGTGGATTAGGTTCAGGAAGTGTATTTGGTAGTGGATTAAAAAATGGATTCGCCGGTGGATCTGGACCAAAACTTTCGAGCTTTGCTGCACCAGGTAAAGATAATGTTGCACTAGGTAGCAAACCAATTAAACCTTTTGGTGCTCCAGCTAGTGATGCGGAGGAATCTGATGATGATGAGGATGATAGTGAGGGTGGAGCTGAAGGAGATGAAGAAGAAGGGGGTGAGAAAGCAGCTATTGAAGAGAAGAGAAAGACCAAGAAAGGTAAACTATTGATTTTACATCTGAGTTATGTTCTCTACTAATTAATTTTCTAGTTCACATTGATGATGGCGAAGCCGAAGAAGCAACCATATTACAAATTCGAGCCAAATTATTTGCAATGGGATCAAAGGAAGCAGGTTGGAAAGAAAGAGGAGTCGGTACTCTGAAGATAAACGCACCAAAATCTTGTGTCGATTTCGATGAAAATGGCCATGTAATTCCGGGTAGTTTCGATTCATCAATGTTAGAAGGCCACAGTGTACGATTGGTCATGCGACAAGAAAATACCCACAGAGTTATTTTGAATACAGTGGTATTGAAAGCTATGGAATTCAAACCTAAACCATCAACTACTTCAGCACAGGTTTTATTTACAGCTTTTGAAGGAGAGACAGAAGCTAAACCTATTAATATGATTCTCAAGGTTAGTTTTTCTTTTCTTTACGTATGATGGAATCTGGGAATTTTGGCTAATCCGGGGTACATCTAGATGAACGAAAATAATTACAACTTATTCATAAATGAAATCGAAAACATTCAACATGAGCTATAACCTAGGCATGAGAGAGAGCGAGATATCATCCATCACGCAACGAACTCACAGACAAAAAAAAGATACCCACGGATTCACCAGCTTCGTTTTTTTTTTCAATATGATGACAGGGAGGGAGGGAGGATAGGTGATGTTTCCTTGTTTTTTCGCCGCCGATATACATACATACATACTTGGTGAAGCTAGCTTTCAATTGATTCAATTGTTCGGAAGGAAGGGAGGGACGAAGGGAGGGAGAAAGAGAGGAAACTTTTTAGAATATTGCGATCAGGAAGGAAGGAAAGGATAGGAAAGGGGAGGAAAGGGGAAATGGGATTTGATACGTCATCGTACATATCATTTCATATCATTCCATATCATTTCATATCATTCCATATCATAGGTCATATCATATCATATCATATCATAGGATAGGATACCTACCTACCTACCTATGTTTTAATTTTATACTACTCTTGTTGTTTTTTGGACTTCTATTGAGGGGGGTTGGGGTTGGGGTGAGGGTGAGGGTGAGGGATGAATAGTGAGTGGGTGAATACCTAGATAATAATGAAAGTGGTAAGAGTGAGCGACGGGATGGGATGGGATGTGGAAGTGGAAGGGAGGGGTAAGCGGGTGAAAGATGAAGGGTGAAGAAATGAAGAAATGGAAGAATAAGGCTTGAGAGAGAGAGACAGGGAGAGAGAGAGGGGGAGAGATCTGATGTGAAAATGAAAAATGGAAATGAGAAATGAGAAATAAGAAATGAGAAATAAGAGTAATATATATATATTATATCCTACCTTTCCTCTTTTGATTCTTTTGATTATTTATTTCATATCTCTGTGTATATGTGTGTATATGGATGTGTATGTATTTCAAAAAAGTCAGGGTTTCATTCAATTATCTATTCATCTATTTATTTATCTACCTAGCATTCACATCTATCCCACCTCCCCATCCATCCTTCAACCCCTCAACCCCTCAACCCCTCAACCCCTCAACCCCTCAACCCCTCAAACCCTCTAAACCACATCTCCCCTCCCCATCCCATCCAATCCCATATAAAAAACATCTAACATCTACCATCTAACATCTAACATCTACCACCTACCTCCCCAAACAAGCAACAACCCCCTGACCCCCAGCAACCACACACCACTCCCCACCTCTACTCCAAGCCACCCCCCTCCCTAAAAACCCAACTCCCTTTACCACCTCCACTCTATGCGCTTTTAAACCTTTTAATGGATATTTCTGTCTGAGGGAATATTTTTCATCCCAGATTTTGATGTCTGTGGGTGTGGTGGGGATTTTATCCAGGGGAAGGGGGGTTAATGCTGGGAGGAGAGTTTGTGGATTTTGAGGGTTTTGAGTTGAGGGGTGTGATGATGGATTTGTAGCGATATGAGTAAAGATTGAAATAGAAGTAGAAGGACCGGAAGTACTAGTTGCTGTTGTGGTGGAACTGGATGGACTTATTTCTCTTAATCTGTTTGTGATGGATTTTAGATTTGTTCCTGTTGCTGTTGCTGCTGCTGTTCCTGTTCCTGGACCCACTCCTGCTCCTGCTCCTGCCCTTAATGCACGGTGATTTCGAGGACGATGAGGAGTTAGAAATGGAGGGCGTTTTAGGGGAGTTTGGATTTCTTCATCAGGAATTGGAGTTTGTTGACCGGATGGTAAACCAAAGATTGAGGAGTAGGATGGATGTCGAGGTTCGGGGTCAGATTCAGGTTTAGGGTTGCTTTTGGAAGTTAGATGGTGTGGTAGGGAACGGATGTATTTGTTATAGGCTGTGAGACGGTGGAGGTCCCAGAAATAGATTTTGGAGGTGTAGGAAGTTATTGCGAGGATGGGGTGGCTTCGGCTATTTGAGATGGGGTTTTGGTTGGGATCGTGATCTTGATCACTATTGGATGATGATTCCGGGATGGGAAGACCTTGGAAGAAAGAGAATCGTATCCAAAGTGTTCCCGTTTCTGGGGCGGAAAATCTATAAATCAATTAGCTGTGAATGTATGAAGTTGGAGGTAAATATAAGATAAAATGAGTAAAAGAGATGTCTTAGATTTGAGGAATGGGTAGATTGATATAAAGAGTATGATAAGTCGATATAAGATGTGAGTTTGAATCATAAAAGATAGAATAGAAAATTTCTTCAGAATCCGAAGAAAATATAAAACAAGAATGGACCATCAATAATCCAGGAATAAGAGATTAAAAGAAAGAAAAAAACAAATGCATACTCAATAAGCCTGACATAACAATCAGATTTACTTGGATCCGTGAAACAAGTTAAAGTATACCTTCCATTAGCAGCCTCATGTTGTATAGGAGCTTTATCATATCCAGGAATAGGTCCTTGAGAATCAAATCCTGTGATATCCCATAGGACGATACATTGTTCTGTAGCGGCACGAGAAAGGATGGAATCATTGTAGAAGTAGATGCTAGGAATATCAGTGAGTTTCAGATTCGAAGTTTGGTCTTCAGACAATGAAGGGAGTGGAGGTACGATGATGATAGACGGATTAGGGGGTACATTGATGGCGAAGATGAGGGAAGAAACATTGATGGCAAGAGAAAAGATAAAATTACCAGTCGACTGCATTTGTATGGATTTCTGATGTTGTAAAATGTGGATACTGAATTTGTGTGGCTACTTTTGTTCCAGTATTTTCATCTGGAAAATTGGGTAATGTCCACTATATCATCATATTAATCAACATCATCCTTTATTCAAATACAAATACTGACAAGACTTATGACATGATCTTCACCACCAGATACTAAATATCTTCCAGATTGATGAAAAGCCTATCTTAAGATTAGTAATCTGATCAGAGTTTGTAGAGGACGTGGACGTACAATCGTCCGAACAGTTGCTCTATGACCTCCTGATAATATCGCAGCACAAGGATATTTCTCATCCTTAGGATCTAAACTCCATATTCGAATCGTAGTATCCTCAGAACAAGATGCTAATATATGGGGATTAGTTGGAGAGATTATCAATTCATCAATTTCCTATCAGTAATTAGTCCCTGTTCTAGACCATAATTCTTCAACCATCATACTCCTCCATGTCCTACAAGTACCTATGATAGTTAGTTTCTGCACTCAAAAGTATACATGTCACTCACTCTTAAAAGTTTCCCCGTAAGTACATCAAAAACCTTGATTTTTGCATCAACTCCCGCTACACAGAGGAGAGGCTTTTGTGTCGCTAAATCCTTGGTCCAACAGCATGCATAATGATCTGCACTTGACTAAATCTTACATTAGTGGCCAGCCACCATATGGTTACAGAACTTAATGATTTACCTCCTCATCTATAATGATCCGTATAACCTCAATACCTTTTCCTTCAGTAGGAGGTCTACATATCAAAATCTATTCATAATTTAGCGAATTAAACGTGAGGCTTGAAGAGAAACAAAAACTCACATGTTTACTACCTACCACAGCATATATAGGATCAACACCAGGTTTGGTGTAAGGATAAAATTTGACGCTCCAGAACTCAACATCTTTGATAGCTGAACCATCTTTTTGATGTTTTGCTGAAAAATGTCAGGCCATTTCTCCATAATTTGGGAATACCGGAACGGGTCATCACATACCACTAGGAAGACTCTAAAGAATGAATTATCCAGTTAGATTGCTTTCCGTTCATTCACCGATATTTTCTTCAATATGTTTGAAGGAAACTCAAACCCCTTTGGACGCACTATCATCCTCACCGACATGCTTCAAGGTGACTCCCGTAAAAGTATATCAAATCCCCACTGACCAACAAACTCAAAACAATTCCGTAGATGCATATCCGAAGAAGTGTAAACTTACCGAAAATTGGAGAGCGTCCTTCAATTTAGGAAATTCCCATTCACCAAATCCGTGCCTCCAACTCATGATTGCAGGTCCTTTAGAAGTGGATAACGCAGGATCAATTGGAAATCAATGGATTGGAATGCTCGAATCGCTCCAATGGCTTGAATGCAGGTTAATTGTGATATGCGTTGCGCGTTGCAGCAAGAAATCCCGAGACTCAATGTTGATGTTAAAAAAAGTAGTCTTGTAAAATAAAGAAATATTATCGATCTCGATCCTGTAGTACTGAGTACTTGGGTATTCCAACTACGGACCGATACTCTGATGAAAGTAGAAAATGGAATCCGATATGAGTTATCGGATGCAATGCCTCTTCATTGTGTTCCGGACCGAGTACTTATTGATACCGACTTACAGCAAGATAACCCGACGAAAATGTTCCCATGGGGATTTGATCCTATGATCCTAGATAAGTGATGTTTTATCAGTACACGTGATTTTTGTGAGAGTAAAGCAAAGCATGCGATGACATGCAGTTGATGGATTGATGGATTGATGTGTATCGTTTCTCCAAACTAGCCATGCTCGCATGTTCTGCATGTTCTGAATACAGAATACAGACCATCGGACAGACACGTTTGAAGACGTGACAATCCAGCCACGGCGTTACGAGCGTTCCAAAAGAAAAGTTCATGCATCTCCTCGCCCATTAATTGTGTAACTATTCACATCTTCCAAGTTTCAACATCCATCATCCATCATCCATCATCCATCAACCCTGATACCGACTTTTGCGGAGAAAATATGTCCGTGTCGGTACTGATGTCGGTGTAGGTGTTTTGATAATGAAGAATAGAATCAAGGAAGGCATAATGCATCGGAAGATTTCTGAGTATCAGTTTTGACTTTGGCTTACCTTTATGGGATATGTGGTTGAATCTGATTGAATGATTGAATGATTGAATGATTGAATGATTGAATGATTGAATGATTGAATGATTGAATGATTGAATGATTGAATGATTGAATGATTGAATGATTGAATGTAGATATTGAAAGTTTCCGCCTTTTCTACTTCCAGTCTTGTTTATTATTCATGCCATATGTATTAGAGTATTTCGGAAGTATCTTTTTTGGCTTTTATTGCGCATCAAAAGAATTCATGGATGTTGGTGGTGGTGGTAGTGGTGGTGGTGGTGGTGGTGGGGGTGAAATTTGGTTGTCAGAGCTTTTTGGGGGAAGTTGGTGCCGTGAAGTGCAGGTCGTTCTTTCTTACTTGATAAATGGGATGCTGTTATGTTTTGATACTATGATACTATGATACTCTGATACTATGATACTCTGATACTATGATACTTTGATACTCTGATACTCTGATACTTTGACACTCTGATACTCTGAATACCTTTGTTAACACTCCCCCTTCCATACCATACCAGCTAATCAGACACAAGGCTTACTACAATCAATCTATCAAGCCATAGAAGACTAGATTACTACATTCACAACACAAAAACAGTAAAACAATCACCAACCATATCACTCAGGTGACTGACTGTTCAAAAAGACAATACGAACACGAAGAAGAACAAGACAAAAAGAAGCTTGCGAAGAACTTTTCCATTTCATCCCTCTGTCCCCCCCGAATATATCCGCTTTCCTTATTTCAAAAGTATTCCGAACCTCCCCTCATTATTCATGCTCATTCATCATTTTCTTGGTGATATGTTTCACTACAAAGGGCGGGTGTAACCTGATGATTCCGTAAACTTTTAGCTTGAGACGGAATCATTTGGCGTGCATTTGTGTGGTTGGGTTTCCATCCTCCACTTCCGTTATTATATTGATCTTATTATTCTGGGAAGTGCATCAACATCATATCATGTAACTGATTAGATGAGCACAAGGGAAAGAGTAGGATATCGAAGTATGAACAATTCAGAATGAGGCGAGCCGGAGGCGGAGTTGAGAAACAATCCTACAATCGTATCATCATGTACAGAGTATGGCTGGGCTGGCTACTTCATCAGTGATTGAACCATAGAAATATATTGACGAAATAAAATACAATGTAACCATTGATGAACGAATGGCCTCTCCACCCAAAAGACCCTTTTCTTAGCCAAGAACTGACAAAAGACCCTTCTCCAAACTGTACGGACAGTAGCTAGATAGATAAAGATATCCCCCGGCTAACCTGTCTAATGCATAACCCAACATTTCTTTGAATTTGCAAGCCCTGAAGCACAGTATATCAAGTTAATTATCAAATATTATCATATCCAATAACCTACAAGGAGAATTAATGACGCTCCGCTGACCCTCCCACTGCCGTGGATGCAGACTAGATATATTATTGTTGATATAGGTGGGATATGTTATGAAGCGGAATAAAGGTCTACACTTCCAAAAGCTTTAATCCTAGTATATAAGAAGAATCATGACTTTAGGACCCTTCAAATCCATTTATATCCCCACTACAACTTAGATATTTGATGCAGGTACTTGGAAGGTTAAGGTTGATATAGGGTATTGACTAAAATGATTCTCATAATAGTCTCGTTGGTTGGTTGGTTGGTTGGTTGGTTGGTTGGTTGGTTGGTTGGTTGGTTGGTTGGTTGGTTGGTTTGTTCGTTTGACTCCATCGTAGTCTTCTTCTCCCCTTTTCATCATTGGTAATCTGAAGAGAAAATGCTACCACAATATCTATCTAGTATATGAATCAAATAATCCATCAAGAATCAATACACCAATCATTCTATTTCCTTCCATTTCCTTCCTCAACAACGAAACATCAAAAGAAAACAAGAAACTATATTCCCATCATGTGTACCACAATAGTAACATTACACTAGACGCCCTGAACCACACCTTTATCCCCAGCAGCCATTTAGCCCAGCAGCAGCCATTTAACCCAGCACCACAAGCCCGAGGATCTTGGTCGAAAACATTGAAACACAGCATGATAATATAACTAATAACTGACACCACATCACAAAACATAGAAGGATATTTCCACGGCGTTAAAGCATGCCTTCAACGTAAATCTGCCAAGTTCCAACCAGCAAACTGTTACTTCCCAAGTAGCCAGCCAGCAGCCAGCAGCCAGCAGCAGAAAAGCGAGTAGTTTTAGAGGGTAAGGGTGTAGATTGAAGAATAGAACTGACAGGGTATTTATACCCGGATCAGCACTAGATCTAAACTAAACTAGCGTACATGTGACCTGATAAAATTACTCTCGTTACAGCAGCCAGCCAGCCCTCTCAAAGGAATCGAATCCCTAATTCCGACTCCCGAACACACATGCTTTACGATCCTTGTAAGTACGGGAGTGCTAAGATGAAAGTCTGCATATTTATATGTATCCACATATATTATTCACGTGTATCAATGTCTATCCATGTCTATCCATACATATCCATACATATCCATACATATCCATACATACTCACCCATATTCATACATGTTTTATACCCAGTCGATCAATGCAATCCCGGAAAAAGGAATATACCCCTACCGGAACTCCAGCTCGCTCTAGAAGAGAGAGAAATTTCGCGTATTTATTCCTATTCAGCCAATTAAATTGATCAATTCAATGTGCATACGTCTTTTTATTTTTTATTTTCAAAAGAGTGCCAGTGGGAGTATGTACACGCCACCAGCTGCCTTCGGGAAACTAAAAGGGCTTGCGTAACATGCGCTGTGAGTAACACACAGCGGAAGAAGAATGAAGACGTTCGCGGGGTTAAAAAGCTTGAACTTCAACGCATGCATGTATGCATTCATTTACTCATTCATTCATCCATTCATGTGTTACATACCTACATATCTACATAACATAACCAAGCAAGCCATACCTCTACCCAGCGATTCCACAAACTTTTCTCGAACCATAACTGGATGCTTGATCTAAAGTACATCAAAACCTGCATCTTTTCCACCCCCTTCACATATCAACCCAGTATAGACCCTTGTATTTCTTCATTCTTTCCAATCGTCGATCTATCTATCTCCTTCAATATAGTGGCACTCAATCATTTACTTACATTATATTGTAGTCGTACCGTACACCAATCTCATACCAATACCAATACCAGTACCAGTATCAGTACTCAATGTTCTAGGTATTCCCATCTACCCTACCCTATCCTTCCTATCCACCTAGCACCGAGTAGAGAAAGTAAACAAAGTAATGATACGAAAATAGTACCTCCTCCAACCTCTACAATCCACCTACCTACCTATCTATCAATAACTAATCAGCCTCTCAAAACCACCTTCTACTTTTCTATATAATCCCCTATTCCCATCTCTATATCGTTTTTCTTTCCCATCTTCTTATCTTTTTATATATCTCTATAGAAAGAAATCATTACCATTTTGTTTGGGATTACAAATTTCCGTCGTCTTTTCGTCTACCCCGTCCATAGAACTGAGCATCTTATTAGAGATACAAACGCCAGATTCTGAAAATGGAGACTACTTTTATGACTATTCATAGTAAGTTGTTTTTTTAGTTGAGGTTTTCTTTCATTTTTTGGATTTGGATTTCGGTTTGGTTTGGGTTTGGATTTGGGTGGGAGAGATGAGGGATAGTTGACGGGATGTGGAAAGCGCCGGACCGGGGAAGCGGAGATTGGTGCGATGGGAGGGGTTAAGGGAATTTCTTTTTTTGTTCTTGTTCTGGTTCATCTTCTTGATAACGGATGATTTGGCAGGACGGTGGAAGGCCTCGTGGGTTTAAGGACTTGGGTTCCGGGAAGGGGGTCGGGAAAGGAGGAGGCCTAGCACCCACGGATGAGCTGGGAAAGATGGAAGAAAGATTCTTTTTCAATGTTCCTATTGTTTCCATGTCAAAGTCCTTGCTTCTTTTCTCTTGGTTCTCCGTCGGCTTTCCGATATTTCATTTCCAAATAGTCTGCCTCCACGGCAGTGGCCCCCGGAGGGCTAGCGGAGCGTCATAGCCAACTACACTCCAGACTATCTACACACTATTTCATAGGGTTATCAATCTTCCTATTAGTTCAACACCTTCTCAATAATTAAGCTAACGATATACTCTCAAACAGATCTTTCCCGCGAAGCCAACATCCTATTCGCTTCGGAATCCATCTCTGAGATCCTCGGCTACGAACCCGAAGATGTAGTGGGTAAACCATGGTTCGAGTATTTCGACAAAAACAACGACAATACTCCACTTGCTCGTCAAGCTACAAGTCAAGGTGTTCATTTGGAGAAGGCGGCTGTGATTTATCATGCCAGTATTCAACACAAGTATCCCGAGGAGAATGGGAGGCCCAAATTCGTTACTTGTGAATGTGTTTTTACCGTTGTTCATGATGTTTTGGTTGCTTGTACTAGTAGGTACGATAAGGATGAAGAGCATTTGGATCATTTGGAGACAATTCGTGAAAGTATTAGTATGTTTTAGTTTTGTTTTTTTGCTTTCCTTTTCTTTTCTTCTACTCTTTTTTAACTTTTTCTTTACTGACAATAATTCAGAGAAGGAAACTTCCAAGAGTCTTGTCAAACGATTCACTGCCCCTCCAAAAGATTTGAGATATCACATGTTGGAGAATCTTTCCTTCAAATTTCGAGTTCCAAATACCGACATCTCTACACGTGAACCAAGAGCTGCTCTGATTCTTAATCGTTTCACTCGAAGCTTAACAGTCATGTATTCTACCGATGCCATTGAAAAAGTTCTCGGTATCAGTAAGGAATACATGGTTGGGAAAAGTTTCTACGAATGCATTCAACAACAATGTTTAACTGAATCAATTGCAGCTATCGAAAGTGCAAAAGGAAATGATTCTATCGCTCATCTTATCTTTTGGTGTCGTGATCCTCGTCATCCTCATGAGATTGAAGAACTTAATCAAGCTCTCGACGAGGCTAGTGATATTAGTGGAAGTGAAGATGAAGACGAAAGTGGTGCAGCTGGTGGAAATTTCAACTCATCATCTACTCCATCAACCACAACCACTCGATCTATTACTCAACCCCGCAGAGGAGGAGTAATTCGACGAAACAATCGTCAAAGATCTACTAATAATCCAATTACCCGTGAAGTTCTAACTGCATTTCAACCCATTCAATTGGAAGCCGTCATTTCATGCACTTCAGATGGTCTGGTTGTTATTTTGCGTAAAGCTCCAGCCGCATCTCCAGTTCACCATCAAGCAATCGCTCCATGGGGTATCAATCCCATTGCTCCTCACGTGCATCAACCCGCCCTCAACAATGATTTCATCCATGGACCCGAAGCATCGGCCTTGCAACCGGGTACTTCCAAAGAAGAAGCCATAAAGAGTATTCGCGAAGTAGCAGTTTTCGCCTGGGCCCTCTGTGGTATCAATGGAAATATTTCTGCCTACGGACACGGAAAACCAGGCCCGAAATCTCAACCGGCTGTTCTACCGGTTTGGAATCCTGATGGACCCGCAGAGATTGATCCGCCGATTAATCGGGCAGAGTTAGATTGGAAGCGGAGACTGGGGAAGAGAAAGGAAACAGGGAGATCGCTAGGAAGTGTTTTTCGAGAGGAAAGAAATGAGAGGAGGGAGAAGAGGAGAAAGACGGGTTTGGGCTTGATGGCTGGGAATGATTTGAAATCTGATGCTTATGCGGTTCCGCGTGGTTATCAATCGTTTGCTCAGGGTCAGGTGGGTTATGCGCATCTGGATCGTGGGTTTAGTACTGGGGGTGCGGTGTCTGTAAATGGGAATGGGAATGGTTATGGGAATGGGAATGGGAATGGAGTTGGGAATGGTGGTGCCGGGGCGTATGGGAATGGAAATAGGAATGGAAATGGAAATGGAAATGGAAATGGTAATCATCATAATGGATATGCACATGGAAATGGAAATGGAAACGGAAACGGAAATGGAAATGGTCCTCATTAAGTATCTATTACTCCATCTCAAATCTCAAATCTCAAATCTCAAATCTCGCATCAACAAGCTCACATAAAGTAATAAGTCTCATTCACTCATACATATACATTTATATATATTCCTACACATTAATCTTAGTAGTAAGTAGGGAAATTATTAAAAAAAATTTTTATCTTTTTCTTCGAATCAGTGTTTATTTGTTTTTAAGATGGAATCGGATGGATTGGATAGATGAAAAGAATCCATTTTTTTTTATAATTTAATAATAATAATAATAATAATAATATTTTCAAAAAGTTATATTATATTATATTAGAAGAATAATAAAATTATTATATCATATATAATATATAATTAAAAAGTTTTATATTTTTATATATATTTAATATTTAATATAATAAATAATCTTTAATAGTATTATTATAATAATTTACTTTTTAGTAATTTATATAAAAATTAATAGTTTTTGGTTTTATATTTTATAATTAATTTTTATTTTTCTTTTTAAAATAATTTACTTTTTAATTTTATATATTTTAATTTTGATTAAATTTGATTAATTGTGATTTTTTAATAACAAATTTAATAATAAATATAATTCAAAATAGTAATAAAGAAGATTAATTAATTAATTTTAAATTTTAAAAAATATATAATAAAATAAAAGATTTTTAATAGATTTAATTTATAAATTTATAAATATTTTATCCTTAAGTCTTTTAATAAAAATAATATATAATTTTTAAATAAATAAGTTTCTATACCCCTAGAGGTTTATTTTAAATAGCTTTATTATTATAATAATCTGCTCTTTTATAATCTTTTATCGGATAAATCTCACTCGGATAATCTAACACCAAAATAGCTTAGTAATCATGCATAGCCCAGGAACGCGCAACAGAGCTTAAGGATACGGTGGAATTTTGATTGATTGGGATAGCTTCATATCATTGATATCACCAGTGCATCTGGTAATTTGAGCTTATCGATCGCAACACGACTTCTGTTTTTCTTCTTTTTAGTCAAGATAGGTGGTTAAGTTTTTACTTTGCTCGTGGATTAAATTTATTACGTTGACTTACATTCGTTCATTCATTTGCGCGAGATCTCTCGGTTTGTTGGACGATTGTTTCGGTTTATTGGGGGATAGTGGACTATCTGCTGATTGGGAGACTCGGGGTGGTTTATTTAAGCTCTTTGAAGGAGGGAAGGAAGGAACGGAAAGAGTGTTTTGTGCGAACTTGATTGGATTTAGGGTCTTGACGTTGTGAAGAAGAAGAAGAACGAAGAGAGTAATAGCTTCGTTGCGACATCTGAACGCAGGCACAAAAGCAAGCAAAGAAACAAACGACAATCATGGCTTCATCTTCAAATCCTTATCAACATTTTAATCAACAGCATATGGAGGAGGAGGATGATTTGATTGATCCGGATGATGGTATGTTTTGTTTTAATTTTGGTGGTTGTTGCTTGAGTTGTGTTTACCTGCCTGCCTCTTACCTACCCTTAATATCATGTCGCATCTATACAGAGATGTAATGGTCCATATCCCTTCATACTTCTTTGATACTCCACATCATTTACTATATACTACCAACATCACCCTCACCCTCCTTCACACCTCACATACATCTTCCCTCATGCTAACCCCTCATTCAGCGACTCTCGATGATCTCGATGATCCCCTCAATGCCACAACATCCCGAACACCATTAACAGGCAATATCCAAACCACCCAATCCACCTCCCAATCAAATCAAAATTATCTTACCTCCCGTATCCCCGGTGAAGATCGTCGAGCTCCAACAAACACACTTGATGAATCAGTCTGGGAAACTCTCTCTCGAGATCTCTCCGCCATCTGGTCCAAAATGCGAGAAGTCCTTTACCCAAAATACCTATTCGGAGGTTCGATGATCGATTCTCACGGTCTACGAGGAGCTTATTCACAATTTCGAGAAAATGGTATGCAAGGCGCAAGAGAAGAATTGAGGGGTATGATTGGAAGGGTTACAGATGTGGAAGGTCTTACGCAGGGAAATGCAATGAGTGAGGGATTGAGAGATTGGGATTTATGGGGTCCGTTGGTTTTTTGTTTGGGTTTGTCGTTATTGTTGAGTTTTAGGGCGAGAGGTGATCAGATGAGTAAAGTTTTTAGTGGGGTTTTTGCTATGGTTTGGTTGGGTGAGGTGGTGGTTACTGTGCAGATTAAGTTATTGGGGGGAAATATGTATGTTTGGTTTTTATTCCTCTTTTCCCTTTTCCTTTTCTCTTCCCTATCCATCTTCTCATTTTCCCTCTTATACCCCCTTCTCTGTTCATCTTCCCATTCTTGCATCTCCCCATTCTCTCCTTCTTCCCATTCTCTCCCATATCCTCACTCCTCGCCCCTCACCCCTCACCCCTCCAAAACCCCACTAACATCTCTCCCTATAGTTCCTTCGCCCAATCCGTCTGCATAATAGGTTACACACTCTTCCCACTTGTTATCGCTGCTCTCCTCAGCGCTCTCGGTCTTCATCCCATTCCTCGAATCCCTATATACATAGTACTAGTAGGATGGAGTATGGCAGCAGGTATTAGTATATTAGGTGGTAGTGGAGTTGTGAAAAATCGAGTGGGATTGGCTGTTTTTCCTTTGCTTGTTTTCTATTTGATGTTAGGTGCACTTTGTTTTATTTCTTAGGTTGTGGATTGGAGTTTGTTGTTGGGTTGTGGGAACGTAAGGGAATTGTAGGGAGAGGAATTGAGAAGAGGTTGGGGGTGGGGGTATTTTGAGAGGGAAGGGGAGAGAGAAGAAAGGAAGGAAAGGGAAAAGTACGGGCTACTATGGGCTTCTTCTTACATTTGTCTACCCTATAGTTTATTTGACCTGCTATCTGATACTGCCATGAAATTATTGTGATTATTGAAGATGATGATGAGACGATGAAATGGAACTTTGTTTAATGTACGCATTATGGAAGAATGTAGGATATGCATGTATGCATGAAAGGTTCGTGAAGTGAATATTTCCCTGATATAAGATCTTACAACAGACAGTTCTAGACCAGACTCATTACATATTAAGCGAAATCAAATAAGATCAAATAGCTTATAAATTGATCACTATTATATTTCATCTTTTATGATTCTTATCTTTTGCTATGTAGGTACCTAGGTAGGTAGGTGTAGGTATTATACATTAGGTAATCTTACAACTTTCCAACTCTCCAACTCTCCTTATGACATCTGGATACATAAATTTGGGATATATGTTATTTATCATGTAAAAATAGTATTTCTTCTATACCTTTTATCCTTCCTCAGTTAGCTCTTCACATCGTGACTCACTCAGTATGTGTATAAAGTTTGTGAGGAGGTTCTTCTAGTGAATTATCTGTTTGAGTCAATACTACAACACGTATTATTCTTCATATATTTTTTTTTCATCTTATTGAATATTAAATGATGGGTTCAATAGAATTAGAATTAGAATTCTTGCGAGTATAATAATAACATTATTACCTCAACTCAAAAGAATCTCGATAAGGATCAAGCTAGCGGAGTATCGAAGAGAGAATATTTAAGTCCATATATATGAAAGGTTGTAAATATACCTCATTGTCATGTATCATTTTATGCTACTTGTTTATTGTTTAACACACTGATCGTTGTCATTTCCTACTCTTGGTATATGATTGCGAGATATTTCCATTTGTTACTGCTGCGTCTAGGATGAACTTCTCCTCATCCACGGAAGGACCATCGATAAAAATATTAAGAAATTCTAGGTGTATTTCTTTCGAGCTGCAAAAATCCAAGAAATCATTGCAGTAAGGTTAATTCTCCTAGACTGCTGGCTCAAGAATATTTTGGGATTGCAAATTCAAGCAGGGGATGGTTCTTATTTGCATTTCCCCGGCCTCGCACACCGGAACATCCAACTATCTATCTCCTTGGTATTATGACTCTCTAGAAGAGGTAAGTGTCATGGGCTTGGAAGGAACTCATAGTGGTCCTGTTGCGCTCATTTTGTTCCCATTTTTGAGTATAAATGTCCATGATCATAAGGTAGGTCTAATATTAGCTGGATACGCGTGACATAATATCTGTAATTCAGGACTATGTGGAAGCAGAGTTCAAAGTTTGTCGATTTTGCTATTAAGGAATGTGAACATCATCTGTAACACTCGCAAAGTAGATATCCAGATAAGTGGACTGTCATTATTCCATCATTCTAGACTGTGCAATTGCTGTTATTCCAAAACGTAAATTGAGTACTGTCACGTCCGCTTTACGAAAGTCACGAATCCATCTCGACTTCTTGAGTAAATTTTGATCTATGCGTAGAAGAATAAGGGTCCTGCAAGCCATATTCATAATCAAACTAATTGCGATATCTTGTCAATTATATCCTTGTTGTCTGGTGAATCATCTGCTTTACACTGCATGATATATATAACAATTGACCATTTCTTTTACACTCTCAAAATGACTTCCTTAGACCTGGTCGACCAACATAAGAGACGGTTAGATTCTGTTTTGGATATGAAGTGACTTCGAGGGAAGATGGATAAAATGGCTTGTATGTATATAAGGGTACCTCTCGTCAAGTATCATCCACATACTCGATTTACCAGATTTCGATCTCTCTCAGAAGTCTAGCTTTTGACTGTGAATTTTAATGGGAATGAACAAGTAGATACACTATTTGCAACTAGTATGGCTGGCATATATCTAACCTAGACTCATCTAGATTACCACTATAATTTTCGTATAGTTAAATTGTTGCGTGTCTTTCTTACCGAAGATTTTTCACTATTATTTTTCCGGTACTCTTGTTATCAAAAAGACTGAAGAGATACTGCTTTTCCTTTAACTAATATGTTTGACGATAAAATCTAAATTCTGAGATGTGCATCAGAATGGTGTCGATAGAGTAAAACTGCTACTAAGCAGGGGAGGAACTTAAGACTGGAGCCACATCTGCTTACTTTTCACGCTCAAGTAATCCAAATACAGTCCATTCTTTTATACTATATCCTCCCATACTAGGGTATCATCTCGAGATCACACAATATAATGAATAATAACCATCTCAAATAAACATCTTCTATACCAGCGCGTGATAATTTTCCACAGCAGCGAGAGAATACTCCCGGAGGAAAGAATATACATAAACCTTTTATCCCGAGCATTTCCAATTATCCAAGCACGGAAAAGGAGCGAATGAACTAATATTATATGTAGCTGCCATTCCCTGATGTAGAGAGAGCTTCTCAGACCTGTTCATTCTATTTCCTAGGTTGAAAGAGAGTTTGGTAATGCATTCTCCAAGTATCAGGCAGCATTATATTGTCAATTCGTGGTTCTTACTATCACCACATATGTCCAATTTGCATCAGATACAATACCACTATTGTATTTGGCTACCTGCAGAAACTTGCAAGAATAGGTTCCATAGGGTGGAATAATTTTATTTTTTTACAATTGGTTGAGTTTTGATGCGGTGCACTCCCTACCAGCGACTTTCTTAAAAAGTCTTTTTCGAATGCCTTCGCAATTATATCTACATAAAATGCACTTGTCTTAATAACACGTCACTGCCGATTCCATTAAAAATTCAAAATAGACACGCAGATGATAGATCAATGATCTCATTTGAGCAATACAACAAGGGCTTTGATGTAGGATATACTACTTTGAATTCGATAATTCCCGAGGGAGCGTTGTTGGAATGTATTCCACTAATATGAAGCAGAGAAAGAAAACAAGCAGGCACAAGTGACGATGAAGTTGAAAACAGGCATGCAGATATCTGAGTGACTTCCCCATTCAGTAACTATTTACCTAGACCCCCTGAATATTGTTTGTCAAAGATTCCTCCAAGCTTGTAAAACCAGGACGTTTAAAGTCTCTCCTCAAAAGCTCTGCAGCCCTTTGATTAGCGACCTTTGATAAATCGTTGACGTTGTCATCGTGAAAATCATCCATAATTTTTGCATCAGGTCGAATTTTGCGGAAGATCCTCAGTAAAGTGTTGTTGTTGAATGGTTCGGCAGATGCAAGTAGTCTTTCGTTCTTCACGTCCTCATCGACCAATGCTGAAACATGAAGACGTCCTACATCCTGCACATCCACGAAATACTGAGGAGGTAGATTTAGCATCTCGGAATTATCCCCTCTGTAAAGATTTCGGACCCAGCCACCAGTAGATGCATCTTGTGTCGGATCCAAGATCAGACCCATACATGTATCTGGAAGAACAGCATTGGCTACAAAGCCTGGTTTCTTTTCCTTTACAAACTTCCACACCGCTTGCTCAACTTCAGTTTTACTAGCCCCCAAAACAGCCCACACTCTTGAGGGTTCATATGGAGGTGGAGCATGTGCTGCCTCAATAGCCTCTGTGTTCCACGTGTTTTCATCGACATAGAATTCCTTATTGGGCTTCGGCATGGTTGTGGCCAAGGAAGAGGATGTGACGACAAAACGTTTTACACTTGGTTCCGAGGCTGCAGACTTAAGAAGGGCGTCTACTCAGACAAGCGCGTCTGGAATTTGCTGAGTTAAAACCCAAAGATTAATTATGTATTGTTAATGGATTAAGTATAACTTTATTTTGTTTGAATTTAATATGAAGATTATATTTGATGTTATTATATAAATAATATTAAATATATCTTTTATAATTTTATCAAATATCTTTTCAATAGATATTGTAAAAGTGATATATTGAAATATATACATCTCGATAATATATTATAAGGAAGGAATTGAAAGAGAAAGTTGAATTAGATTATATTGTAATACATCACTTATAAAGAAAATAAGGTTCATCATGGTTTTATGATTCATATTATATAGGTTCAAATGTATATATGTAAAAGATTGATTATTGTAAAAAGAAAAGACAAAAGTTCTTCTTTTATATCTAATTATAAAAGATCATGTGATTGACTAGTTAAAAACCTTTATATATTTGGTCTATAATTCCAACTTTCCTACAATATATTTGATATAATTATTATTTAATCTTATTCTTTTTATATAATTTCTTTTACTAATTGATCAAATTTTAATTTTGAAAGTATTTCTAGCAATATTTTGTATTTGATATTCAATTTTCAAAAGTTGATTAATTATATAAAATATTAAATAATTATTAAGATCAATAATTAAGATTATTGATTTGTTAAAAATTGTAATAAATATATTAAAACAAAATAATTATATATCAAAATTGATATTATATAAAATTAAAATGTTACAAATAGATTTTAAATATGCTTTTGAAATATAATAATTATCAAAATACAATTTGAATAATATCAAACCTACAATTCGGATAGAGTATCGAAGAAATAAATAGTTCATAGTTTATATTGATTTGGTGTAGGTAGGTTAGCGGTTATATTCTTGGTGCCAAAGCATATAGATGCCATCTGTACCATTATCCCGACTCTGGCGTGCATGGCATGATACTTGAACCAATAGGAAGTGCAATGAGTGTTCCCCCTCATGTGCAAAAGGATGAAAAAGACATCTTGATACTTTAAGCACGGATTATTGGCCCGCCGTTCCCCATGTCTAGTTTCGCTGTCTTGATTATTGGATTGACCGATTTTGAGCTTCTTTTGGGGAAGTCCGATGAGGATGCCATGTGAACGGCAGAACGTTTTTCCGTGGCCTTTCCGATGCAATGCATTGTTGTAAAGTTCCTACAACTTCATCCTCATCAACCACCCAATTAATTATCAATTGAGATGATGATGATGATGATGATGATTTTGGCGGGGTAAAATCCTAGAATTATACAGCAATTGTACATTCCAGAACTCTCAACCTTTAAATTAATCATGGTATATTCACATGTGGAAGCCGCCATGGTCATTCTTGGCCCTTTGAGCGCTGTGAAAATGGCAGTTACAACCCATGGATGGCAGGAGCGACATGAGTCCTCACATAGTCATTGCCACTATGTTACCTGTCACAGTTCCTCCAGTTTCTTCCTTTCAAAAACAATAGCTCAAGCTGCAGCTCAAAACACATGTCAATTCCAGCAATGCCATCTTCAAGCGCACTCACGCCGAAAAGCCCCAGAACTCCCGGTGGTCTGAGACCTCCCTTGAAACATTCAATTCAAGTCTCTTTTTCAAACTTGCCCGATGAAGCAATTCTTGCTAGGAACAGACCTCGTCAAGGCAATGGTTCTCCAGACAGTACTGAGGAAGATCAACTTATCCCCGCTTTCGAGGTCAACCACCTAGGCTTCAGGGTCACAACCGGTATTGCTCCAGATGGTGAGAGTGGCCGAAGAGGACTGAGCCCGATCAAATGCATCCAACTTTGCTGGAAATCCTCGAGTGGGGCCTCACAAGCCGTCAATTTTCTCTGGCCCATTGTTCCTGTTGCCATCGTCGTCACATATGCTCGGGAAGAATGGCATACAGTCATATTCATTCTCAACTATCTATCCATGATTCCTTCTGCGAACCTTATTGGTTTCGCTGGCCAAGAACTGTCTCGCAAATTGGACAAAGTATTTGGCATTCTTATAGAGACCACACTTGGATCTGTCGTCGAGATTGTGATGTTCATGGTACTTCTTAGTAGACATCAATTCCAGGTCATGCAAGCCGCTATCATGGGCTCCATATTGGCCACTCAACTGTTGTGTTTAGGAATGTGTTTCTTCGTGGGAGGATTGACACACGATGAACAAGAGTTTGATGAAGAAATCAGTGAAGTCGGAAGTGATCTACTCCTGCAGGCGTATGTGTTATTCCAATATCCCGTTCAATCCATTTTTTAACCTGTCAATCAGTGGACTCGGTCTCATTGTACCTGCCGCGTTCAACATGGCCATTAAAAGCGCCCAGCCCGAGTATGATCCTGTCATACTTGCAGATTCTGTCCTCCACATTTCACGCATGACCTCTATCCTGCTAATCATGTCGTATGCTCTATACGTCTACTTTCAAATGCGCTCCCATCAATCTATATACGACGCGATCTTTGAGGCGGATGAACGTAAACAAGAGGACTACGAAGAGGATCTTATAAAGGAAAAATTGACATTCACTGAATGCGTGGTGGCTTTGATAGTTGCGATTAGCATGGTTACCTTCACTGCCATTAGACTTGTGGAAAGCATTGAATTCATCGTTGATGAAGATGGTATCTCCGATAGCTTCGTCGGTCTAATATTGGTCCCACTTGTGGAGAAGTTTGCCGAGCATTTGACCGCAATTGATGAAGCTCACGATAATTCAATGAACCTGGCCCTCTCACATGTATTGGGTGCTACCATTCAAACAGCTCTCTTCAACGCCCCTTTGGTTGTCATTATTGGTTGGATTGTCGACATCCCAATGGATTTGAATTTCGACCTCTTCATTATCGTTGTTTTGATTCTGTCCATTTTGGTGGTTGGAAATTTCTTGAAAGATTGCAGATCCAACTACTTAGAAGGTGCTCTATGTGTACTCGTGTACATCAATGTCGCTGTGGCAGTTTTCTATTATCCAAACCCGCCAAAGGTTGTACCACCACATGTATGAAGGTTTGGAATGGTACGGCAAGCTATCGTGGGAGGGAGTCTCATGTGTGAGCTCTGTAGTAAATTCCGAAATCTGTCCTACGTGCTGGGAATTTTCAGTTGGTTTTGGCGATTCGAATATTTTGGCTTCTATGACTTGCTGTTTTCCTCATTTTATACTTATGTAATGTTCGAGTAAGGTAGACAGACTTCTCACGGAGCTTGCAAATGGGCGTGCTAGTTTATTTTTTCAGAACAGATAGATAATAGAATGAAAAGAGCTTCCCACTAAGCCCGTGAGTGCGGTGCGTAGTATCTGGCATGTTTTTGTGATGTGGCTGCTCAAAGCGGAGATTTGATTCGGTTAGTGTCTTCGATATCGATGTGACGGGAGTATAAAACCTATTAATGAAAAAGCTTGCTAGGGTAATGAATTTGCTCAACTGAGCTCAAGGGCGAACGCAAAACTCAAACTATCAGACATAATTGGGGAGATAGATGGTTTATCACAGGGCCCACGACTCGTATATGTAAGTTTGTTTGATCTATCACAACCTTCACACTATTTTCCGCGCTCATTCGAAGACCTTATCCGAAATTAATCGACAATTACTAGCCCCATGATTATGCCTACGTTGAACGCTGTTGCAGACTTGCGCTTTTGATAGCCATCTCCCTTCGCCGACGTAACCATTACACACCACGTCAAAGGAAAGGAAAACTAAAAAGGAAAATTTAAAAGCTTTAAAAAGCCACAGAATGACCGCCGCAACGATGAAGTTAAACAAGAGGTTACCAGTCTAACTCTTCGGAATAAGACGAATGCTTTCTCCAATTAGAGTTTAGTACAGCCCAAAACTTTGAACGCAAGGAATTCAAAACGTTATAAAAGATTCTTTCGTGGCATATGTCTGATCAACATGTTCTGTTAGGAATAGAATCACAACCATTCTCGACAGGTCCAAATCCACCAGGGCTATCATGTTCTCTTTGATTGGATGGCTAGCAACCGATAGAAATATCCTTGGATGCCGGATAATCAGAACCCGCCTCTATGATTGGGTTTTGAGCATGGATCAAGAGCATACCAGATACGATATCCAGCATCCGGCATATTCTGGCTGATGTAAATGTTGAAGCTTTTTACAGCCGACTCACTTTGACTACGAATGGACGAGAATGCCAATTCAACAATCTTGCTACCATCCCACTGAAACCATTCCTTGCCTGTGATGAGATCGAATTCAAATTTACTTCGGAAGAATTCTTCGAGGATTTTCACGGAAATATTTTCGGCCGGACCTTTGATTCTAACAACCCTTGACATTTTCCCATATCGACCTTCCGCAGGCAATACTTTAATCTTGTTCCACATCACCGTGATTCTTTGGCCGCGGATATAGAGTCCATGGCCGAACTTGGCGTCGTGGAGGAACTTTTCTGCCGCCTCCCTCGTAAGGAAGACAAGATCGGCAGCAGCATGAGTGAAAAGGTTTTCGACTGGACGGATGTAGTTGAATGAGAATACCTTGCCATGGGTGATCAAGGCGAATATCTCGCAATGACTAGCTTCCGGAGGGATCTTGTGAATTCTCACGGAACAGTTCTCATGGTCGAGACACATTGCATTGCGAAGGTTGAAGTTAGTGAGCTCGCCTTTGTACTTGGGATTAAAAACAATACCGACCTCCTCAGCTTTTCGAATAATATCAGAAGTGGGCAGACGGCGACCACCTTTAAGGATCGCAGATGGCACAAATTCACGTGTAATGTTGTTTACTTCCTTGTCTCCCCTATACCCGTCTAATTGCGAATTGCCTCGCGAAGCCATTGCGGGTTGTTTCTCTTCGCGAAGATGGTTTGGCATGTTTTTAGATTGAGTAGGCGAGATAGCTTCATTACAGCTCGGGGTAACAAAGTAGTTATGATCGAACGTCGATGTGGTAATTTCTGTGAATGCAGTTGATGCAAACGAGGATGATAAACTTGGGCTTGAAGATGTCGACAAGTTTCGGGTATGGGTTCCCGCGGATGCAGGAGGTCCATGGTAATTAGACACTTCAACATTGATTCCGAGGTGCTGGGCAATAATATTTTGAAGTTCCGCATTAACACCGTCACGCGAAGTTGCAGCGGCAGCATCCCTAGTATCGGCCGTGGCGCTGAATATGGACGAGAGATTTGCAGCATGTTGTCTTTTGTCTGCTATTTGCATACCCTGACTTGGTGCGAGTCTCAAAGGATGTTCCTGGTAGGTGTTTCCTTCGCTTCTAAAGACCCTAGTAACAGACTCGAGCCATGAGTTGAAGGGTGTCTCGTTCACACCTGCTCAAAGTCAGTCATGCAGAGTATCAACTCGGGCACAATACATACAGCGGTCATGCCACTTGTAGTCAGACGTGACTGTGGTCGTGACTTTAGAGCTTTTTGCCATCGAGTTTGATAGCTTATTGGGTGAGCTGCTGCTAGTAGTTTTTGCGTAAACGTATTGTTGATGATTACGGAATCGTTGTTTTGCTCGATCAAGAGAAAGCTCCCAAGAACTTGGTTGATGAAACATTTCGGGCTTTGAAGAGTTATCAGTCGGCGAAATGATCTAGACTAATGAGGAGAAATCAAATATCAACAGATATTTATTTGATGCTACCGTCGAGAAAACTCTCCGCAAGGGTTGATGAGTATCTGTTGTTCACTCAATCTGGTAGCGTAGAAGAGGTGAAAATCTGGAGATTTCGAGTTTGATATTTGAAATCGAACTGGGATGTAAGCAAGCAACCAAGATCTATATGCAGGTACCCTTCCGGAAGAAGAAGAAGCAACCTGATTGATTGGCTAGACGGATCTCGAATCAGGCGGCAGCAGCTGCATCAAAACAAAATAGGAGGAACAAACGATCTCCTTAAGATGCCATATTTCCGTCCCACTTACCATTATCTTGATTCGCGAGGGAACAGGAAGGATGAGGCGGGATATCTCCAGGTGGCACCGGGCACTGGTGGATAGTGGCAGAATTATGAGAAGAAAGAATTCTTTGTGGATATAGCCTTGTGATTGATTTTGTTTGTTCCGAGACTGCATGTTGGAGAGGCAGCACCTCCATGGCATTATGCTGGACCCTTGTGTTGTTGTGCGATAATAGACTTCACAAGTGACATCTGGAATTATTTCTTGTCAGGGTCTGGATGCATGTATCCAAAGACCATGAATGAGGAGCTCTAAGTTTCTGAATCTTGTTGACTGACCGCCTAAAATGAGAACATACTCTGTCTTTTAAGGTCTAAGAGAAGCTCTTTGGCAACAAGCGTTTCAGGCTTCGAGCTTCGTTATGCATTTTTGGAGACATCACAAAACGGCCTTTGAGGGGTAATTTGTAACGAAAGAGCACGGTCCGCGATGGATTATGCTGGACTAAACTCGTTCTTAAGAGGAATAATTGTAAGCGTTTGAATCGCTAACTCCTTTGCAGGACCACTTAAGTAACACATCGATCCTGTATTCCGTGGCCGTTCTCTATTGAAGGGTTATGGACTGAAGGACTACTTGAATGATATATCCAATTGTCTTTCTACAAGCGTATCATCACTACCTGTGCTGCCAGTTAGGAGATCTGTGCAGAAGTTGGTAGATCCTCGAGATGTTTCTTGGTTGATGCTTATTACTTGTAAAGCTTTTTAGTATTATCACGTACGTACTATGTGGTTCTAAACACTAATCGCATTAAAGTTAGGTCTTTTTGGTAGATACACGTTCTAGGGGAATAACGGCTTCTTGTTTTCAAGAAGAATGAAGCTTTTGAGAATCCTTTGAAGTAATATCAATATTTCACTACAAGCAAATTTTCTGGGTTTTTGGCTCAGTTATGACTTTTAGTCTAAATATTTTCTGAAAATTACATCAGCCGGGTCCAATTGTCATATCACACTAGCTATTATGCATAGGGATTTCATGATAATAATAAACATAAACCTTTTTGCTGGGAGGTGCACAGGAGTTTTCTCTATATGCGCTAAAATCAGTGCCCAGCTCCTGCAACGCGTCGCGTTAAGCTAAGCTCGCTATCAACGTCAGGGAACTGGAAATTAAGCAAAGAGGAAAGCAGAATCACCGTCTATACCTCGGAAAAGAGCTGGAGACGATTTATTCCTCTACTAGAGGTCTGAGTGGAGTGATTGTCTTTTGTTGAGAGGGTGGTGGTGTAAGGTCACCGTTGGTGCTAGATGCTTCACCATTTTCTTTTGTGATGTATGCTCTCTCGAAGAAGCTTAAATTGTAAGATTCAACCGGTGGAATTTCTCGGCTGTCAACGGAGAAGCGGAGACGGCCAAAGAAGAGCACCCCATCTTGATGCACTGCACATTTTATCAAAAAGAAATATATATCCACCCTAAATCCCTTTACATGTGACTTGCCCTCATACGGGCATTCTTACATAGGAGTTCATTCTGTCTCGCCCTAACCGTTTCACATTGCAGGTCTCCAACTTTTCGCGTCCGGGCCAGCACCTTTCTCATATTTTGGTCCGAGTCGATTAAAAGCGGTTCTACCACCATTGAAAATATAGTTGGAGCTCGGCCTCTGGCCACTACGCCAATTTGAGGCTCGGATGCTCTCCAAAGTACGTTGTGGTGGTGGTGGTGGTGGTGTGATGGCTTGTGGAATACGAGGAGTTCGTGGCCGCGACATGAACATATCTTTGCCTTGATCCGCATTCGGATCACATAGATCAGGCGCGAAGCGAATATCAAAATGATCTCCAAGTCCTTGTGCGGCGATCTTCTGCTTAAAGCATCGAAACGCCATTCTGGATTGGGCTCTAATACCGCAAAACGCTAGTTCGACAACTTTTTGATCAGTCTTGTGGTTCCACTCTCTTCGAGAGATGATATGAAGCTTCATGTCCTTGCCGAAGAAATTTAACAGATCTTGAGCCGAAAATCCAAAAGATCGTGGTCCACGCAGTTGTATAACTCGCGATTGGTGATCCTCCGGAACTGGACATTTCTTATTTCGGTTCCACTCAACGCTTATTCTCTGCCCGAGAATTCTGATTCCATCACCAGTCTCACTCTCCTCGAGATACTTCTCTGCTGCTTCGCGTACGCAAAAACAAAGTCGTGCAGCTGCATTAGGCCAGTCACTATTTGGTGCATTCCAAGCAACAGAATATACCTTCCCATGATGGATCGTTGGAAATAGATCCTTCATCTCGGCTTTGGGATGGATACAGGTTATGTGAAGTGCGCAGTTCTCATTCTCGGGCGTAAGTAAGTCGTTCAGTACTTCAGCCGTGATCTCGCCCTCGTACTTGGGATTCGATTGCACCCCGGCTGCATTAAGCATGGCTTGGATCTCTGGCGTAATTATGGCTCTTTCGCCTTTCTTCAATCTTGCAGGCTCGAAGGGGATAAGTGGTTGCTCGCTTGGGAGTAATGCTTTCTTTGGAATTTCCGTCTCTGTTGGAAGATTAAGAGCATCATACTCCTCCTTAGAAGTCTCGATATCGGAAGAATAATGAGTTCCTTCTTCAAATGTCAGAAATTGTTGCATGTCTCAAAGGAGTTGAAAGAATTACCAAAGGCCAACTCATCAGTACCGCTTGAGCTCTTCCTCTTCTCCATGGCATTTCTTGCACCTTCCATAGTAGCGTTCATGATTTCTTCAGCAAGGCCTGTGGATAAAATCTTTAGTATTGAGCAAGGGTTTTTAGATGGAATCGCTATCATAATCTTACTATCTTTTCGTGCACCATGTTGGGAGATCTCGCCCCGACCAAAAGATGCTGGAAAATTCGACATTTCCAACATAGGAAGTTGCAACAAAATTAGCGTTTCACGAATTTAAGTTATTTTTATAGATAGATCAAGAAAAGAAGATGGTGAAGGGATATGTCCTCGAAACAGCTTTTAGATCGCTCTAGTACGAACAGGAATTTTGGGACTCGGTTTCATGGGTATGATGTTTTTAAAAGGTAAAAATAGAAAAGCCGAAAATTTAGTGAAGGGGGATCAGGGCTCCTTCCCTTTCTTAATTCGATTCTGTACTGGTGCTTTTTTTATGCAGATATTCGATTTCTAGGTAGCTTCGCTCTCTGGTGCGAATAGCTTCGTGCTCATCAAAAGGATTTAAGTTGTAAGCCCTTGAGTCTCTGAAATGAAAGAGCAAAAGTTGTTGATATGGTTGGGTTGTTGATGTGCCGGAGATAAATAAATATTGAGCAAAGGAGTTTGTGTCTTGAAGATCTTGTGGTGGGGAAAGATGATGATGTGGGTTTTTGAGAGTTCACACCTTGCTTGATATGTTTTTTTTTTGGACATAGTATGCCTGTGGAGTGCGTGTGGAGTTTTCATGGCAGTGAATAGGAAATACATGGTGAATACCTACCTACCTATGGATAAATTCTTTTCTAGGGTTAAGCGAATACCTAAGTAGTTATTGGTCAACTCGAGGTTTTTTGGCTAGTAGTGAATTTAGAATTTGGAATTTCGAAAATAGAGAATGGTTTAAGGGAATATAAATTTATTTTTTTTGGTAATTTTGCTTGAGCTGTGGAAAGATGGTTGGAGAAGAAAGGTGTTGGGTTTGGAAGTATGGAGTATGAGAATAATTACTCTATTTGTTTTGGTGAATAGAAATGGAAATGGGTACGGCAAGTACAGCAGTATTGTTGTCTTACTGTTGCTTTTTTTTTTGGATGATTGGTGGATGATGAATGAGAGTGAATAGATGCTTGAGTAGGTATCTTTTGAGAAGATCAAAACTAAAAACCAGAATTTATTTATTTTGTGATTGTTTTGGAAGGTTAGGTAGTTTGACAGATGTACTTCAGAATGGTAGTGAATGGAGATATTGAATTGTGTAGAAAAAAAGCCATATCTAAGCTCTCGAAAAGTTGTAGTCTTATAAATGAGATTTGAGATTTGAGATTTGAGATTTGAGATTTGAAGGAATATGGTAATAAGTCTGGAACTATCATTCCTCTCTCTAAGACCGTTCTATTTGCAAAAGCTTAATCCTTCAGATCTCAGCCTAATGAGGGGGTCTGATATTCTCTGCTTGTTCTGAGTGTATCCCGGACGTTATAATGGTAGGTTCGAAGATTATTATTGGTTCAGATGTAAATTCTACAGATCAAATCTGGAAGTACTGTAGCTATTCAATACTAGAATTTGTTACAGATTTTGTTAATTCTGGAAGAATTAATTCTATGGTAAAAAGAAACACCGATTTATTTATGGCTTCACATCTTTTCAAGTATAAATTATACAAAGACATTCTTCCCGAAAGTTGCAAATACAATCACAATAAGCCAGGTATCTCAAACCAAATTCCCACTCATTCCCGCACCAAACCATCACCACCAAACCCACCCTCAACCGCCTTCATCCACATCCACATCCACATCCACATCCACATCACAAGGTCCCTTAAAAACTCCACCCCAAACCCCCTCAACCCAGGATCCGCGCGCACCCCCTCCCAAACCACCGCCGCCTGGCCCTCAAAACTCGCAAACTCAACCACCACCTCACAATCCCCCACTACAACCCTATCCCACTGATTCACATAATCAACCCCACAAAACGACCTAGCATAATGAATAAATTTCCTCAAATTAAATCCCCTCGCTGGTCTCGTGATCTTGAGTACTCTTGAGACGTTTTTATTTTCGCATGGTGCTACGCGTTTATTGCGGATGAGTAGCTTTTTGTTGTTGTGGGTTGTGGTGATGTAGTTTTGGGCGCTGGAGTGAGTCATGAATGTTATGTTTATGACGGAGGTGTGGTTTGAGGTGGAGACGCGGTTGAGGGAGTAGATTGCGCCGGTGCGGATTGTGTTGAGGATTTCTTGGGGTTGGGCGAGGCTGTTTACTCTTATTTGGACGGCGCAGCTGAGGTGTTCCGGGACGGGAGATTTGGGTTCGATTGGAATGCTGGCATTCTTTTGGTGAGGTAATGTAGTGACAGATTGGGTATCTGAAATGCCCTCCTCTTCCGAAGTTTGATGGGGCTTTTGCGTTGCGGGGATGGTGCTGTCGGCGGATGTAGTATCGGTGTGTTGACTACCTTCTATTGTTTGATAAACTGGATTGGATGGTCCAAAAACATACATTTCGGAAATTGAATAGGTTGGAGAAGCCGCATATAACTGTTGTTGCTGCGCAATATTGGGCTCGACACTTTCACGAATACTGGCAACATGAATCGGCAGACCCTGCCACTGTTGAGTTTGAGTGTGGATCTCTCGTAGAGGAAAAGCAGGACACCACCCAGTCATAGTATTAGTATCCTCGGCCCGCGCAATCAGCAGCGTCCATGGATATTTTGCCGTGATAAATGCTTGTTCTCCAAAGGCAAGTGTGCGTGGTCGAAACATGCTAGTCGCTTCGACTGAATCGACTTCCGGATTAAATTTAGGGTAATACTCATTTTCTCGGGAATCAAACATTGGGTAGAGCTCGGGTCGATATTGACGGACGGTCTGACAAGCACCATGAAGCCAGATTAGTTCGAGATAATGGGCCCAGGAAACTTTTTCATCGTCTCCAACTCTGTTCATGTCTATGTTCGTGTCAGCTTTTGAGCATCCAAACTAGCTTCTGAGTTCTACCTACTGAACATATTTATTCTGTCTCGGAAGCACTCGAGGTATTCTTCGTATAGTTGTCCCCCTATTAATAAGTTAGTCGACCTATGTGCATTTTGTTCTGCAAGTGCAAATAACTTACTTGAATTGGCTGTATTACTGGTGCCATCTTCGCAGACCAGATAGTTTGAAACGGACCAGATTTCTGTTGAGATTAGCTTTTGGTATTGTGATATTGTTTGGGGGTGTTATTACTGCCTCGACTGTCCAAAACCTTAACGGTACCGCTCTTGACACCAACAGCGAGCGGTAATTGTTGGTCTTGTGGACCACGGGTAATTCTGAAGCAGGTCATGTTATGCTTTAAGGTGACATGTACAAGTGCATTTGAGATAGTGTTTCTGTGAGGTGCAGGATTGAGATGACTCGATGCTGGTTAAATCCTGTGGTGGCGGTTTATGTAGTTGTTAAAAAGTAGGTCTTGTGTATAAAACAAAGTTCTAAAAAGTATCGAGGACATACTGAAAGCGTCTATACAGAGCATTCCCACCTTTGTACGGCGAACTCTAGTATACTATGAGTCACATGCTTGAAATGTCCAAATAACCGCGAATCTAGTAACTTTGTCCAAGCTGGTTGCCTAAGGGACGAAGGAGGACGAAATACTAGAGTCCACTCATACTGTACCGTGAGAGTGCATCACATTATTATGCAGCTAATTCCATCAATCATTTAACTCACCACGGCGAACATATATGAAACGAAGTTCCAGAGAGATATCCCCGTGAATCATGGACTAGGTACCAGTCATGATCATTACTGTAGCAACTAATTTTGAAAAGCCCCACTCTATCGTGCCATACCAAAGCCTTGCCCGTATGGTATATAATTTTACTCCGCACAGAATTTGAAAGACAAAGCATGGCTTTTACATGTGAAAAAAAAGATCGGCCGGTCTCAATAATTAACAAAATACCTTTCTGCTAACTTCATGGAAAATAAGGACTGCGTGACACTAATACAAAATTGACAACCAGGCAAGCATATCAGCTTTAAGGAAACAGGACAGCTATGTCCGTGAGCTACCAGTGACCTTGCATATAATTAGTCTTCTACTAATAAATTGTTGACAAGTATTTATGGAAGACCTTCAACTGCTCCGGCTGGAATAAACAGGTGGTGAATAGAAGAGTTTTTCACCACACAAATTCACCCATCTCATAGGTGGCACGTGGGAGGAATCAAAATTGGAAGAAATTATTAAATTTTTATAATTCTGTTTCGTAAACATACGACATAATAAAGCTCTCCAAATATTTGGTTGCAAGATAGGCAAACTTGAAATCCAAGATACTCCCATATTCCAATAGCGAACTGCAATTACTTTCTATGCTCCGTTCTGAGGAACAAGAATGACAGGATAATTGAGCTCCAATGTTGCCTTGGGATTATTCTTCAAAGGTACGAAATCAACAACGAGCGAATCTTTAACGGCAAAGACCGAATCATTTTGAAGGTATTCATCCTTTGAGTCAAAGATCTGGGTTGTGAGAGGCTTGTAATGATCATGTTGGACCTGTGGCTTCAATATCAGTCTGGAAATGGGGCATTTTTGACGAAGGCTAGGGCTTACGATGAGATGGATATGCGCAGGTCGAAAAGGATGTCTGTCTAATAGCTGTAAAATCTTGCCAGCAGGACCTAAGGATTTTAGCTTGGTTTCCCTAGAATAACGTGACGTTTCACATACCATCAAAAGGCACAGGATATGGAGTGGGTTTTAAGCAATAAAATCCATAATGCCCATTCTCGTCAGTGCTAAACTTTCCCCTCAAGTTTTTTTCTGCTTGGTCATCATCTTGTTGTTCATATAATCCATTGGTGGACGCCTGCCACACATCCACTGTGGCACCAGCTATAGGCTCCCTGGTTTTATGATCTGTGACAGTTCCATGCATATATACTATCTCCCCATCATCGACTGGTGTTTGAATTATCGAAGATTCGTTCTCTAGCACAGGAGCCTCTTGTCGGAAGAATGGCCCGAGAATCGCACTTGCGGTAGGTGCATCGACTGCGTCTGTAGCTTTCTTGAATGTGATTTCATCCACGAGGCTGAAAATTTATATGACTGTTAGAAGTACAAATCAATGCTTCTTGGAGAATGAAAACATACGATTCCAGGCCAATGACATCGCAAACTAATTGCCCCTCGTTTCTCTTACTGTCACTCATCCTTCCAGCCTCATTAAGAAGCTCGACTCCTTGCATCCACTCATCTACTGTAAGTTCCACTTCTCGCGCAAAATCATGAACATGTCGGATGAGACAGCTCATAACTTCCCTCATGCGAGGACTGGTCTTGGGTCCCATTGCGTCGATTACATTTTGTGTGAAGTTTGGATCGAATTTGTGTGAAGGAGCGCCACTTGTGTGCTCAGTTATGGTCGTCATCTTGGATACCTAAATGAGGTCTGCGAGCTTGAGAAATGTGAAATGATAGCAATATATCGTTCAATTCATTGGAAATGTTGGATGATATTGGATCTTATATCCATTCGGAAGGGTACTGCACTTCCGTCGGATCAAGGCGGCGTAGGATGAACCAACAAGGGCACAGCTTCTTGGCCCACAAAGCTCCCAACATTTGTAATAGATGACAATTGATGAGACAAGCAGTTCCAGGTATTGCAATTGTTAGGTGTTGAGTGTTAGATCCCCGCGACTCCACAGCATGAATTAATTAATTTTCTTGGTGTTGACAGAGTATGCCATTCATTTGAAGGAGGCAGAGCAGCTCTGAGCTTGGTCGCGAACGGCAAATAATTTAATATGGGGCCGAAGCGATCGGGGAGATAATAAGGTACAACCGGTGGTACATTGCCAACGGCCAATAGAAAGCTTCGGACTTGTGAGATGACTAAGGAAACGGAAAAACTAATTCCAAGGGGTCACAATATTTATCACTCACTTGTTCTTGCCAAACTAACAAAACAACATTACACACCACTGCATCGGGAGAGGAACATGTGGGTGAGTTTAGACGGTAGTTCTTGACACTTCACTCGTGGAAGCTCTTTGGAAAACGCGGTGGATGTACTGGGTACTGCCGGCTGTTCACCATTTGAAGCTTTCGAACAATGCACAACTCAATTTTCAGCCAACACGGGTAGGACATTCGGTATGTGGAAACACATAGGGCCAAAGTGCATATCAATTCGAAAGCTCAAAAGCAATCATCATGCCCACAAAGACTCCACTTCCTGGTCACGGTAAAACCATGGCTTTATCGTCATCGTCATTACCGGGATAGCGAAAGATTCTACTCTGTACGCCAATTGTGGCCATGAAATCTAAACCCCGCATTTGAAGCTTATCCACTGCTATCTCTATTATTCTCCTCATATCTCTTCTTTGCTTAGGGAAAATCTTTCAACTTGAAGGCTTCACGTAGCTCTTTACCAGTTACAATAAAATGGCTACAAATGCTGTCTCTCATGTTGATGTGCTCATCATCGGAGCCGGCCCAGCTGGTCTAATGGCCGCAACTTGGATGGCGAGATGTGGGATCAATGCGAGGATTATCGATAAGAGGGGTACCAAGATTTTCAACGGGTATGTATTATCAAAATCTCTCGACATAGGCGACTTCATAAACTAATGCGAACTACGCAACAGTCAAGCAGATGGGCTTCAATGTCGCACCTTAGAAATCTTTGACTCGTTTGACTTTGCAGATAGGGTATGGAAGGAAAGCAATCATATGCTTGAGGTTTGCCTCTGGAACCCGGATTCCGAAGGAAGGCTGAGAAGATCTGATAGACTACCGGATACTATTCCAGGCATTAGTCGTTTTCACGAGGTAGTTTTGCATCAAGGTACACTTCGCCTGCTATAAATTTGTCAAATGACCTAACATGGATGTTTTTTCTTAGGTCGAATAGAACGTTTCTTTCTCGATTCTCTGAAACAGCACAGCAATATAAGAGTTGAGCGTGGAGTCCTTCCGGACAAGCTCACGTTCGACGAAACAAAAGTGGATGATCCGAACGAATATCCTATTGAAGTTCTTTTACAGCATCTCAGTGAAGATCAAGCGAATCCCGAGCAGAATCAATCTACAGTGGATGGAGGAGCAACTTCCGATGGTCTCTTCCGAAGTAACATGGCGCCTGATGATACTGACGAACTCCTAAATAACGCACATAAAAATGGCTTAGCAGGAAGCAGTGAGGTCGTAAAGGCAAAATACATGATAGGATGCGATGGCGCACATTCTTGGACCAGAAAGCAACTAGGGTTCAAACTCGAAGGTGAACAAACAGACTACATTTGGGGCGTACTTGATATTATTCCAATTACAAATTTTCCCGACATTCGAATGAGATGTACTATTCACTCTGCAAGCTCCGGAAGTGTGATGGTTATACCAAGAGAAAATAAACTCGTCAGACTATACATTCAAATCACTACTACGGAAAAGGGGGCAAAGATTGAGCGGTCAGCCATCAATCCCAAGATGATTTTGGAAGCTGCCCAACGAACAATGGCACCTTACAAGCTAGATTATGAATATTGTGATTGGTGGACAGCTTATCAAATTGGTCAACGAGTTGGCTCAAATTTTTCCAAGAACGAGCGTATATTTCTAGCTGGTGATGCAGTGCATACTCATTCACCTAAAGCTGGACAAGGTATGAATGTTAGCATGCAAGACACTTACAATTTGGGATGGAAAATAGCTGCTGTCCTTAATGGAACTGCTAATCGATCAATCCTGAAGACTTATCAATCCGAACGTCGACGGATTGCCCAAGACCTCATTGCATTCGATCATAAATTCTCTCGACTCTTTTCTGGTCGTCCAGCAAAAGATGTCACGGATGAGGCAGGTATTAGCATGGATGAATTCAAAGACGTTTTCAAAAAGGGGAGTCTGTTCGCTAGTGGTGTCGCCGTGAATTACGGTGCTAGCGTCATCGTTGCGAAAGAGGGTGATGCTGCAGAGCAAGGGGATGGGACTGATGTAGCCCAGGATACTACAACTAGAGTTATAGGTAAACAAAATCTGGCTTCTAACATCAAAATTGGTATACGATTGCCTAGTTTCAAAGTTCTTAACCAATCGGATGCGAGACCTTGGCATTTTCAGGAACGTTTAAAGAGTGATGGACGCTGGAGAATTGTAATTTTTGCCGGGGATATCTCAAATGACGTCCAAATGTCTCGAATAACTACTTTAGGTCAGGAATTACATGATCTAGTCCAAAAATTCACACCCGAAACCAAAGCCATCGATTCAGTAATCGAAGTCCTCATGATTCATAGCGCACCAAGGGTACAAATAGAACTTTTAGATCTCCCAGATATCTTCCATCCTTTGAGCAAGAGGGATGGATATGATTACAACAAGGTTTATGTAGATGATATGTCGTATCATGAGGGACATGGAAAGGTGTATGAGGGGTATGGTGTTGATGAGAAGAGGGGATGTGTGGTGGTGTTGAGACCGGATCAACATGTTAGTTGGATTGGGGAATTGGAAGATATAGATGAGACGGAGAGATTTTTCATGGGGTTTATGGTTGTGGGGACGTAGATGGTTTGATGGAGGGAAGTGTTGTATTTGAAGGCTCGAATTTTTCTACAGATTATTGATGTTTGCAAGTGGACGTAATGAACTGAGTTCGTTAGTGGTGATTGCATTTGTTGATATTCAAGTGCTAGTCAGGGAGACTTTCATTCAGTTATCACAGATTAGAATATATATCTTCTATCGCATGTTTATTTCCTGCACTTTTATCAATACTATATATAGTAAAGTTCCTCCAGATTCCCTACCTCACATCTCCGCACGTAGCCCCAACAGGATGAACACCCAGCAGGATTCCCAAAAGTATTCCAACGCAGAACCCCCAGTCCTCCGAAAAAGCCAGAGATGCAACAAATCTTCAAAAGCCTCCTCTCCTTTGAACCGATTAAATGAAAGAGTGAAATTCTTTTATTTTTTTCTCTTCTTCGGTTTACTAGGTACACTTCTAACCACCAGCGATGGGAGGGTGGAATCACCTATTTGTCTGTTTGTAATCTTATCTCGCTGAATTAATTACAGGGACTGATTGACTGGGAGATTGGTCTGGATGGTTGGATGGTTGAATTGGTTCTGGAGTTGGGTGGGGGGATGGTGGGATGGTGGGATGGTGAGGGGGTTTTGGTTGAGGGTTTTGGTTGGAGAGGGGTGGTGATGGGTTTGTGTTTTGCTGTTTTCAAGGGATAATAAGCTATATACATACACATTGGTTGGACCTTGTAAAAATTATATATGATTATATATAATTTATAAATAACAGACCGTAACTAAACAAAGAAACAACCTTGAGATGGAATATTCAATCTTTTATTCTTTTACGAATTCTTTATTCCTTATATATAGATGGATAGATATTATAAGATAATAATTAAGATTAGTTCTGAGTTAGATTTAGATTTAGATTTAGATTTAGATTTAGTGGAAATACATATAGTAACAGTATCAGATATATATATTTGAGGAATTTATTAAAAGGTATTGCGGGGTGCTGGGCTATGGCTTGTGGATGGATGTTTGGGATTTAGTATTTAAGATGTAAGATTTGATATGATTGATGGATGGGTGATGAGTGAATGAATGAATGAAATGTCCTTACCTTTGGATGTTGGTCTGGATCTGGATCTGGATGTTGATATTCATCTTGTGGATGGATGGATGGATGGATGGATGGATGTTTATTATGTATTGGAAGATGGGCTGGATTATGGATTATGCATTATGGGATTGGTATGGGTTTTAATTAGGTCAAAATGGGTTTGGAGTGGAATTGGAATTCGCCTTGGACTTGGATTCGACTGGACTGTACCACGGTCTGACCGTGGTTTTCAGATATGCAACAAATGTAGAATCTTATCTGTTTAGAAAAACCGTATTTTACTTTGAGGGAGAGGAGAGTGGATGGGAATTCGTTTTGGATTTTGTTTAGTTAATAGTGGAATAGTTTCGGATTCTTTTCTTATTCTTCTCTCTTCTCTCGTCTCGTTTTTGTGATTAGTCTTTTTTGGATATTTTTCTTTAGTAGGTAGGATTTGAGGATGTACTGCAAGTTTTTGTAGTGCGGGTATAAGTATTATCTATCTGTATCCTAAGTATATTCCTTCAATATCATCGTTATTAGATCTTATCTTATATTTCTTATTTCCGTCATTGGATATAGATCTGTTTTCTATAATAATCGAGCAGCAATCTTTCATTCCGTCTAATTATATTTTCTAATCCTGATAATAATCACTCTATTACATTTTGAAGAAAGTCTTCTAATTACACTGTTCTTAAAAGCTATGATTTGTATGATATTTTCTATAGAAAAAAAGAGTCGTGTAAAGCATACCTATACTTATGGTTTTGTTATACGACTTTTCAAACTCACGAGTGTATATGCCTCTGTTGTTTATTCTCTACCCTACCCCTTTCAAGGATGAACTAGCAGCAAGTCATTGCAAGATTCACCGAGAATAAAAGTGTCAAGTATTCTATGATTCTCACAGTTGCAATATGTAATGTACAGTAAGGCTTTCTATGATTGATATATTATATATATATATATATAATAGCTCAAACATAGGAATGGGACTTGATTCCATAAAATTTATCCATAGCCATTATTAAATGACGAAAGCTGGCTCAAAGAGGTCGCATAATAACCTCAAGAGCTTTATGCATCTGCCATATAAATTTACGCTATTCATCTCACAATAACTAACAGCAATCGCATAAAAACAACAAAGTCTAGAGAAAACCAAAATTTGAAATGATATAGGATAATCTTAAGATACATCGATAGATTCCCACGAAAACAAAACGCAGTCTCATCCCAACTATCATGTGAAACACATTACCACTATCACCAAATAACCAACGACACATCTACCTAGGTACACACGTACGAAACGTACCAAGATCTCAACTCCTAGGAAATCTCCCCCCCAATGAAAAAGAAATTATTTGGTCTCCAACATCCTATACACCTCATACCGCCAGCCAAATTTAGCATTATTGCCCTAGGACATCGCCTTTCATAGATTCCTGCATAAAGAGAGAAAAAGAAACGAAAAGCATCAAATACTAAAAATATCAGTTTTCTATACCTATTCATGTGTCTCCTTGCAATTACCTCACTTCCTCATTTTGTCCTACTCTTTACTCAATTCCTCCTCATTTCTCTACTATTTCTGATATCTATTAGCGGACAATGACAATCTTGGATTCTCGGATATGATTCACTGATGTGAAGAAATATAAATGTATATCATATCCTGACCTGTAAAACAGATGATGACGCAACTATAAACTTATTATTAGTTAAACTCTACGGAGTGGTCGACTATTTGCAATTCACAGCTATAACTAACTACCTACGAGGAAGAAGAAGAAGAAAGTGTATCCATCTTGCTAATTTTCTTTATGGTGAGTAATAAATAAGACTTACCTCGTAGTAATTGAGGGAGAGGAAGAGGGAGAATATATGTGTTTAATATTTACAGCGCTTACGAGTATAAATTTTTTGTTAAGAAATAAATTATAGTGTGGGTTAGATATGCAACAAAAATGAATGGGAGAAAATTGCAGCTAATGATTGAAAGGGTATGGCGACGGCATATGGGGGGAAAATGTTCATGTTTAGAGGAAGGCACTTCCCACACAGGACCGGACATTCATATGATAGGACTAATAATCGATTGGAAAATCAAAGAAATACTTCATCCTCATAGTATTCCCCTGTCCAATGAAACACCTCAACCCCTTCAAGCAATCAACTACTCATCACCCTTAAACACCCATCTCCCTACTGTTTATAACTCCCCTTAAAAACCCTCAAGAAATCATTTTCCCCATCCCCCTCATTCCACCTCACCAGTGGTTTCAAACCCGCAAACTTCCACACCCCATTAATCTTCTTGTAATAATGTTCATTAGTCGCATGACTGTGTCCCTTCAATTTAATCTCCTTCAAATCCTTATCTTTGTAGACTTGATGACCAGCTCTCAATTGATGATGACCAATTACATAATCATCGGAGATTTTTTCCCAGCGGGTGGCGCCGAGAAGATGTTGAGTTTTGACGCAGGGGTCGCCGAGGAAATCATCATCGGTTACCATGGCCATGAATTCCGAGGCTGGCATGGAGTCCCAGCGGGATTTGCCAATGGTGGTGTAGTCGACGAGGAGGTTGGGCGCGATAATGGATTCGAGTCGTTCCCAATCCTGTCGTTTGTTAGGGGATTGAAAATGTGTTGGGGAAGATTATGTATGTACCTTTGCATCGTAGCTGTCACCCCAATCGAAGACCAATGCTGTGAGATCGAGGTAATCTATATGTTGTTAGCATCATTCCTCATCAATGTATTGTACAGAGACAAGTCGGTGGTTGCTTACCCTCAAAAGAAATTCTGCTTTGAGCCATATTTAATTCAGGAGTTTAATTTTCCCAGAGGTATATTTATTCGAATAGTAGAAGAAGTGCACACAATGACAGAATGAAACCAAAAGATCAGCGACTTCGACAACATTTAAGTACGATTTCATCCATGCCAATCCAAGCATGAGCTATCCTGAACTCGATCTCACAAAGCTCTTGCCTTGCGAATTTGCGCTCTAGCTCAAATTCCAGAGTCCGGCTGCTTGTACGCCTTCCGGGACGAACTTACACGCCATGACCCCTGACATCTTTTGCTAATGGACAAAATAATTAATATCCTAGTAATAGTGTATTGAGATGGTGTAAATACGGGGATCTGGTCGGACCTCCTTTGTTTTTTCTCAATGGAACTGAAACAGCCAAAACGAAGGTTGGAGGGGTAGCTGTAGTCGCATCACTGCAACCATTCGAGCTCCGTAAGCTAAGGCTGGGAAGATAATCGTAATCCGGACTTTGCTAGGGTTATGTTGATGCTTGCTAAGTCTGCTGTGTCTCGCAATCGCATCTTGATACATTGATGGGACTATTCAAGTCCCCGTTCCTTGATACCTGATGCTTACTGATGTTTATTGATTGTGAAGTTAGTATATTTACGTTGAGATTGTTTATGGTGGATCTTTCGGTCCAATGAACAAGTTCTGTAGATCATGGAGCTATCGGTGTCGATCCAAAGCATGGGCTCCCCGGCGGAACCTCAATGTGGGGGGGATATCTACCCCTAAAATTAGTGTGAACAGCCTAGCCAAAGCGGCCCCTCAACACCGTCAAACATCATGGACTTTTACTCGTATTTACGGTCATGTAGTTTCTACTAAACGAAAACCTGACATGACTTGGATCGGACGGTAAGAAAAGAATTGAGATTTCTCGAGGAAGAAACGAATCAGCCTTAATCCATGACTTGACTTGTGTGTATGATCAGACCTTCAGCTTACGAAGCCCTCGCTTACCCTAGTGACTGAGCGGACTACACTTAATGCTACTATCGGAATCTGTGCATTGCTGTGCGGACTATATTGAAACGTACCATCAATAATTGCGATGAATAACTATTGAAAATTTCGGAAAACATCTGTTTGCATGGAGCTCTCGACGTGTCGCGCCCCCTTGTTTTTTAATAGCCTGATTGGATAAATCGCGTAGGTCGGGTACGTTGCAGTTTGTTCACCTCCGTTCAGCACATCGGAATTGCATGGGTCAATATAATGGAAACCAACGCTGCATGAGTATTGCCTATGGACGGAACGGAGACCTCTAGATTCTCGCCACTTCCTTGTGTATGGCCGAAGACCGAAAGGTCCGAGGAACTGTCGTGATCCGGTTTGTCCAATGATATAAGAAGTTGATTGCCCATTTCAAATTAGATTTTCATACATCGTCCCACATCCTATATTGCTGTACAACCTCTCCCGTGCGTTGTCTACTTTCATATCGTATACCCATTTTCACGTTTACACTTCCATAAAAAAACACAATGTCTGTGTCACCAGCTCCATTTAAAACTCTTGAGGGAAAGGTCGCCTTGGTGACAGGTTCCGGTCGTGGAATTGGTAGAGGTATTGCTCTTGAGCTTGCCGCCCGTGGGGCAAGCGTTGTTATTAATTATGCCAACTCCGCTGGGCCAGCTGAGCAGGTCGTTCAAGAAATCGAGGAACTTGGTAGCAAAGGAATTGCTATTAAAGCAGATGTCTCCAAGGTACCAGAAATTCGGCGCTTGTTCCAAGAGGCCAAGGCACATTTCGGTAAACTCGATATTGTTATGAGCAATTCGGGTACTGAGATCTTCAAGGAGGAGGAAGACGTCACCGAAGAAGACTACGACAGAGTTTTTGGCCTTAATACTAGAGCACAATTCTTTGTTGCTCAACAAGCGCTTATCCATCTCGAGAACTATGGAAGAATTGTTTTAATGTCTTCCATTGCTGCCAATATGTCCGGTGTACCTAACCATGCTTTGTACGCTGGCAGTAAAGCAGCTGTTGAAGGATTTGTTAGGTCTTTCGCCAAAGATTGTGGAAAAAAGAAGATTACGTGCAATGGTATTGCTCCTGGTGGAATCAAGACCGATATGTATGAGCAGTAAGTATTTTTTTATCATTTAGATTTCATGATCAATGCTGATATGAAAATAGAAATGCATGGCATTATGTTCCAGGTGGAACTGAAGGAATGGATGTAGACGTCATTGACAAGGGACTTGCTGCTGTCTGTTCACTGGGACGTGTCGGTGTTCCAAAGGATATCGGAAGAGTTGTAGCATTCTTGGCTGGTCCAGAATCTGAATGGATTAATGGTAAGACCTATCGATAAACAAGTTCCTTTTCTTATGACTAATATTTGAGTAGGACAAATTCTACAACTCAACGGTGGTGGAAAGTAAGTTGGCGATATGTGAATAGAAGTTGAAGGAGTTATGCATCATGAATTGAAGGTTGCTTACAGGAATACCTGTCCGGTTTGGTAGACGGTAGAATGTTAGGGACATGTAGAATGAAAAAAAAATCTAATACACATCATTAAATGCCATTTTTGCCAGTCAACTCGCGACCTAATTATCTTTTCTTGAATCCATTCTTAAGTGAGGTGCCGATTATAGACTAGAAAGACAAGTTTTGCATGAGTCGGGATCAAAATGTTTCGATGTGCTGTTGAAGTGGACTTGCTCCCTATTAGCTGTTTCTTCGCCACTACAAATACTATTAACGTGAGAAGAAAGTCCTTCTCGAACGGATTCGAATTGTAATCATTCTGTAACTGCAGATTTTCAGCCACAAAACGGCCTATGAGTGCCAAACGTCCACTGAGCACCCATTGCCATGGCAAAGGTTAGCGAGTAGGTGCGCTTGTCGTGCTGATGGTGTGAGTCTCCATTAGACAATTATCGCTTTGCCGACTTGAATCTTCCAGGAGATTCTATAGTTGAGGTGACAAGACGGGACGTATGCATCTTAGCGGCGTAGGTCTGCTGGAACTACTTGGCTACATGCAAGACAACTGGTTGATTACCGGCTTTACTGACTCGCAGTATTAGAATAGGAAGAGTCAGAAGTCTTTCAAATGTACGGATGACCAAGTTCTTTGAAACCTTAAGATCCTTCGCTTGTCGTTGTTAGAAAATACATAAAGTCATAATGGTCCAGAATTGCAACTAATAATCTTTAGGCAAGAATCCTAATCATGGACTTGGTAAATAAAAGGCACTCTTGTAAAGGTAGGAAGTACTTACATGCAGCTGGGATCTTGAGATAATGTAATCAACGTGTCTATAGAACGTATGGGGAGATTCACCCGTATATGCATTCCAGATTCATTTCTGACATTACATCCACTATAGTTGAAAAAAGTTAGTTTATACGTCGATAAGGAAGAAAAATAGCGATAATTCAAGGCTTAAGCTTCGATCAATATTGTAAAAGACACCAAGTCACCTACTCCAGAACACTTCTTGTCCAAGATCAGCTCTCGCCCAAGTCTCTTCAACCAGTATCAATGCCTTTGTCATAGGTTTCGCAGGCAATGATAGCTTAAAATCTTGAAAACGAGTAACAATAAAACGACGGGCGGCCGCAATATCCACCTCGAAATTAGTAATGCTATTCAACATCGTTGTGCCACTTAATGCCGGACCATGGTTGTGACCAACACCTTCGTAATGGCTTAATCCCAAAGTTGCATCAATGGAAAATGTCTCCATTGCTGCTGTGGAGAACCGGAGCTCACTTGCAGAGATAATCATGACAATGGGTTGAAGACATCGAGTACCGGATGTTGAAGGGATCTTCTCGAGGAGGGATACGATATGTAATGCAAGCGATATCAAGGATTCCTCCGCCGAATGTGAAACTGGCAAAGATAATATTTCTTGGCGGTCGGGCTGCCGAGTCAGACAGATAGTAGGGAAGACGCGATATATCTCTAGGAGAGCGGCACACCTATATGCTTCTGCTAGCAGGATGTATTGCCTGACGGGCGTGTTCTCGTCACCAGCATCTACAAGCTCGGCTTCGGATGGTAAATTCACAGCCAGTAATTGCTCTTCCAAAAGCCGGGCTCTGTTAGTCCACTCGATGCTGGGGAAGACACTTTGTTGAAGTGGTAAAGAACTGAAGTCGAAGAAAGGATCATCAAGAGCAACATTTGCAATTGGATTGAACGTTGACTTGCGACAGGATCGAATCAATCTTCCTACCTGGGCCAATAAAGCTTGTACCTTCGGTGCGACTCCGGTCCATGGATGAGGAAATATTTGGCGATTTTCCGTATTTTTATTTGGGGTCGTGTGGCTTTCCACCAATATATCGTCCCCTAGCATGGCAATGTTCTCTTCATCTTCGACAAATCCAGCGAGTAAATCCCAGTATAAAATACATTGTTCGAAGAACTCATTCTGTCGGCGCGTTTTGCTATCAACATTCATACCTTGCCGAGCAAGCCGTTGCTTGTATAACCACTTGGCAGTTTTCAGGTGTGCCAGACCTAGATCTCGGGGATTATGCCATGCTGTGGTTTGACCAACCAGGAGCACAGTCAAGAGAGTCTTATCGATGTTGTCGTGGGAGTCCAATCCAGCTCGGCCCGATTGATACAAGCATCTAAATGTTTCTCGTTGCATTTGAATCCCAACGGTAGACATACGTGGGAAGTCATGCGAAAGGTACGCAGCGGCCATGCTTTGAATGGCGTAGTATATCGGTGCCGAGCCATCCCAGAGTTGGCCAACAGTAGAGCGGAATGGATTGAGCATGCCGTCAAAGGATGAGAATATTATACAAATATAACCGAAATAGTATTCCACGAGCATGGTTGGAAGATGAACAAGAAACTCAGGTACACTCGAGTTGTTCAATTGATGGCGAATGGCAGAAAGACTATCAGTGAATACTGGAGCAAGCTTCTTCTTGATTGTGACATCGCGGCCCTGGTCAGACTCACTTCCGCTTCTTCCACAGTATTCATCATGTTCAACCATTTTAGAATGGTCTTGCTTTGAATTAGATTCCGTAGGTTTTTTACCAGGGGATGTATTCACGGAGGGCATTGAATCCACCACCAGTTTTCTTTCCAGAGCTTTTGCTGAAGGTGGGAGTGATCTGTGAGTATTTCCAACTAGAACCTTTTCATGTTTCGTCGACCAAACTAGTCGTTGGGAAGCATAGCAACACTCTGCCTTTCTTTTGAGACATTGAAGACAATGCGGCTTTTTTTCATCACATTTCAACTACTGTCAAGTCAGTAGTGAAACTATTGTGTTTCTAACAGGTAACAAGTGAGGCTTACACGCTTAGCCTTGCATCTTTGACACCCCTGGCGGGATTTTGGGGCTCGACGAGGATTGGTTGGGCACACCCGACCTCCAAATGAAGAAGGAATTGTTTCGGAAACTTTTGTAGTTGGAGAGGTATTCATTTGTACAGCGATAACAGTGTTGATTGGATGAAAGTTAACTCGCAAGTACGAACAAAAAGTAATCCTCAACAGCAAGATATACTTGATGTGAACGGAGTAATTTCAATAAATACCCTCAAATTATGGGAGAACAAGAATCGCAAGTGGGGTTTGGCAAGGAAAGATCACGTGACGAATCACTGGCGCTAATGACATATCAAAATGAGTCTCAGAGAATAAGGTTGTTACTATCAGACAACCGCTCTTTTACTTCATCCTTTCCCGACTCATAGTACCTGTACCTATGGATTTGACATGAGAACATCCAAGAGACCCTGAAACTAGGACATAACGTCTGTGCTCTTGCTTCCAACACTCTTCGCAGACACACAGTCATTTCATCACTTTGGACCAAAGATTCTGGATAGCCCTCAGGTCTTTCTCGGGACGATTTATAGCTGCCCCCAACCAATATGGTTCTTTAGGGATCCCGGTGTTGTCTTCCGAATCTTCTTTTAACATGTCTCTCAAACAACAAGCAAGGACTTGTAGAAGTGTGCTCAGACTCCTCACGTGATTGGGAAGCAATTCTGAAACTCTATGGATGTACGGGTATCATCTGATTGCAATTCGTCTCAAGTGCATAGGGAGTAGACTGGAACTCTAATCCTTCTCAGCACATATGAATCACGTGTGTTTTTGGGACCCACAACCATCAAGCTTCATAGAATCATATCTTGGGTCCCGGTCCACATGACCGCCATTGTCTACCAGCTAGATGCTTCTCGTATTGTGCAGTGTTCAGCAATCATTGCTGTTTCCGAGGTCGATTAGTACTTCGTTGGAATCATATTATATTTATTCCCCCATTGTTCTAGAAGCTCATTAATCTACGAAGGCCCGGGCGTAAGGTTGTATCGGGAAAAACAGCAAACATTGTCAGAGTTTGAAACATTTCACGATTCGAATAAGGCTTTTGTATGGATAAAGTTCAAATTTCTTGTTTATATTCGAATTATTATTGGCGAAGTCTCTTGCTGCTGTCCCATATCTGTCCCATGTGTAGGTGTGATGCCAAAAACCCTGTAGTGTTGGATGCTTTCTTGTCAATTCGGAAGATTCCGATATTCCAGCAAGTGCCACAGACTAATCCACCTTGCAACGGAAATAGGAAACAACTGATGTAACTGAGCTTATGGAGTATCGGCAAACTTGGCAGTCACAGGATGTCGACTCGCAGTATCAATCTTATATCACTGACCAGCGCCTTACCTCGCCTCCTTTGTGCACCAGAAAAGGTAAACTTGTGATTGTTGACATACCAACTAGCTTTATTGTACAAAACCTAATTATTCGGACAAGCTCGTCATGGTAAACACGGGAAAACCATCAAAGGGATGCTACATATGTAGAGCTAGGCGGATCAAGGTGTGTTTCCTCCTCTCATGGTAAGATCAGAATATGGGTGTTGGTCCTAACCATTATCTCAGTGCGATGAGGGTAAACCGTCATGTATGAAATGCCTAAAGTCAAAACGAGAATGCCTTGGTATGATTGAGTTCCATTTGAAATGATCAGATCCAGCCAGTCGTTGACAAAAGCTACAGGATATCGCGACGATTATGAGCTTAAGCTTCGAGACAAAACCAAGGCCACCAAGCGGAAATCTTCTATAGCTTTTGACGCAAGCATCCCGACTTTCACCATAGACTCATACAACCACTCACCATGCCAAAGTGAAAGCAGTCGACCAACAAGGAGGAAAATCCATACACTAAATAATGTAAACATTTACAAAGCTATCGACTTGATCACAACCACCAGCCCTCCTGGTCTCTTACTATCTACTGATGGCATTCATACAGAGCTAAGCCGCTTGCTTAAGCCCTCAAGCGTCGATATTGAGCCGTCCGCGTCACTGAAAATGGTTGTCTCTTGCCAATTATCCCCCCCTATTAATGAACGAGCCACATGCTTTTTCTTATCTAATTTTGTTCTGCTTCCACGTGGACTCACAGGAAAAGGGAATTTGGATTTCCTCCTGCCACTCGTGTATGCTGCTAGATCAACAGAAACCACACTTATGCTTGCGTTAAATGCCGTCGCACATGTTGCTCTCGCGAACCAGCCAGATGCTAGGAAACTTATTCCTCTAGCCGACAGTAAGTATGTGATAGCTTTGAATCAAGTCAACAAAGACCTTCAAGATTCGGAAAAAGCGAAGCAAGATGCGACTTTGGCAGCAGTTTTTTTGTTATCCTTCTACGAGGTAAAATAATCTCATCGCCATTTTATACATAACGCTAACCAAGACTAGCAACTTAGCTCACATCCCATGTCTTTGACAGGATGGTTATCTCACATCAATGGAGCTGTAGCGCTGGTGAAGGCTCGGGGGCGAAGCCAGCTTGACACAAAGATTGGGCGCTCCTTATTTGACGCTGTTAGAAGGCACATGGTAGCATTTCATTTCCATATCATTTAACGAAACGAGACTGATTATAAATAGACTATCGAATGTATCAGCCGGTCAAAGTATGTCAAGGAAGGCGTCGATTGGTGGACATCGTTTGCGTTGGAAGATAAAGTTCAACATCAAGTATCCGTACTCAACCTCAAAGTAGCAAACCTACGCGCAGACTCCCATCGAATTTGCACCCTCGAAGCTCGCACATCAGAAAATGTCGAAAAGGTAGTAAACCACTTGGAGAACGCAAAACTAATCGAGAGAGAATACGTCGACTGGTATACAAATCTTCCCGACGAATGGACGCCTAAAATGGCAGCTTGGATTGACGACATATCGGAGAAAAACATCGAGTCTGCCACGTGCTATCCAGGAAAAATTGATATATATGGTGAGCTTTGGATGGCTACCACGCATAACATTGCACGCGCCTCGAGATTGTTTATTATCACGACTATCCTGCGATGTACTGCATGGCTTAATCCCGGCGTCGATTACAGGCTCACACCAGAATATGTGAATGCTTCGCAACAGGCAAGCTTACTGATCGACGATATCGTGTCAAGCATTCCGCTCTTCTTTGGCTGTGACATCCTACATACTGATATCCCTGTGGTCGAAAACTCGTATTTTCCCTGTGGGAAGGACAGTGGAATAAGTGGAAAGGGGGTAACGGGTGTTTGGGCAATATGGCCAGTATTTGCAGCAGCAGCCTCAGATTTCGCGACTAATACCCAGCGGTTATGGTTACGAGGACGACTTAAATACATTGCAGAGGATTTAGGGATACGTCAAGCTGAGATGCTACTTGAGGTATGATTGACTCTTTCTTCTCATCCTCGTTGTTAATTCCTCATAGTTGCAAACCCGGTATCCCTCAACGTTTATCTATAGAGATCAGGTCATGATTGAAGATCTCAAGAGGGCGAAGATGGATGGTATGATTGGAGACACTCCCGTCTGCATCTAGCCACAACGTATTGATGGGGTTATAAACATAAAGTAAATACTTGCAGACTACAATATCTTTCTATAGTATTTTATCTAATATTGAACGCCTTACAATCTCATGACTTGTGAGAAAAGACTTATCATCAATGCTCACGTTTCAGCAGTGGTATCTAGCTCTTTGACCCAAATCCGATACAAGCGGATAATTGACTCGGACATTACCCGACGAGTTACCCGATGGGCTTCTCAACCAACAATACTCTCGCCTGAGGCGCAAAGAGAATCAATGATTAATGTATACCTAGTGAAAGTTGTGAGAGTTTAGTCTTATATTCCCCTTTTAGATGGTTCGGAGCACTAGGACGTGAAATAAGACGTTGTGCTTTGTACGCCCCGTTAGGAATCCCCAACCGGACGTCCGACGAAATTGTTTCGTTTTGGAGGATGTAAGCTTAGAGTGAGGGCTTATTTAGTTTATGCTAAGTTCTATGGTATAGAATTGTGAAGTGCCTAGATAACCTTATATGTTACATTATTGTTGGGGGATGAATACATTGCCATTTAAATCACGTGTATGGTGACATTATTCTACTAACGTGTAGAGTCACGTGTTGAAGATAGCTCCCCGAAGCCATCGGCATGTGCCCTTATCCGCGATGAAGGGAAGGTATGTCATAGAAGTAGCTCCAGCTCCAAAAGTAAAAACCTTCAAGAAATCAAGAATCATAAAATCACCAATATCATTTAAACCAATCCTCCATTTTCGCCATGCCATTTGTAACCATAAACGGAAAATCCATTTTCTACACCATAACGCCGCAGACCGGAAACCTGAGTAATCCCATTACCATACTCTTTATCCACGGTCTTGGTTCCTCTTCTAGTTTCTACCACACGATTATCCCTGAGCTTTCTAGACTGTCAACATGCATCGCATTTGATACGCCTGGATCAGGACTTTCGAGTCTAGGTGGTCTACCACAAACGGTAGAATCGATCACCAATGATGCGGTCGCGCTTATCGATTCCCTCTCCGGCACGGCGGTTAATGAAAAGGTTTGGGTGGTGGGTCATTCGATGGGTGGGATGATTGCGTGTGAACTTGCTATCCGGTATCCGCGAGCTGTGAAGGGATTGATTTTATTGGGTCCGATTGATCCCAGTCCTGCTCTTAGTGAGATTTTTACGAAGAGGATCGCGACCGTTGAGACGGGTATGTGTAGTTTTGAGTACTGTTATTCTTTCGGATCATTTGGCTGAGTTGTGATATATAGATGGGCTTGAACCTCTCGCAGATTCTATACCCAAAGCTGCTACGGGTTCCAAAGCATCACATTCCCAACGCGCTTTTATTCGGAGTTTGATACTTGGCACGAGCAGTGCTGGTTACTTATCTTTATGTCAGGTTATAGCATTGGCTAAGAAACCAGATTATGCCAAAATTCAAGTACCTCTTATGATTCTCGCCGGCAGTGAAGATAAGACAGCTTCTTACGAGGGCTGTGTAAAAATTCATGATAATTTCGGTGTGTCTGCAGAGAAGAAGTGTATTCAGGTCCTTCCCGCGGTGGGTCATTGGCATGCGATTGAAGCACCGGAGGCTGTGGTGAGGGAAATCATTGATTTCTTTGATAAAAAAGATGATATGGAGCGTGATGAGAGGAGTTAGGAAAAATAGAGAGGGTTTAGTAGAGCTAGGATTGATTGTATGGAGGTCCAGCTTTACACAATTTTTATCTTGTTTATCTATGTGGTAGAAGACGATGTTAAGATTACCTGACCAAAGCACAAAATCAAACCAATAAAGAAAAAGAATTCAATTGTTTGACTATCCTAGTCGATGAATACACGCTATATCTGAGTAAATCCAACTTCCAAGTCCCCTTGAAGACAACTGCGTCAATACATGAGCGAAATGATCAGAATTCATAAGCCCTTCCGTCAAAAGAGATTTGAACTATTTTAACAAATTTATCCTCAAATAGACCGTCAAGATTGAGATCTGATCATCTGGAACGGATTCTAGCAGATATTCGTGAGTCTCTAGCATCCATTAGACCCATTCTTGCAAATCAAGAAAGATAATCACATCACACAGTCGTTGATTTTTTTCATAGCATCCTCTAATTTCAACTCCCCATCAGCTAATAGAATATTTCAAGAATCTACAATGAACTCCCAGTTCCTTGCACTTCCTACAAGTAGTTCACCAGCGCATAGCTTCTGAAGCATGCGATCAACAAAATAAAGGTGTGTCAATTTTTTCCTGAACGAGGTTTAAAAAGAACACAACATTACAACATCCAAAAAATGCTTTCGAATGATCTGTATTCACTCTCGTATTTACGAAAAATCCATCCCCAAAACTGAGGTTAGAGCCAGCCACAGAAAAAAGATTCGGCCGACCTTTGCAGCTTGAGAGCCATTCGCGTTCAGACATCTCTGATGCAATGTTCACACTTGTGAACACCCGATTAGGAGCACGGCCGCCCTTCCATGTTTCCCAAATGTACTATGTTTTTTCCAACTTGCCTGTAAAAGAAGTGAAGAAAATGGAAACGAATTGTGAGCAAGGATCTCCCTCTCTGGAATGTACTGGCAAGATGCTAGTTCGATGCTAAAAACTTTTCAATAAAGATGGAATAGACCTCTCACAGATGTATTTGATGGAAGCTGTGCACATGCCATCCGGGCCTTCAAAGATAAGTATGGAATAGTCCCGTGCGGATATCTTTCAAGTGCGTACCTGAAATGTGACGTTTCTGAATATAAAGTTTGAGCTTCGGCAATGGTGACAGCGGCTGTCTCATAATGGAAAATACTCAGGGCGATTTGTGGTAGTTCGGCATGATACTGTCAAAATAAACTTTTCCTTCCCGAAAGACTCCGTAAGCATCCATCCGCCAGCGGACTATTTGATGATGATAATGTTTCCAAAGCTCCCTCTCCATGATTATATCAAATGACATCTATCAATGCCCAGCTTGTTGAAGGCTGCCTGTAGATTTGCTTATACATAAAACAAATCGTCTCCGTAGTCACCTTGGTGAATCTCGTAAGTCTGGTATTTACATGTATACTTATACACGTAAACTAATTTACCAGTTTGTGAAATAGTGCACGCATGTAAACTTATACACTACTGAACCCCAGAACTGATCGTCTTCATCCATCCCATGTGATAGTCATTACAGCACGGCTCCTTCTATAATCCATTTTTCTATTTTCCGCTTATCCGCAATTTTAAAAATAAACTCGTTGTAAATAGTTCGTATGCCAAAAATGGCTATTCCTTGAACTCTGTAGCTTGTATTGTAATTTTTGCTTTATTAGCGAAGTGAAGGAGGTCGGTACGAAAAATGCTTGAAGCTGATATTCTAGACGAGATTCGTGCGAATATCATTCTTGTGCAGATCTGTGAAGCTGTATATCGTATATACATACATATCTTCGATGCAATTCTACCCGGTGGTTTTTGACGAGAAGTTTAGAAAAGAAGTTCACAGACAACGTAAATTTCTGATTTGTCTGTGTAGAAGCCATGAACCCAGCTTGATCATAGCTCTTGGTTCTTACTCAGGGTCATGGAGAACTCCTTGTTGCCTTGACTCGGATGCCAATTCCATTCCTAGACTGGCATATTAACAGTACGGCAATCACGGCAGAACCGGAAATTTCGGGCATCCTCAGATCGTTGCACGTACCTCATCGGAACCTCACTCTGGAATCATTTGTTCCTAATCGTAAAAAGGGCCGTGATTTCCATACTGTTTCCACCAGATAAACAAATTAGTGTAGGGTTTTGAACTCATGCTCAAAATGCCCTTGTAATTGAACGTGAAATCGCACAAATCGTGCGCGGGAAGGCGATATAATTATGAGTAACAAAGGGTATAAATGGAAAATACCAAATCAGCCTATGGTCAGCCTGTCAAATCGAGAACGACAAAACGCCCTCGAACGGCATGGAACAGATCAAACATGCGTCGGTTATCGTTTTGTCTTAACCTTGCTGTGGCTTATATCATCAACCTAAATCCTGACGATTTCGATTATTTCTTCAGTATAAACGCGCATGGAATGCTTCTTACATGCGAGTTGCAACGAAGATCGTCATAAACCATGTCGCTACGGTAGGACTCTTCCCCGGGTTATCCGCTAACCGAAATAGTGGCGATGTGACCCCTAGTCCGTTCATTAAGGTTTAGCGTCTTCTGCTTTTGGCTTTGTTAATTGCATATACGGTTCTTGGCATGACTGGCATGCTTGGAGATCAACGTACTTAAAGTGAAAGCCCAATTGGAATCTATCGGATCAGCCTTAAGGCTGACTTTAAAAGGGATTTTCTCATGGATAGTAATTAAATACCAATAAGTAATCATGAAGACTCGCCCAGAAACAAATGATTTTTTATTGAATATGCCCTTGGGCACCTCAAGAGCGCGGTGATGCTTCGCGTTTGTATAACCCTCGTAGACTTACTGGACTCAATTCATCGCAGCTTCTAGTCCCAAAGTGAAACAGCCGGACAACCTGAGATGAAGCAGAAGAGACCGCGGTCCAGAGAATCTACTATGGCCCAGTAAATCAATTGATTTACGAATCAGATTGAGTACCGTGAGATGAACAATTATCATTGGTCGTTCAGGATTGATCTGTTTCGTGTTTGGATAACAGTGGAAACATGATGATTTTTACCAAGAAATTGGCTTCAAGAGTTCATAGAGAATTATTCCACACCCTTAATGAGATTTGCAGGGTGCAATCTTATCATGATGAGGTAATTCTGGGAGTAGACAAGCCATGATTGTAAAGCGAACCTGTGTCCATATTCAATATCGGAATTATGAAATTCCCATCATACCAATGTATCCACTTTCCACGCCCAACGCTCACAAATGGGGAGCGGAAAATCTAGTACCCATTTTCTGAAGCTTTTTGTAATCTTGATACAGCACTAACGGTTGTATGTCGTATTAATCTGTTTGCATATTTTAAATGAAAGGGGGCCTTATCCGAGCAGACTTACAAATCGCTTTTGAGAGCTTGGCATGCATTGTCAAAACATCGTCCGACAATGATGTTGAGTAGCTCGGACCGGACCAGTGTCAGCAGTCTTTTCAGGCATCGCGGTGACAACTTGCGTGAAAGTTGAAGACACGCATGTGGAAAAGCTACTGTAGTATTCGCAGCCCTTATATTGGGAGTGTTTTCCCTATGGGGTCAAATTGAACTTCAAGAACAACCGAGAGGTTTCCTTCACCTTGATTGCGCAAAACCATCATTCTATCACCAAATTAAGTTAGGATATTTCTTTTCTGATTGCTAATCAACAAGCTTTCGAGGTCAGCCCAAAAATATAATCTTCTACACTTTTCCCACAACCCCTGTAGATGATCTGCATCGCATCGCGGGATAGCAGGGGACCAAACAAAAGGCGGATACTGAAGAAGAAACGAAACTATGACTAGTACCAATTTGTATTTCAATCTCGCGGTGTCAAAGCGTCTAGAACGCCCCTTTGTCTTAGGTGGGGATCCGTGCCTAGATAACTCCACCAAATCATCTATCGACCCTTTGAATAATAAGGAAACAATAGATAGAAATAATTATCAGCCGCATTGAATTGGGCTTATATTGACATGCAACATAAATGAAGTTATTTACGAGGGTTACAGTAACAAATATCTGCTTAGTTTAACAGAATTGGATATAGTCTCGGGGCCCATTGATTCGACATCAATCGTACCTGGCCCAAGCAAATCTCCACTTCTTCACAACGTCCACGCCTCTGACGAATGGGCCATCACAATTAGCATCAAGCAAGAGCTATCAGTGCAAATATCCGCTTCCTTCTACTCCTTCCAGCGAGTAGTAAAAAAGTGCGACTACACATTCCCGTGTTTCAAGTCTCATTCAATAGTGTCATGCCTGCTAAAAACGTAAAATTAGGATAGAGACCCAAATTTTTGAATCTCGCCCACCCCTACCATGAGGAGTTAGCGCATTCCAGAGCTTGAGCGTTCCGAATATTGCGATTATTCCAAAAGAGTAAACCACATTGGTGCTCAATCACGAACCTATACTATGTGGATAGGGTAGATGCAGTTGAAACGAGATGTAGGTAAAAAGAAAATGTCGCTTCCAGAAAGTATCTGTGGGCATGTGAAGACCTCGCTCTGTATATATTTATATCGTGAAGTACTCATGAATTGGCATTTCACACTTTCGTTCTCCCAATCTTTCATACCAACCTATTAATTTTTTTCAAACCTTTCACGACCTCGAGCACTCCATAGTAATAGCGCGGGTCGCATAATTTCTCAAGATGGATGTTATATTATTCGGAGATCAAACAGTGGACTGCCAGTCTTTTCTCAAGAAAGCACTGCGTCGCAAGAACTGTCCTATCCTAAGCACTTTCCTAGAACAAGCCCATGCCGCTCTTCAAGATGAACTTTCATCCCTTCCATCGACTTCTCGACGCCATGTTGCTGTATTCTCGAGCGTTTCTGAGTTCACTGAGCGATATTTTGAAGCAGATCATCCGGATTTGGCCGTCGAAAGTGCGATCACTTGCTTGGCACAATTAACACATTTCATTGGGTATGTATAGAAAATTGCGCAGTAATTTAATGGAGCTACTTGGGCTAACCAACTCTTGCAGTTTTTTTGAGGAACATCCTCTAGCATATTTAGAACCCTCCAATACAGAAGTACTTGCAGTCTGCACCGGCTTGCTTGCCGCGTCCGCAGTCGCATCTTGTAAATCACTTACATCTCTCATTCCCCTAGCTGTGCAAGCAGTGCGCATTGCCTTCAGGCTGGGATCAAGAGTT